TAGGCTACCACACCGCTCCCGTATGTCTTGAAACAGAGTGACTTGAAGATTGTGTTTCAACAAAGATCTGGCATATACCACATGTTGTTTCTACTGCGAAATGGTCTACTACACACACCGTAAGCAGGATGACCTTAACAACACACACACACACACACAGAGACACACACATACACACACTCTCACCCCTCGTCCACCTCACTGCACATTGACAGTCAATCTTTAACGTGTTACAGGATGTATCGCCCTTACCGAGATATTTTCAGCTGCGTTTGCGACCACCTTTTATGCATGTGTTACAGATACCGATTTATTACCCACGTGGTCAACGTATGGGTAGTTGCATACTAATCTCGTACGTCACATGAGTGTCGTATCGCGTTGACCTGTGTCGTAACGACTTGACCTGAGATTCTAACGATTTGATTGGATAACCGATGACCTCTCAGTTAGGTCACGTTGTGACGGAACTACTTGTTCATTCATAACAAACACGTGAATTAATTCATTCTACAACTTAGATGCATTGTGGGAATGTAAACATTGCGAACGTTGTCGTGTCGCTGTTTAGTTGTGCGTCGAACTGAGACGTTATATCCGTCGAAAAAACATAAATGCAATGTTTCCACCAGTGATGTCAGCCGAGTGAAGCAGTTGCAAACCAAGAAACGGGGTGCTACGGAGTAGTTTACTGAAGGAGGCTGTACGAGAGGCGATGACAACTGACATGCATCGTGACGTCGGTTACCAAGGGGACAGACGAGTGACGTTAATACAGTGTGACGTCATGCAAAAGTGTACGTCAGAACAAAATTCTTCCGCAACCTCTTTATGAAACCGGTTTCGGTTTGAAACCACAACAATACCAAAACTACGCTATTTTGTCAATGTAATGCATGTAAGACGTGGGTAATAAATAAAATACCACACTCGGTCTCATTACATACGAATTATACGAAACTCGTGACCTTCCTATGGTTTCTGACCTCGCTTTCGCTCGGTCAGATACCATAGGAAGGACACTCGTTTCGTATAATTCGTATGTAATGAGACCTCGTGTAGTATTCTCTATTTATTACCCGCGAGGTCAACGTATGGGTAGTTGCATACTAATCTCGTACGTCGCACGAGTGTCGTATCGCGTTGACCTGTGTCGTAACGACTTGACCGGAGATTCTAACGATTTGATTGGATAACCGAGTACCTCTCAGTTAGGTCACATTCTGACCTAACTATTTTTTCATTCATAACAAACACGTGAATTCATTCATTCTACAACTTAAATGCATTGTGGGAATGTAAACATTGCGAACTTTGCCGTGTCGCTGTTTAATTGTGAGTCGAACTGAGACATTATATCCGTCGAAAAACATACACGCAATGTTTCCACCAGTGATGTTAGCCGAATGAAGCAGCTGGAAACCAAGAAACGAGGTGCTGCGGAGAAGTTTACTGTAGAAGGCTGTACGAGGCGATGACAACTGACATGCATCCTGAAGTCGGTTACCAAGGCAGTGACGTCATTACAGTGTGACGTCATGCAAATATTGTACTACAGTACAAAACTCTTCCGCAACCTCTTCATGAAACCGGTTTCGGTTTGAAACCAAAAACATATAAAAAATACGCTATTTTGTCAATTAAGTGCATGTAAGACGTGGGTAATAAATAAAATACCACACTCGCTCTCATTACATTCGAATTATACGAAACTCGTGACCTTCCTTTGTTATCTGACCTCGCTTTCGCTCGGTCAGATAGCATAGGAAGGACACTCGTTTCGTATAATTCGTATGTAATGAGACCTCGTGTAGTATTCTCTATATACACACCCACTTCATCATAGATACTCAACATGTATACTAAAACACTGTATGTATTACCACTGTATTATTGGAGACAAAATACACTTCAGGTCAACCTTTGCAAGGCAGGTTCGTGTGGGACTTGTCAACACTACACCTGTTATACATTTATGATGTTATTACATTGTGTAACATAAAATCGACATAACGTTAACATTAACATGATGTTAACCATATCTTTATGATACATGATGTCAACATGTCATTGAATTATATGATGTCGATATTACATCATGTTACATGATGTCATTTGTGGAATATATTGGATAAATTCACTCTTTGTAGTCTGTATTTATACCCTTTTTGGTCAGCATTTATACTGTTCGCCACATGAAATATATCGATCCACAGACACACAGACACACACAGACACACAGACACACACACACACACACACACACACACACACACACACACACACACACACACACACACACACACACACACACACACACACACACACGGGTGCACACACACACACACCTTGTGCTGAAAGTTTGTTAAATGACCATTGAAACTCGGGTGAAAATGAAGTGTGCGCCCCTCCTTTTCTCAATAGTGGGAGGTTTCTGTGAGTGAGTGAGTGAGTGAGTGAGTGAGTGAGTGATAATCACCGCTTTGAACAGTATTTCAGTTATATCACGACGTGAAAGTTTGTTGGAGTGAGTGAGTTTAGTTTTACGCCACACTCAGCAATATTCCAGCTATATGGCGGCGGTCTGTAAACAATCGAGTCTGAACCAGACAATCCAGGGATCAACAGCATGAGCATCGATCTGCGCAATTGGGAACCGATGACATGTGTCAACCAAGTCAGCGAGCCTGACCACCCGATCCCGTTACTCGCCTCTTACGACAAGCATGGTCGCCTTTTGTGGCAAGCATGGGTTGCTGAAGACCTATTCTATCCCGCATCTTCACGGGTCGAAACTTTGAAGAAAAGCTCGGGGTGATGCTGTAGTTAGTGATTGAGTCTAGATTTACGCCGCATTTAGCAATATTCCAGCAATATCACGGCGTGGGTCACCAAAAATGGGCTTCACACATTGTACCCATGTGGGGAATCGAACCCGGGTCTTTGGCGTGACGAGCGAACACTTTGACCACTAGGCTACCCACCGTCCCGCTAGAGTTAGACATTTGCTACTTTGATGGAACACAAGGGTATTGTGCTGACAAACCTGGAAATAGAACTAGCGGAAACCGGGACTCGAACCCACAAGCATAGGTTTCTGGAGTCTCTAAGGGGCGCAAGACAGCAAGGTGAACTGCGACTTTTCCGACGACTTGGTACGTGGTGGGATGAATTGAGAGAATAATACATATTCTTCCTTGATATCCATATATACGCTATAAAACTAGAACATGTTAAATGGTGTAGATCATTTCCCCCAAGCCTGAAATGTATCTTCAAGCATAAACGGTGCGGTGGGGTAGCCTAGTGGTTAAAGCGTTCGCTCGTCACACTGTAGGCCCGGGTTCGATTCCCCACATGGGTACAATGTGTGAAGCCCATTTCTGGTGTCCCTCGCCGTGATATCGCTGGAATATCGCTAAAAGCGACGCAAAACTAAAATCACTCACTCATAAACGAATGTGTACCTCGATCCAGGAACAAGAAATATCTTAGATATATGAACTACACTTGGAGATAAGTCAAGTCTTACACTCGAGTACCAGGGTGGCAATCCTTACTTATGGCGTCTGTTTCAGTGCAATCAAAGTATTGACAGACAAGCCCATACAACATAATCCTGCACTTGTCTATGCCAGATTTGTGATCTTTTACAAAAGAAAAGGATTAAAGAACACTCGGCCCTAAGTCGAGAGCTCTGTGTGCGATAGTTTCACGGGGAATGTTAATACAAACACTATCGGTTAAAAAAGTCTACAATATATGCCGAAAATCTTTACGATAAAAAACAAATTTATTTATAAAGGGAGTGACAGGCCCGGCAATGAAGTGTTCGCGGTAATTGTATATAAAGCGTGTATTGATCAGACTGAAGATTTAAATCTAATGCGCATGGGTAAAGTCGTTATCATTTCTAGTCAAATATAATCAATAAATCACGATCAATAGACGCGGATATTGTCCCAGAGTGTAGGCTTAACCTTAGGCAGAAGTGATTACATTATCTGGTTTAAGGACAATCTTGTATTCATGTGAAAATGCCCGTCACAAACTAATGGGAATTTATTGAATATATTCCTAATATACTCGTGGAAACGAATAAGGGAACACATGAAAGTACAAGTGTTCCTATACTCTTTTCCAGGTTTCTTCGCATGCTTTTTATTGCAATGTGAGTGCAATTCTGGAATTAAATAAATGAACACCTGTACGTTCATGTGTTCCTTTCTTCGTTTCCATAAGTATATTGTATTATCCGATGTTCGTGGATAATGAGTGAGTGAGTTTATATTTACGCCGCTTTTATAGAAACATTCCAGCAATATCATGGCGGGGGAATTCCAGCAATATCATGGCGGGGGAACAGTAGAAATGGGCTTCACGCATTGTACTCATGTTGGGATCGAACCCGGGATGTGACGAGCGAAACCTTTAACCACTGAGCTACCCCACCGCCCCTTTTGTGGATAATACATTATTGATATATTTTATACTGTCAAAGATTTACTTAAATCTTACAACAACATTATTGGCAGTCAATATACAGACATTTATTTTGTATAAATGGGAACAATTTCGTAAAATTCAAAGCACGCTGTTTGGTAGAGAAAAAGTGTTAATTCCATTTTATTGTATCGTATCGCCTTCCCCTGAGTATCCTTGAGTTGGCTCCAACACAATAATTAACAATGCTAAAAGGAGTCTTTTTATGAAAAGATAAGCATTTAGGTATATCAAGTTAATGCTCCATGAATAATGTAGCTCTTTTATATTTTTGTGTTTGGTATTTTAGACTTTCAAAACCGCCACGAAACATAAAAATTAAAACGACATTCTTTTCAATACGAAGCACAATTGTTATCTCCAAGTCGCCAGTGCATACCCAGTACGGCGAGCACGGGGTCAGTTCTCTCAAGATCTACTATCGCTTACACAGGTGATAATGTTAAGAATCTACAAACACAAACAATTCGCCTCCCATTCAGCCAAGATTTATTACCTCATAAGACTTTTTAAATCTTACGCTTGCGAATTCTTTCAGTTTCTTTTGAGGCCGTGTACAATAGGAAACGATCGATCTTTGTTCTTTGGAACAATTATCCTCTTTTAACACAACTAGTTAGTGTTGTAATTGTTTTCGACATGGACTTTAGGCATTGAGGCTGGTGGAAGAATGATAATGGTGAATTTTTAGATTACGGGATACGGTTCGTCAACTTTGAAACAGTTCAATCAGTTTCAGTGCTGAGGACCAGCCGTTACCTCGGACCAACGAAAGAGACAGTGAGTTTTTCGCAGCCTGGAACATTTTTCAGTAATGTATAAGGAATACCACTTTGTCACATTTCTTGACGATTGCAAATACTGTAAACCTACAGACATGGGCAAGGTTATGATCGACAAAGGATTATAATATGGGATAATTGTGGATCCAAAGTGCTGCGGATCGTTCGTTGTAAGGCTAAGGGTAGCAACCAGCAACGTCACTGGACAATATGGCCATCCTGCCCCTGGGAGGAGTAATGATAAACTACACAACATAACATTGTACCTGAACAGAACCCTCATGGAATCTACCGCAGAAGGTTCTTCAAGAACAAGAACCTAAACTGGAAAATAGACGGTTGTGGATTTCTAGCCATATCTTCCAATACTACTGCAAATCTTGCACCAGTCGACTCTGTCTACAGTACCACAGTGGCACTCAACCTCGAGACCATCGACGGACCCAGACATTCAAAGGTTTAGCAATATTTATATATTTGATTATTAGTTGGACTCAAGTGTTCAGACAGTGGCTGTTTAATTTGTAGTTAAGTAGCCCGGTACATGTTGCGGCCTTTCAAGGCAGTTTTTCAGCCATGAACGTGTTACACAAATCTACAGAACATTCTTAAGAAGGTTACCTAAGGCGTCACTTGTTTGAAGTCGGACTTCCTGGTTCTACTTAAGATTGTGAGTATTACTGAAAAAAGGTTCACTGTAGTATTGAATCAACAAAAAAACAACGCTATTAAATATCTTGGAACATTTTGTTCAATATAATCGAACTGAAAGTCTCGAGAAGGAAACAAAACCACCGAAATCAACAACGTTGGAGGCAGTCAACCTCCGCTACTTCTTTTCACCGTTTTAATTTACGCCTGGGCGTTTATGAGGCAAGAACTTAGCGGGGGAGATTTGTCCTGTATTGGTGTTTGTTCAGCGAATACAAAGATAATATCAGCACATTTGAGTCTCCTTTCTCATATTGCATCGAGGCTGAAATCTGAACTGACAAAGTTTATGCAATAATTGAATCTTAATGTTTATTGTGTTGGAGTTGTGCACACTATCTGGATATACATCTGATCTTTGAAAGAGTCGACCGACAAAAGGAAATTGATTCTTTTAGAGGAAGTATTGATGTTGCGTGGTTGAAACACTTCTGAAATTCTAATCCTGACTGATATAAAGAATAGTTAATCAATTGTGTACAACTGTGTTGGTGACGGGTGCGCCTCGGATAATCCTTTAATACTTCAGGGATTAAGGATTGTGGATGTTGACAGCATTCGACTTACGAGTGTTGACATGTCTTATATGGAGTGAACACAATGTCATTGTTGGACGTTGACGTATCCCATCCGGACATGGATATCTTTGACCGCCCCGAGGTTACCGCACCCCTTGACCACATCACGGGACAGCAGCTGCCCTGAACAGCTACCAGGATTTATTCATTCTTCACGTGTATCAAGACAGAGGCGTGTGATTTACATTAAATACGGTTGTGACTGTAAAATCATGAGTTTGAATCCCAACCTAGGTCATCTGTACCACGACAGTAGTATTGGCGGTACGCTGACGTCGATCGATGCTCGGGAGCAACTGCGCATGCGTGAGATAAACAAACGAGAGCAGCGGTATCTTGCTCACCACACGTGCATCCTGGACCGCGCTAAGGGCATCTGTGACCGATCCAGAAGATGGGAGCAGGAAAATGTCAAACAACAGATTAAAAAGATAAAAGAGAAGACGTTATCACTTGAAAAGAATCTCAGACAAGAAGCCAAACGCACCGCCGATCACCAAATCAAGTCATCTGTGACGTCTGCACCCTGCCTGGTCAGCAGGAAAAGCATATTTGCCAACATACCCAGAGAAGTTAAATCGGCTTCGGACTTAACAGTCTCACCAACCCGACATGTTGTGAAAACGAACAGTTTCCAGAAGCGCAGTAACCATGTAGCCCGGGCTCTGCTGAAACTGTACAGTCGGAGTGATGAGCGGAGGCGCCAGTCCCTGGAACAACCCAACCAGCTGGACCCGGCTCAGCTCGATGTCCTCCACCGAGCCCGGGTTGTCCTCAAAGGGACCGAAGCGGAGGATCAGGTGATGAAGATGCTGGGCGGTGCCTCCAGAGGACGTCGATCTCTGCCAACACATTTGACGTCGAAACAAGAGGACTTCCGGTCCGGCCGGAAAGAACACGGCAGCAGTAGTGGAGATTCCGAGTTGGACGTTGATGTCCATCAGGCGTCATGGACACGATTCACGAAGTTACCTGAAATATGGAAACAGGCAACTGGGACGAAATCAGGGCCCGACGTCAACAAACCAAAACTAGTGACCATCACAGCGAAATACAGGAAATCCAGAGTGTGCTAAGGTATGATTTCGTGTACCCTGTAAACATGCATGGGGTATCATCAATGTTTTACTATACCTAAACATTGAGGACACATGGAACACACGGATTGTTGACTTCTCTTATGGTGTTGTTACCATTTACCAATTACGGAATAGGAAGTTGTGGCAGCTGTCATTTCGTCATTGATAAGATCATCGGACAGCGTCCTAACTTGACGAATCGACTAGAATTGAAAATTGATATTCATTTTGACGCTACAGTATACAAGAGGTGAATCTTAACTATTCTGGAATACCCGCTCCCGGACATGAATGTCAAGCACGGATATATACGGTCAAACGGCAATACTCAGTGTCCAAGATTCGTTTCTGATTGGGGAAATCTTCTCAGGGCGATTTGATTTATATTGATTGCAAAACTATTGTTTTCCACAAGTCCTTGGTGCACCGATGTCTAAGAATCAAATGTATATCTTCTTCATCCGCTAGACTGCATTTTCACACATTTTCGTATATTTTCATCGTTCTGCGGCGTGCTGGAGGATTGGCAATATGCAAATGTGTATTGTACTTAACTTTAATAAGCATATCAATCCTGACAGACGTCCCACTGACAGCTATGGATTATTTTTACCTTTAATGTCGAGCATGGGATTAATATTAATTGAAAGGATATGAATGTTCTAACCCTAACATCTGCTGTGTTTTCAATCTAGGTTTCCAGTAGATTTGGAGTTTGTAAGGTACGTGCGGTGTAAGGTATCAAAAGTTACATGATTTTCTATGAATCTATGCTAAGGATTACATATTACCCCAAACAATAAGCCTTGTTTCCTGATAACATTTTACGTCTTTATCGCGATGGTTTCATTACATTTTCAAGCTGGGTGAAGATATTAACAGAATGTACCTCTTTGCGTTGTATGTTTTACTTAACTTGATAATTCCAAAGCTGCAAAGCAAAAGTTTGTTAAAAGTTAAGTCCGCAATTGACATGAAAATTGAAGTACATAGTACTTATTATCAGATGATATTAACAACGTGAAGGCATATTCCCTATTCCCGAAAATGGTTTGGAGTTAGTGCTTTTTCCAGTCACTGAATCGCTTACATAAATTGGCAAAACAGTCATGAAAAATGTCTGAAAGTATAAATACATTCTGCTGGTTCTTGAACCTTATCCACCGTGGGTTTACAAAACGGATTGCAAAATGTTTCCTATTCACATTATATTAACAGAATCCATCCATGTTTAATCTGACCAGAATGAATATCAGATCACATATTCACAGTCCTAATGAATACTCTGCTCTTTTAAAACCGCACCATTTACTCATGTATTAAACTGATAAAACAGGACTTCCAGCTTGTTTATGTCACATACTTAACCCCAGTGATATATACTCTGTATGAGAGCTTGTCAAAGATCTGCCACGGTGTGTGAGAGTTGGGTTTACGCAACTTTTAGCAGTATCACGGCGGGGGACAACACAATGTCACGGTCCTGACTGATAAATCAAACAGACTTTGGCATGACAATCGAACGATTTAACTACTTGGTTTCCCCACAGGCCTCTGGGTATTAAAGTGGTGTGTGTGTGGATTGAGTGAATGACCATGGAAAATGCCTCCAACACAAAATATCTGGTTCATTGTCACCACCATCAGGGTCAGGTACACCAGTTCAGTGTGTTAATTTATCACGGCATTGATCAGTGACCACATTAATAGCGAATTAAATGGGAGTGTTGACTACTATCTTGCCTGGCTCACTTTGATAACACCAAATTCAAGTAAATACAATCCTTTTTAAAAAATTCATGAATATTCTTTTAATTAATGCAAACTACGTCACCGCCCCTCTACGAATCCAATTCATGAAGGTATTTGGTTTGATTCACACAACAAGAGTGGAACATAACACCCCTCGTTCAAACATTTACTGAAAACTAAATGTAAACCATGTTCAATATAAAAACAACAGACATCAGTTATTTACATTTATTGCTGCCATGTAGGATGTTACACAATAAGACAGAATGTATACAATTGTGAGACAGCACTGACCTAGCAGGAGCCATCACATTACAGGGAATGAATGTGAATTAAGTTCTGGTAAGCCAAAGAAATGATGTGTTTCATTGGGGAATTAAGAATCTTCACATACAAAAATGAAAATCACAATCGATGTAGTTGATGAAATGATTGATACCCACATATTTACACTGGAATCTTAAAAAATGTCCGTTTCAGAGTTATGTTTCAAATCATTCATCTTTCCCAGAGCATGAGAAACACTGGAAACATATGATAGTTTCTGGTTCATAACAGATCTTGTACACATGATAGTCAAGAAACAACCAGATGACAGCACAAACCCCAAATTCACAATTGTGAAGTGAAATTTTTGTTTTTAAATATTTTCCAGAAACAAGTGTAATGTCAATACATTATTTGACAGAATATCTGGAATCTGGAATTTTGTGAACACAGACATTTCTTTGACATATCTCAAAAGTAATTCAAAGTTACAGATGGGACAAGACCTGAAATATGTGTGAAAAAGTCTATACAGGTGGTTTCAAGGTTCCACTCTGCCAACAGCAGCTGACATAACATCCTATACTGACAGTAATAGTTGCACATTGTCTCTGCACGTCGCTCCACAAGCGATGTCACTCAGCACTTATAGCATAATACAAACATTCTCCCATTCAGCAGGCATTCTTCTTTCATGTATCCGTCCACTCAAAATCATGTATAAAAGGTTCAGCCAATTTCACTTGACCAATCCCAGCTTCTTGGCTTCTGTCTCATACACTAATAATCTCCACATTTTGACCACAAACACTTCTGCTTCTTCATCCAGAACCTGAAAAATATCATCATAATCAATAACTTTAATTGCCAGAATAAGACTAAATCACAAAATGAGTTAATGAGAGGGAGCAACTGCTTTAAGATCACATTCAGCAATATACCAGCAACATCAATATTAACGCTGATGAAGTAACAGTTGCGCAAGCATCAGGGCTTGAACCATCTCTCCTCATCACTAGGACCACGCGATGGTGGCGCGTGGTCCTGTGCTTAAAGCTCAGGTCACAAATCGGTGAAGTTAAGCAGCGTCGAGCTCGGAGAGTCCTTGGATGGGTGACCGTGTTTGGCAGCTTGACTCCTGAGAGTTTCTAGGACTTGAGTCCTGCCCCACAACGAAGCACATGTGACACATGTGGTCTCACCTTAGGCAAGTGAGTTTGTTCAAAATTGTCTCTGTTCACCCACCAGGAAAATGGGTACCCGGTGATAAAAGTCATATGACTATAACCTTCTAGCGCCTAACAGGCAGCTTGGGTTATCTGGGGTAATAATGGCCTTGATTGTTAGCGCTATGAGCATACCTAGTGTGGAGTTTGGCGCTATATAAATGGACACATTATTATTATTATTATCACCAAAGTGAGGTGAGGTGAAATTGGGTTTAACGTCGTGCTTGAGAATATTTTGCTCATATGACGACGTGCATGCGCGTGTGTATGTGCAGCTGCTTGTACTAGCCCAGACTTAAGCTTGTTTTATAGTGCTAGCCCACTGAGATACCATGCCGCAGTGAAGCAGGAATACCCCACTCAGACACATTATACTGACTCCGAGCCGACCAGTCGTTATTGTACCCATTAATGCCAAGCGCCAGGCAGGGACCAACAAGTACCATATTTTAATGTGTTTTGGTGGGACGCGGTCGGGGATCTAACCCGTGACCTTCCGCTCTCCGGGCGGACGCTCCAACCACTACACCACAGAGGCGGTCTCATCACCAAGGACAAAGATCATGAAGATACAATACAAGGAGCTCACAACTACAGCTGATAACTACATTGACAAAATTTGCCATTAATTCTATTTCTTGACATAATCAAAGACCACTCAGTATATAGCTCACATGCTGTGTCCTATGAAAAACCAACTGATGTTAACCTTACTGAATAAACTTTTCACAGGATTCATAAAATCACAAGGCCTATTGCTTGATACAAGTTTAATCAAAGCATCAGTTTTATGAGGGAGTCAGCTTTAATGTGACTTTGAATAGTGTACAAATTACATCACGGCATGTCAAGCTAGTATGCAAGACTATTTTTAGCAGCAAGTGTTGACCTAGTTGTACCTACCATGGCTACATCATTCTGTATACTTTGTGGTGTACTCCTGGCAACAACCTTCTGACAGATAAAGTCTGTCAGCGTTGGTTCCTCCTCTCCGATGTACTCAATGATCTTCTTGTTCACCCATGGTTTGATGCGCTTGTCCATCAGACTCTGAAACACCACCATCAGCAAAGCCGTCAGAAGTCTTAGTTCCATATGGTTGCACATAAATCTAAGTCAAACCTGGTAACTACTTCCCCTGCTAAATCATATTAATGGAGAGTAGTTATCACTGACAGACTGACAGATGAATATCTAGAAAACTCCACCCCCAACCCTATATATATATGTAAAAAAATGGAATGGTGCCAGTGAACCAAGAAACAATACTGTAGTAAACCAGGATTCAAACCCATGATCATGGTAAACAACTGTGGCTGGACCTGGCCATCTGTGCCAAAAGATGTGTACCAAAATCACAATACAGTGGAAGCCCTCTAAACGGCATGCGTTGGGACCGGCAAAAAATGCCGGCATAGAGGGTGTGCCAGGTTTAGAGAACTTTTCCTTTTCAACCTGAGAATGATCTTCTGTGTGTCGTAATATACTACTGAACAACGTGTTGATAGTCATCATATTCTTGTCAATGACCTAAACTGGCACTTTCACCGCTTGATGTCGTATCGTGTCTTCCAACATGCCAGCCAACCATCTGATATCTTAACCTCGTTGACATTTAATTCTGAATAATAATTCAAACTGAATAGCTTTCTCTTTCAAAATAGGACCAGAAATAGGCCGAGATACCGATTTAGAGAGCGTTAATTACTGTACAAACAGTCAATTGGGCGGCCTTTGTTGTGTCGAAATAGGGAATAGACTGACGCCGAATTAGAGGGCTTGTAAATGATCATAAATTAACTAGCTTCTGTCGGGACCAAATTCTAGTGCCGATATTGACAGCGTGCCGGATTGGAGGGCTGCCGGTTTAGAGGGCTTCCACTTTATTTCAGCATTGTCTTTAGTCAAGCAATTGTTTTCAAGTGACTCCTTCATGTTTTAAGTGATCGCTGTCTTACCTGGTCCACAATATTCCAATCAAGTTTGTAGTTAAACAATTCATCTTTGGCTGTGGGAATGCTTTCGATAAGGTGTTTAATGCGCTGTCGCTTTTTTCCTCTGCAGTAGATGGCTTTTTGTCCCCTTTCTCTTCATCATAATCCAGTGGAATCAACTTCCTCTTCTTTGAGTCCATACTGTCCTCATCATCTTGATTAAATACATCCCCCACTGTCAGTTTCTTCCTCTTGGTGCCACTTCCTTCGCTTGGACTTGCTGACCCTAAAACAGAAAAGAAACTACTCTAACAGCATTTCTTTGAAGTAATATCCTTCCTGCTTCACACATATACCCATGTGGGGAATCGAACCCAGGTCTTCAGCGTGATGAGAGGATGCTTTAACCACGAAGCTACCCCATCGCCCATTTTGTTTTCAAGGTACAAACACTAGCTACACCATATAATCAGACCTGTTTTGTTCTTTACATTAGTTATCATAACATGATAAAGGGGGAGATAGGCAGTCAAAAAAGAATCTGACATAAGCTGGGTTGGGAGAGTCAACACCACCTACTATCTTTGAGTGATACCAAAGAATGAATCCTTTTTCCTGATTACTGTAGTTAATGTACAATATGGTTACAATCAGTGAGAAGATCCTTTTCCTTTGAATCATATAGAGCAACATACCCAGCTTGAGACCACTGAAGCCCAGTTTAGTAGGTTCATCCTTCATGGCTTGGTTTATGATGGGTTGCTGGCTGTCATCTGAGTAATTGACACTAGGGAAGCTGCCTCTCGTGTCTTCATCTGACGAACTAGCTTCATTTGATGGAGGTGATGCTTTCACTTCCACTGGCTTCAGTGTTGGTTGCATCTTAGATTTAGAATCTGAGTCAGAGTTGTGGACAACTGGTGGTGGTGGTGGGGGTTCCTCCTTCACAACCTCCTTCTCTGGTGTGGATGGTTCGGATTCTTGTATATGTAGTCGGGGCTGCAGGTGCTCCTCACGTTCTTTCTCCAGCTACAAGCAGAGAATTCAACAGGGTAACCACAACTTTGAACATTGTTTTGAGTTTCTGAAATACATTTTCAGCATAATGTAGGAAAGCCAAAAAAAATCAGGCATTTATGTAGACATTTACAAAATCAAGTGGACGTATGGACCTGCTAGACTAAGTACTGGCATGGCAAATCTGATTTGATAAAGATCATGGCAAATCTTCAGAATCACCTCTGTTAAATCCTCACAAGGTCCAGGGGTCAGTGAAAGCAAGTTGTACAAATGAGCTTGCACAGTTTTAGCAATATTCAAGCCATACCAGAACTGTAGTGAGTTTTACGCCACTGTAAACAATATTCCAGCAATATCACAGCAGGAGACGCCAGAAATGGACTTCACACATTGTTCCCATGAGGGGAATCTAACCTGGGCCTTCGTGTGTACGAGCAAACGCTTTAACCACCAGGCTACCCCATTGCCTACCACAGCTGGAGAAAATACACACGCATGATTTGATAAACATTTAACAAAATACAAGAGGAACTGAACAAATCCCTTGCATTACGAGGTAAGTTAAGATAAGTTAAAATCTATTTCTATATTGCCGAGTTCCAGCTAGGCTGCTCACAGGCGCTTTCTTTTCCCCTCGATCAATCTCGATCAATCTCAACGGCACATTGTATTATCAATCTCAACTCTCTGGGGAGTATACAACTCTTGCAGCCACTAGGTGCATCAAGTTAATGTTGTTTTCCCATCCTTACAAGGTATGGAAGACATTGCTATTCTTCCATTCATACAAGGAATGGGTATTTTTCAAGAAAAACTGCAATGATATTTTGCTTTTCTGTTGCATAGAGTATTACAGATCATCCTACCCTAGCAAGTTCTGCATCTGGATCAGGATGACCTTCCTCCATGAGCTTCCTTCGCAGTTCTTCATATTCTTCCTTTTCCCTCTGTCTATCTCTGGAGTCAGCTTCCTTCTCTTTTTCTCTCTCCTTCAGTCTTCGAGCTAATGCACTGCCCCTGTCATCAAGCATATTAATGATGAAACATCATGACAATCATGTATTTCTTTCAAATATTTGCACGACTAAGGTCAACTTGCATATGGAATTACTCTTTCAGGTATTTAAAAAAAAAGTTGTCTTAAAGTATACCAGTCAGCAAACCACAATTGATTTCTAATGTATTCACTGAGTAAACCTCTAAGCGTGGATTAGAGACCAAACCAGTTTCCTTGTTTCAAACTTACTTGAAATACTTAGGATCATCTCTGAGATCATCGTAATCTTCTAAGAATTCTTTCAACCTTCTTGCTTCTCTTTGCTGAAAATGAAAGATCATTGTGAAAGATCAACATAAAAACAGATGAATTTAAAAATGTCATGCTTGGTTACCCTGACATAACAGACTGGTTTCATAAAGTAGATTTGTGACATCTTAAAACATTGATAACAACAAGACAAAGTCATCAATATCCCCCTCAATGGCAAAATACTCTTCATGATTATGTCTATGAGTTAGGATTATGTCAAATATTTAGGTGTGTATATAGAAAAGTGGAAGGAGAGCATTGAAAGGTTTTTAAAGTTCTGCTCAAGAAAGGAGCACTATCACCAATTTCAGTCTAAGTCAAACTTGTTTCCATGGAAACGCCAAAAATATTTTATTCAGAATTCCAAAACTACCAAAAGGCACCAGTACACCACCAGACCAATCTATGTGCCAAGTTTGGTGAAGAAATATTGAATGCTTTTAGAGTTCTGCTCCGGAAAAGACAAATGTGCACGGACGGACTTCATTTTAATACCCCCCGCAAAACGCGTTGCGGGGGATAAAATGTTTTTGTACTGTTGCTGTCAATGAGATCTCAGGATCTGCCCATACCATAATGAAGCACTGAATCAACTAGGTGAGTAACTGATATTACTCTTAATCTCACCTCTTCTGCTTTTCTCTCCTCTTCCCTCTCTTTCTCTTTGTCATATTCTCGAGATTTCTTCCTTTCTCTTGCCTCCCAGTTTTTCAATCTCTGTTACACATAAACATTTGCATATATTAATGACCACATTTCTTTGTGTTGTGTACATTTGAGCAAGATGGGTATAAAAAATTCAAGATCTGGGTTCAAGTTGAGATATCATTAGTCTCAAATTTTTAAAATCTTAAAACATACTGCATGGCAAACACTTAAACATATGCATTGAAATTACCTCCTGGTATGCCGCGCCTCTTTCTCTCTAAGCTTTTTTTCCAGCTTCCTTCTCTCATAAGCTTCTTCCTCTTCCTCCAATTCTCTTTCCTTCCTCCTGAAATGGGCATTACAAAATTGTATGACTTTGTGCACAATATTAAAATAACTGGCAGTTAAATCATGCTCCTATACCTGATGTTCCACAGAGGTACAGATAAGCTGTGTATCTGCGTAACTTACGCAAATATTTATGTGAAAACTCAATTTCTATTAACTCTATTGCGTACAAGTACGCTTGTATTTTTGTAAATACTCAATAAATGTAATCGTACATGCGTATACACAAAACTGTCAAATCTAAGCTTGCGTACCGGTGCATAGATAAAATAACTGAGGTGTATTGAGAGGTTCTATTTCGGGACATGAACTTGTCAACTTGCAGTCTTTCATATCGTTTCTCATATTACAGATCAAATATATAATAAACACTAACATATACACTTTATTATATACTTACAATTAATGGAAAATGGCAAAATACCCATTTGCGTTTGCGTGAGGTGAGTACAATTTATTTGGTTACTCGAAGGAAAATTAGGATACCCAATTGAGATGAAAACAAGTGAGTACATAACTCAATGACCAAAAATGTTATCTGTAGCTCTGGTTCCATCTGAATGAATGAAGACTATCTCACATGATTTTGAAAAGATATACAAAATATAAACAGAACTATCAAATATCCGTACATGGTTTTAGAAGTTTCCAAATTCCTTCAATCTAGACCTATTCCCTTACAGAGAGAAGTGACGGATTCGTTTAGTTGCCTGAAATGATAACTCACCTTTCTCTTGATCTGTCTCTTGATCTGTCACGTGATCTAGATCGTCTTCTTGATCTTCTTGGTGATGGTGACCGAGACCGGGATCGTGTTTTTTCTCTTAAAGCCTTTTCCCTTTCCCTCATTCTTTCCCTCTCTTTTTCTCTCATTCTTTCTCGCTCACGGCGTCTTTGTTTATCTTCAGACCGCCGTTCACGCTCTGTGGCATCTGCATCTTCTTCCTCATCCTACAAAAACGAGCAAACATAATTCTTAGTAACAGGTTTAAGACAGATAGAAAAGCTCACATTCCCAACTCAATCTGAATATTTACATAAGAACATAAATGACAGCATAAGACTTATGAGCTGATCTTAATTGTGATTTTGTCAAAATCTTCAGGCTGACTTCACAACTAAACTCATCTCAGGATGTCTGTCCCATACCTTGCAAATGACAATGTTTACTCAACCGAACTGTACATTTTCTGATGAAAGCAAAAGAACATGCACATTTACAACCGGCAAAGAAATATGAACAAGAGACATAAAAAGACGGTGTACTTATGGAGGTAGGTTTTTTGTTTATGAGGAAGACAATTGCAGTGAACACTGAATGAATAGGACATCATATGAATATGATTGACATAACCAAGATCAAAAATAGAAAAACGATTTTCAGCATGTTGCGACCCACATCTGAAGAACTCGTTTATACTAAATAACACACAAGTATTCACGATACAGCTTTCAAGCTGCTTAATTTTGATGGATATTGTATATATTTCTTCGGCTTTTATTACAGGGCAATGGGAAGTGGTATGAAAAGTAACACAGGAAAAGTACAAATATAAACATATGGACTGACAAGAATGAATGCTGGTGAATCAATCAGTCAAACATTCCCATTCAGTCAACTGGCCAGGCTGAATGGCCACATGTGCATATAGAGATGTTAATGACAAGAGCAAAATGCATAAAACCACGCATGTCTGCTTAAAGTTAGCAAACTACACTGATGGTAAGTGTACTTCTCTGACCGCTCATCTGTCTCCTGACAGTATCCACTTCAACTCCTGTTAACAAAGTATGGCTAGCAAATATCCTTCAATCAGGTAGCTGCTAGTAGATCAAAAAAGTAAACGTGTTATCCCCAAACACCCACCCCAGCAAAGAGAATAGAAGAAGAAAGAAAGCAATCCCCACCCATTTGTTTTTCAACAGGTGCTGTAATGTTTGTGTGACTACGAATACAACACATACACGGAAGGCTGAAACAAAAGGAAACCTGATAAAGCACAATATTGACACAAGAAGCTTTGTGTCCCATCTCTCTACCAACTTACCCACACACAACCATCTTCAGGGTATAACTTAACTGAGATTTCCATTCAACACTTGGCTTTACCCAAGCTTATATCTGTGAAGAGATTTACCCTTGAGCTCCTGAAAAGTGTTTAACTAATACCTGTCTAAATAAATATGCAAAGAGTAAATACAACAACAGTAGAAATAAAAGCCACTAACCTTAACAACTATCTGCCATCTCCAAGAGTAACAACTTTCAAAAAATAATTTTAGGGGCACTAACCTTATTTTAATCTTGCGAGGTGGTCATCCAAGTCGCTAGAGACAGACTAACGTGGAAAACACCTAAAGCACAGTTGCACCTATTACAAGTTACAGAATATATTGTTCACTGGTGAAGTCATGTTTTGGTTTGGGAAACTTTCCACCGACTGAAGTTGGAACAGTCATGTCTAATTTGGCTTGCTGGAGATTACAATGAAGCTTTTCTTCAGACCATGCAGACAAACTGACAGAGCTAACCGAAACCAGGACAACTCTAAAAGGCAACTAGGAAGAAACTACTCGGAGCATCACTCACCCATCTTGAGGCATCGTGGGATATGCGTAACATATATCACAAACAATATTGTGGCAACACTTACCAAAAGGGGCCTTCAATATATTTTTTACAGCTATTCATGTTGCTCAGATGCTTGCCAGATAGCAGAATCTATTGTTTTTAGGTAATGAAATACAGCCTATTAATTTCAAGTCAGATTAAAACGGATAGTAATTGCAAAGCAGTATTTAATTTCAGCTTTTCTGTCTCGGCAATCTCATGACAATATAGTTCAAGATGATCACTTATACGCAATGAGAAGCGCAAACAAGTTTCAATGACACGAAGACATTAAGTGTAACAAATCAATTAACCAATTTTCAAATCAGGAAGATTTCACGCAACAGGATACATCTGTTGAATCAACAAACGAACAAGGATCAATCATGTCATTAATTATCTGTGAAGCCGGAATTTTGGCATTATTTGATAGGGAAAACAATTTCTCGCCTTTCTTGAAAGTTACCATCTGAATATTCCAATTTGTCCCAATTACAAAATGCCAAGATTCCAAGTCTACACAGACCTGTATTGTTCGAGACAAATAAGAAGCATGATTAAAGACAACATGTGTTAGGGTATATAGTTACCTTGTGTAAATCACGAAAGGACTGGATTTCCCTGTTTATTATTTGAAGCTTGTCTTCTTCCAGTTCCATATCATCAAGACCCTAAAATAAGCAGAAGAGAGGGTTGAAACCAGACAGCCTTTCTCTTATTAAGTTTTTCTTTCACCATACATTAGTTATGTTGGACATTGGACAAAATGTTTCATCGAGCCATGCACATAAAAATCACTGGTAAAGAGTAGTTTCAATATATTTCGTACACATCTTACAGCATGAATGATGCTCTGTTTTCACCAAGAATTGTAATTGCAATACATCAAAGATACAGAAGCACTGTCATACCGTATCTGCTATGATTCCCTTGTCTTCCTTCTTCTTTGGCCTTTCTTTAGGTTCTTTGTCTTGTTCTATAATGGAAGTAAATTTATATAATTTTTTGTTGCAAGCATGCTGAATAAAGGGCAAATTTGAACAAATAAAAAAGATTTAGGGGACCACACACTTTTAAATCTGAAGACATGCAGGAAACGAAATGACTGCTTACCAGAGTATGAAGGTTTTGATAATTCGAATGTATATTCTCTCATGATGGCCTCCAGCCCAGCTCTGGCCACTCGATCTTCTCGCTTTCCATCCTCATCGAGTTCATCATCATCTTCCAGAGGTTTGGTTTCTTCTTCTCCCTCTTTCTCTCCATTAGACTGCTTATCATCACCATTCTCAGAGCTGGCTTCTTTTGCTTTCTTTTTTGCTCGATATTCATCTAACAATGTTTTTGTTTTGGCATCCACTTTCACCTTGATGAAACAAAAGATTAAGATAATAAGCTTGCCTTTAGATTGCTGTAAACAGTATATTAGTTAGATCATGGAGTCAGCTTAGTGTGGGATAAAAGTCCATAGAGATGCAGGTCGGTGAATATGTATAAATATGTCAGACATAAGTCTACTGTCAAATATCTAGATCTTGGAAGGTCAAGGACTGTAACTTCCCAGAAAACTGGCCAATGACCATCCATCAGCAGAGTCAAATCTCAAGACAAATTTTTCAAAAATCTGAATACTAATCAATTTGTCTCGGCAAAACAAATCATTGTACTCACAACTAATTTCTTATCAGCAATATTCCATTCATTGAGCAGTCGAATACATCGCAATGTGGCCTCTGGATCTTCGTATTCACAGAAACCAAAAGCTGAAAATATGATACAAGAAATTATTGAAAATGTGTTTGTTGCTATTTTAGCACAGTTAATATTTGAAAATATGTGCTTCTTGCTGTTTTATTTATTGTAGCCAGTTATTTTAGTTATCATAAAGACAATACACAACGTTTCATTACTACCTTGCAATTTTCCAGAAGCACCCTGAACTCTTTTCCAACTGAGCACATTTCCGCATCTCTGAAAATATCAATAACAAAATGCTAAATTGAACATGGGGTAGATGACCAAGCAAATAATTCCTTGCAGTTGTCTATGGAATAATTGGGTAGCTAATAGCCCTACATTAATAAGTTATTTACAAAGCAGATCAACAGAGTATTCCTAGATTTGATGACCACAATAAACCAAATAAATCATGTGATCAGTAGGGAATCATTGTTTTGACTTTTCAGTCTGAACCCAATAGGGCTGGGACGATTCACCGATACATCGCGATACATTAAAGTTTGATACAGCTATCGTATCGTCGACTGGTGTATCGATACACGACTCTTTTTCAAAACAGTATTATCTTAAACATGATAAAGTACATATTTAGAGAAAAATATGCAAGTATGATAGAGTTACTTGTTTGTTTATTACAAAGTGTTATTGCGATACACGAATACCTTGAAATAAATCATTTAATAAATCTTAATACTGTGTCATTCTTTCAAGGTGTATGTATCGTGATACATATCGCATCGCAGGTAAAGTATCGCGATATTTATCGCATCGAGACATAGTGTATCGTCCCAGCCCTAGAACCCAAAAAGCATATTGAGACACTGTTAAGAGGTGAAGTCTAGTAGGTCGCGTCAGCTAATCATTTGAATTGACCAATCAGAACACAGCTTACCAAATTGCGAAAGTTAACATTCGCACATACAGTTTGAACTTTTACCTCCAAAACGTTTGTACTCTAACGATTTTCAATGCCATTTTCCATGCGATTACTTCTGAGTGATACACATGGAGGACGCCATTATTCATAACAGTGATTTTTTCCAATATTCCATGACATCATCTCAAATATAAGCAAAGTAATAGTAACCATGTCATCAGAAAACCCTAAATGATAGCACTGTCAGTTTCATCTTGCATTGCCATTTTGCAAGTCCAACCGAACACCCTAAATAGTAGCCGTTGTCTGATTGGTTAAATCCGTTTGACTGTCTCGTGTTGGATGGACGGTCATAGGTCGCTGACATGACCTTCTACTAGGGTTTGTTCGACTCAGTATAGCAGTGTTACGAATAATACTGAGCCAAATTTACTTAGACTGGATGAGATGTAGCAGGTTAGTGAACTTTCCTTATTAGATCATGGACACCAAGTGACAATTTGCAATTAAAAAACATGTAGGGTACTGTGTTTGTCATCTCTTACTGGCCAGTTGAACTTTGACAATTTGTGAATTAAAAAAGAGAGTCCTTTTTGCATATTTGTTTATTTTTCCTGTGCACAAACACTAGAAGCTACTAGTGGTGTAACGATTCATCGATCCATGGGCCGCCGATACAGTGAATCGATACAAAGTTTCACATTGTTGTATATCCTGATACGATACATCAAATGGGCCACGATACATCGATGTTTAACTCTGAATATTGCCGAGTCGCGATATCTGTCAACATGTACCGTTTTTAAAATCAGCACAAATTTTGACTGTAGTGACAGCATCCAGCAATATGCAGATATTAAAGATGTTTTAGATCTGCTTTTTTGTGTGAAATAACAGTATTATGTTTTATTTAATTTGTACTTGTTTTAAAAAAGTGCCTAATGTAACTTTTTTCAAATTAAAGTTTCTTTCATTTAAACATTGTTTTTGTTTTGATATTGAGATGTTTTAGAATTAAAGGATTTAGTATCGTGATACGTATCATATCGCAACTTCAGTGCACAATACTTTGGCAATATATCGTCGTGACTAAAATTTTAGTATCGTGATATATCGTATCGCAGGTTGCATGCCAATACCAGCACTAGAAGCTACTAACAGGATCAGGTGGTCAGGCTTCCTGACTTGGTTGACATGTCATTGTATCCCAATTGTGTAGATCGATGCTCATGCTGTTGATCACTGGACTGTCTGGTCCAGACTTGATTATTTACAGACCGCCGTCATATAGCTGGAATATTGCTGAGTGTGGCGTAAAACTAAACTCACTTAATCACTCACACTCCTGCACCTTCTGCAATACTTTCCTGATGTCAAAACATTCCAGACCTACTGTAAATGTAGTTGTGTAATTACATATTCTGGACACCATGACCTCAAAACTATTGGATTAAATGAAAGTGACATCCATGATATGCATGTTTTATTGTCAGTGGTTTCACAATCGGAACTCAAGAGAAATTTAACACCATTGTCATTGTCGATTTGTTTGCTGTTCAACACTGAAATCAGATGAATAATCTGCCTATATGACAGCGGCCCAGGACTGATATCTAAGATGTCAACAAGTCTGTCCATCCCATCCCACTAGTTGCCTCCTCCTAGAACATCAAAATCCTGTAAACTCTGTAATCATGGTAATGTTAACACAGCATTGAACATGGCTTACCTGTAACATCTGTTTTACCATCATGTCAGGAGCCCTGTCACTGATGTTGCCTATGAATACTGTAGTCACAGGTGGCTTCTCATCTTTCTTGTCATCCTGAAACATAGAAACAAAATCTTACAACATTAACCAATGGGAAGTAACCCACAAACCACAAAGGTCCACATGCCCTAATTCAAACACTGTTCACAAAGAAAGATTGAAACAAAATTATATAAAAGAAACTGCTTTGTGTTTTGTCTAAACAAGAATAGATCAGTCAAATATGTAGTTAAGCATCCTGTCGTTTTACACAATTCACAACTTCCTTCACATCATTCCTGTCTAGTACTGAAAGTGTAGCACAAAATTCGGAACAGACTACCAGATGTATTATTCAGACTGTGCTAAACTGAACACTGCACTGCACTACACCACCAAGCAACAGTCGATTAAAAATTGATGGACAAAGTCTGAACAAAGCTCTCTATTCACCATCCTCGATAATCTCAAGGGTATATGTTCTGATAAATCTCCACTACACCCTGGATGCATCTACGGCTTGATTTTATTACCTCCCTTGGTTGGCTTTTTATCTAATCAGGTGTCCACACTGGGAAGTTGAGCGTACCAATCACAACTCACTTTCACTTCTTAAATTATCTAACCGATTAAACTTGGCAACTGATGCAGAGGTACTCTCAATGAGGTAGGAGTTCTTGCATATATTTAAGTTTTAAGTTTTAAGTTTCCGACCTGTCAATTTGTCTGTATGATTCCCTCAAAATATGAGCCACACTGCGAACAAACCTTCGTGACTGCAACCGCTATCTTTGACACTGGCAAGCTTGGTTGTAATGACGACTTAGCTGATTGGCTACTGTGAAAATGCGGAGCCAGCAAAGGGAGGTAATAAAATCATCGCGCCGAGCCGTAGATACATCCAGAGTATAGTGGAGATTTATCGGAACATATACCCTGGAGATTATCGAGGATGACTATTCACCATCACTGTGGGCAACACCTCTTCTGTAATATTCATGTTGTCCTGCAGCATTCTGGCTGACCAGTTCCACATTAGAAGGCAACAACTTATGGATGTCAGCTTCTCTGATGAGTAAGTAGGGATATACGCTGTACTTATGGATGTCAGCTTCTCTGATGAGTAAGTAGGGATATACTGTCCTGCAGCAATATACGCTGTACTTATGGATGTCAGCTTCTCTGATGAGTAAGTAGGGATATAAGCTGTACTTATGGATGTCAGCTTCTCTGATGAGTAAGTAGGGATATATGCTGTGTTCCTCATAATAAAGAAGCTGACATCCATATATTCTCACATTTTATGTGTATCATGTCTAAATTCAGTTTAAAGACTATATTCCACAACATTTTTGGTGTGAGATTGATCTTGTACGCTACAATCAGAAAGATTCCTTCAGTTATCATGATAACATGTTAATTGCTTCAGGGTTTGAGACATAATGACCAATATCAAATGTACAGAGGTATGATCCAAATAACCAATGAACCAAATAACCATGCTTATTCAATACGGTCACACCTCTTCTTCCAACAAGGCAAAGCATTGGGCCAATTCTTTCCTAAAATCCACAAAGGGTCGATTAATGGTGTTTTGTTATGTTGTTATTGTTATTTTGCTAAACTGACAATACTCAGACATGCAGACAGAATCTTTGAGTGTGATAGATACCTTTGGTATCTCTTGGGGAACAAGCTTCTTGGAGGACTTGACGCTGTTCTGATTTGATGAGCTAGATGATGCAACGATTGGTCTCATCATCTGAAGATAAATGACAAGCCATGTAACAAATGATGTAAAACTGCTTACTCTTCATATGAAGTGTTATAGTCAGTTTTATTGATATGACCCAAGAATGGACAAACTGAACATGTACAAAGTCAAGTACAAGTATGACAAATACAGAAGTACTTCATTTAACAAAACTGTAATGTTCATTATTATTGCATAAACTTTCAATGGCACAGCCATGATCATGATGATAGTTGAGTTCATCAGACTGAGAGCAGTAATGAGTTTTTTGTCAATAACTTATTAATAATAGCCAAGAAGAAACATTTTATCACAATAACTTACCGGAGGTGGTGCCATCATTCCCATGCCCATTGGCATCATGCCTGGAACAAAACAGAATTTGCAAGTGAAGCAAGAGAAGATGGGTAAATGTGGACCTAGTGGTAGGATTTGACTCAGAATTTCTGCTCTGATTTTGGTTGTACTTTACACTGGGTACTGCTGACAATCGAAAATTATTTATCTAAAACAGATTCAATCTAGATTGGGTTTGGGTTGGGATTTATGCCACTTTTATCAATATTCCAGCAATTTCACTGCAAGGGACATCAGACACACACTGCCATTTGAGGAATCGATCATAGATCTATGGTGTGACAAGCAAACACTTGAACCACCAGGCTACTCAACCGTCAAAAAAAAATATGTCATGGTACAAATAAAGTAAAACCATGATACTGTTGAGCATGTTGAGGTCCAATATTCCAAAATAGTGACCAGTGTATGTACAGATTATCAGCTATCAAATTTAAGGCCTTTTAGGAGCTTTTCAAGAGCCAATCAACAACTACCATGACTAGAAAATGAAATGAGCTACATACCCATTGGAGCAAAGGCATAGCCTGATTGATGCATCATTCCTGGTCCCATAGGAGGCATCCCTATAGGCTGTCTTGATGGAAAGGACATGATCCAGATCTGCAAAATAAATTATCACAGGAAAATATATTAAGAATGAAAAAAACAACCCGAGTCTTCTTAATAAACACTATCTTTCCTTTTTATAATTCTTAACACATACTCACGTATACTGCAAGTATGTGTCCATTTCGCATTATCTCCAGAAATGACAGGATCAGAATGACATGTCCTCAAATATACCTGTAGTCCAATGTTGGTTGGTTTGTTCAGCAATATTCCAGCTATATGGTGACAGGCCTGTAAATAACAGTCTAGACCAGACAACCCAGTGATCAATTGGAATACCATGACGTGTCAACCAAGCCAGCAAGTCCTACCACCTGATCCCGTTCCTCGCCTGTTACAACAAGCATGGGTTGCTGAAAACCAATTCTAACCCAGATCTTCACAATTTGTAGTCCAATGTACATGCTACACATTGCAATGTATTATCTGATCAGGGATTGGCTGTTCATGAAGAGAGACAAATTAAACTATGACTTTCAAAATGTTCAAGAGCATTCTTAATTTTTTAAAAATATCCCCAGTTGAAAATATCACAAGTCTACTTGCACAAAAAATAAACTAAAGTCGTATATTTGTGGACTTCCACTTTTCCTTGTAGATGCATGCATCTCTGCATAAATACTCAGATATATTGTTTTCACCATGTTCATGATGTTGACAAGCCTGAATGATATACATGTAAACACCCAATACAAAAACATATGTAAACAACAAACACCAAAAACAATCATGCAACACGCATCCAATTATCATCATTCAAAACAAAGAACTAGGCCATGAATAACGGTTGTGTAGAATTCCATTATGTCACTTTTCTTGAAAACTCTAGTTGTTACCAAATCATGAAGAGTCACATTAAACTAACGAGTGAATATAATATGGATATCTCTAGAGGATTCTCTACCTCTGCTCACTCACCATGGTGACTACTTCCACCACATGTCCAAAGTTGTCAAAATCATAACTTTTGCCAAAAAGTACAGAACTGTAACCTAAATTTGTGGATAACATTGTTTTGTGGATCGCGGAAATTATCAGCGAAACTCGTAAATTCAGTTTCGACTGACGTCACGAAGCGGTACTTTTGATGTACATACAATGCCACGCCTCGCTGACAAAACAGTTCCAAATCTCTGCATTACTGGCAAGTACACTAAATGTAATTGTCCAGCATTGAAATAAATAGCCCCAAATCACTAATACCACCATTACCAAATTGTATTTTTACAAAATGTCAAGGAAAAGATACGGTTAGCCCCAACATTCTCACTTCTCCTCTGCTTTCCTTGGTGTCAATACTTACTGCAGTGGGATGTCATACATAGTGGTATAAAGTAACCAACTACCTAATCCACGAAACAAGGTGACGTCATATTTTGTGGGCACACGAATGGGTGATGATTGCAAATGGCTTCCGTAAACAAACGTTTCATTCACGAGTGGAATATTAGGCATTTTCAATTTGCTGAGTCAATGAATAAAATAATCAGTGCGTATACAAAATGAAAGGATGCATTTAAAATATGAATTTCGCCGCATTTCCCTTATATCCACGCATCAAGGTTACGGGAGTGTATTAAAAAATCAATTTATGCAATACTTAAATATTATGTGTTCCAATGTTTCGTTGTAATCCAACTCACTGGAACAATGACTACCTCACAGTCATATGTCTGAAGTTAATACTTGTACTCATGAGTTGCACCGGTACCCAACAGTATAAGCAAAACCTACAGATGTTTAAGCAATAATTATTGTGTGAAGTAGAGCAAGGTCCGCGAGCATTGTTATTTTTTCAATTGTCTTAATGGGGCAGTAAACTTCAAAGCCAACTCTTCACTAGCTTCTACATGGCTAGAAGCATAACAGTCGTTGATAGCTACATAAGATGAACACTAAGTTTCATACGCAAGAAAAGATCACGCGTAATAAAAAAGAGGCATGGCGACAAGAGAGAAGAGTGAAGACAGCCTTCCAAGACACAATACCGAACGCGAAGTTACGAACACACGTACCACAAAATGAGGCGGCAACTAGTCAAGAATTAACAAAAAACAAATGTTAAAACATTTACTCGATAATTACCTTTTAAAGTAACATCAAACCGGCAAGTGAAACCACGATTGTTGCAATTTACACCAAACACAGCTAATGCAAATGGCTGCACCACTGCAGTTGTGACGTCACAAGCACATGCTCAAGGGACATAACCCCTGTTGGGGTAGCTTTGAAAACCCACAAATAAGTGGAGCTATGTTCTGTTACAGTATGTTCCTAGACTAACGCTTAGTCTCTGAATATATATAATTTTGATTGTAACATATAAACCCCTTTAAATTGAAAAGGAGCCCCAGGGTGGCCAGGGATTCAGAACCTAACCTCGGGAAATTTAGACTTGCTTCATTTAGGGCTTTAGCATCGCAGGGAAGGCATGGCTGTAGGGAAAATAATGTAGTCCATGGACTGTGAGACAGACTAGTCTGTTCCGTGCGTAAATGGCCGTTTACGTGCGTTTTACTGGATAAAATGTAAATATCATCTAAAACAATAACTATTATTTATGAATATGATTTTGCTTATGAACATGACATGCAAGGGGGTTAATTTATTTTGTACATAAATTTTAGGGGGGTCATTCACATTGTACATGCTTCTCCATAAAAAGCATCATCACCCCCACCCCCAAATTATGAACGGTCTCTTAACATAGTTCCAGCTCCAATTTCCTTTTTATTGATGATTGTGAAAGATACACATATAATTTATCATTCATCCATATGGAATGCATAGAATACATATGCTGTTTTGTGGGAGATATACACGTGATTAAACAACAACCATTCTCACCATGACATGTCAGCACAAAGTAGGTTTAAGGGATCAGGTGCTGTCCAACTAAAACTCATACCAGCTGCGAATAAAACATCCTGGCACTCCCAAGGGGCTCGAGAAGAGGTCAAGGATTAAAGTTTTGGTGATACAATATGACAACACCATTTGTGGTTTAGCCTGTATAAAATAATTTATAACAGATAGTTGTTGCATTTAAATATATGCTTTTTCAACTCCAATAACACTGCATTATTTCTTGTAGGTTTCCTGTTTGCGTTTGTCTGCTGAACTGCTGAGTTGAAAGGGCAGGTACATAAAGATAAACCTACTTGATGTGTTTTGCTGTCTCATATGTTCAAGAGAACAGATTAAAACTTTATAATATCTGCCTCATCTCACTTCAACCGATGATATTTTCCCATTAGTGTCCAGTGAACCTTTCAAGAAGCCCGTGTATTCATGCATGGATACCTTGGCATATAGACCGGGGTTCGTTAAGCACGGGGACCTATAAAGGAAGACACCGGGTCACCGTGCACTTCGCATACAAACACAAACTGTCCTGATTACCCGAATTTTCTAAAACACCTTCCAGCAAATCATGTATGAGCGTTATAATGAATGTGGTTATAACAACCATTATAACATTCCCCACATCACATACCGTATTTCTTATAATAATCGCCTCTAATCGGGCCTCTAATAATCGCCGGGGTTAAAGCAGCTCACTAACAACTACGGTAATTACCGTATTTCCTCAAATAAGCGCTTATCTTTTCAACGGACTTCCAGACCTGGCGCTTATTGTGCTTACTGAGTGTAATTAATTACATCTTAAACCGCTGTTTTACCCCCAGGCGCTCATTAGAGGCACGGCGATTATTAGATACTCAGCGCTTATTAGAGGAAATACGGTACACCCAGTAAGCGCAAAAAACGGCCTCTACTATTCACCGGGTCTGGAAGTCAGTTGAAAAATATGCGCCCGTGCGCTTATTAGAGGAAGTACAGTATATCCACGTGATATGGTGACGTTTCAGAAACATTCGCTGTTTTTCTCTAATCCCATTAGGGGCGGTGGGGTAGCCTAGTGGGTAAAGCGTTGGCTCGTCACGCCGAACACCCGGGTTCGATTCCCCACATGGGTACAATGTGTGAAGCCCATTTCAGGTGTCCCCCGCCGTGATGTTGCTGGAATATTGCTAAATGCGGCGTAAAACCAAACTCACTCATTCTAGTCACATTAAACACCGTAAACCATCTCAATAAATCATACAAATAAATATATCTTAAACACATGCCATCGTCCGATTAGGGGAAATGCTTGTTTGACTCAAAACTCCTCGTTATAGCGCGGGTAAGCACTGCAGTTCGAAAACGTACGAGGCCTAGACACATTATTCGACAATATACAGACGCCATCTAAATGGACACAATTGACCACTGGGAAAAAACTATACTCGGCGAGTTCCATACGAATTATTCATTTCAAGCTTAAGAACAATTAGAAATGTTAATTTTGCTTTCTAAATTTGAGAACGAAATAGCACCAGAATTACGTCTTTGAGCGACATTTAGTAGTTGGATTGAATTTAGTTTAACGCCACTTTTAGCAATATTCCATGCAGCAATGTCACGGCTGGGGACACCAGATATGGGTTCACACATTTTACCCATGTGGAAAAAAACCCGGGTCTTCGGTATGACGAGCGAACGCTGTAACCACTAGGCTACCCCATCGCCTCTTTAATAGTTGGAACGTATGGTTAAACAACTTAATAATTAAAATTAGGTAAAGGCTCTAACGATGCGATCAAGCAAACGACTGAAGCTGTCCAGGCATCAGTTCGCATGCAGGGCATAATTGTTATATTTATAATCGCCACCATAGCAACGCCTGTCATCTATGAAACCCGTTTTGCTTCACGAGTTTTATTCATCATAACAATGTATTAAGTAATTCACTTTAAATCGGCTGGCGTCAAAACTGGGTCGCTCCACGGAATGTGACACATGCAGTATGGCTGATGGTTGACGCGTAACCATCAAACTAACATCGTAGTTTTGTAGTGCTCCTCGGCCCTGTGGCCTCCAAGCAGTAGCAAGCGGTGACAAGGTACTGTAGCTCACATGCAAACAATTTCAAACGTCAACACAGAAAGCCACATTATACGAGATAAGTTTTGTTTGTTTGTTTATTTGTTGTTTAACGCCTCACTCAGCAGTATTAAATCCAGTGATCAACAACATGAGCATCGATCTATGCAAATGGGATACGATGACACAAATTCGGTGAGCCTGATCCCCAGATTCCGACAAGCATGGGTTGTTGAAGACCAATTCTACCGCGGATCTTTACTGGCCTAATACACGATGATCTTATCGTCTGACTAATTACCAGATCTAGGATTTGGATAAGAAGGGATTGGGATTAGGGATGGTGGGGAATGGACATGAAGTGAACAGTCCGAGCTAGGGCCCAGCAAGACAGTTATACAATACACCTTGCACCAGTCAATGTTTGAGTTTGAGCTCCATGTTTCACTTATTTCTTCAGAGATGCTGAGCGCTTCTTCCGTGCTAAAAAGACTTTCCTATTTGATTACTAGCTGCAGGAGTTTGTGACTTAAATAATAATTAAAAATGATTAAAATCTACGCAGGAAGGATATTATTGTCCTTATCCTATAGGCATTAAAGAAAATATGATACTCGGTTTCTACCACTGAGACGATGCATAGTGTACAGAGTCTCTCTGAAACGGGGCGGTGGGGTAGCCTAGTGGTTAAAGCGCTCGCTCGTCACGCTGAAGGTCCGGGTTCGATTCCCCACATAGGTACAACGTGTGAAGCCCATTTCTGGTGCCCAACGCCGTGATATTGCTGGAATATTTTTATTGCTAAAAGCACTCACTCACTCTCTCTGAACCATATTTGTTTCTCTTCCGCGGACCCCTTTCTGACATGCAAAAGCTCACAAGCTTGGACGCTGAGCTTCAGCCCACTACGGGATCTATCCCGGACAATCCGTTAACAGTCGTCACTTTTCATTTGGACTGGCCACTTCGTAATTAGCGTTTCACAAAATTGTTCATTGAAATCTAAAAGCTCCTTTTTGACCCTTCAGAAGGAATATGCGACACACCCACACACACACACACACACACACACCCACACCCACACACAGAGAGTTTGGAATACGATTGGAACCTGCACTATTTCATTCATTTACCTTTATCATAAACTAGGCTGCAAAATCACGTCCGGGCCATTGTTTCTGTCAGGTGCCTGGATTGTACTTGAGGAAGTACGGTACACACAAGACGCCTTGTCCCTGAATATATAACTTGATACACAAAGTAACAACAAATAAGCTGAAAATGTTCCCCTGTGACATGAGAGATTCGAACCCGTGGAAAATCCAGACATAATTGTTTCATTTAGAAACTCCAGACTTAATTGTCTCATTTAGAGCGTTTGCATTACCAGACTTAATTGTCTCATTTAGAGCGTTTGCATTACCAATAGGTCCAGCCAAGGAAGAACAATAGTTTGGTTTCGGGGTCTGTGATGCAGAATTGGCACACACAAGTCATTACCGTTGAGAATCAGCGATACTGCAGTACAGTATTTCCTCTATTAAACGCTCCGCTCGGTACATATTTCTTCACACTGCAAGGATGTGCAATAGTGACGAGAATCACGCGCTTAGATCTGCGTTTAATCGAGGTACGGTTTATAATCGTGGAAGTTACACATTCACATAAGCAGATGATTCAGATTTTGTGAAAGTATTTTATACACCACGACAGCGGACCATTCAGTTTCTAAACCCAGTTTACCCCGGGCATAACCTTTGATATCGCAGCATTTTTAACACACTAGACAGTACATTGATATTCAAATACTTTATTCTTGGAGAAGTGACAGCGCTGCCGAGAGCTTAGACTGCTGGTGTCTTCACAGGTAAGATTTGTTCAGCACAGTGCTCTGGCTGAGGGAGAACGCTCTCGATCATGGCCGTTTTTTAAAGTACAAAGTTCATTCACTTCACCAGCTTACCGCTGATGCCTCAACACAATTTGACTCTAGCACAGAGCACGCCGGAACGAAACATTCGATTGAAAGGTACGTTTATAAATATGTTTATTGTGACATAGTTGTAACATGGCCCAGGGCACTGTCAGGAGTTCGAAGTGCTGTTAAAGTGTATGTGGTTGTCCATCACACGCGCTGTCACCACAGTGTCCATGGCCTCCTCCCACGGATAGCTCAGACAAGGGATGCTGTAAATACACATACCGTTCTGCAGACGTGTACATCGTCATCTGCCATTGTGAGTTCTCTGATATACAATTTGACATTCCGTACATTCATTTCGTTTTTGCACCGTGCATATAACCACGTTTACTATATCTGACTATTACAGTTCCCACCGTCGCGCAGTTATAACTATACTGCAGTATAAAGCCGGTGTCCTCAACGTTCATACTTAGTCGGCTATCGCATTACAAATTTAAAAAGCTTAGATTCTATGATTTACCTCAGTACAATGAATTATTTTGATAATGATAGAAGGCTTTTGAAAATTCTTATACCTCCAGTTGCAATATCTTGTTAATATCCTTTTACTATGTTAAGTTTCAGTTTTCTTTGATATATTTGTCAATGTGTTTTTAATGCTAATATTGTATTTATAACGCATTTATGACTGTTTTATTGAATACATTTTTAAAAAATACCATAGATTTTAATCCAATAGATGTATGATTGTCAATGTCGTGTCCCAATCGCGTAGATTGATGTTCATGATGTTGATCACTGGATTGTCGGGTCCAGACTCGATTATTTTCAGACTGCTGGAATATTGCTGAGTGCAGCATTAAACAACAACTACAGAAACTCAAACAAACAATGAGATCCTTGCGTATTTGTTAGGATCCCTGTGGGAATATTACTTCAGTGATCAGTTTGTGCTCATAAACAAAGGTACAGATAAGTTGTGTTATTATCTGCGTAAATTATGGAAATATTTCTGTGAAAACTCAATTCCTATTAAGTCTATTGCGTACAAGTACGCTTGAATTTTTGTATTGAATGTTCAATAAATGTGATCTTACATGCGTACACACACACGCACAAACATGTCAAATCTTGGCTTGCCTACCGGTGGATAGATAAAATAACTGAGGTATATTGAGAGGTTCTATTTCAGGACATGAACTTGGCAACTTGCAGTCTTTCTTATTGTTTCTCATATTACAGATCAAATATAAATAACAAACACTAACATTTAAACTTTATTATATTTTTAAAATTTATGGAAAATGGCAAAATACCCAATTGAGTTTGAGTGAACAGTACAATTTATTTGGTTACTCAAAGGAAAATTAGGATACCAAATTGAGATGAACACATGCGAGTACATAACTCAATGACCCAAAAAGTTATCTGTAGCTCTGCATAAACAAATATTATTCAGGATTATTGGTGTGCGTGTTTGTGTGGGGTCAGTTTGACTTCATTCATTTTGATGCATTCAATTCAGGTATAGTGTTCCTGAAAAATTGCAGAAAGCACAGGCTTTTATCTTTGTGGAATTTCATGACTTAGCACTTTATTCTGGAGATAGCGAATATAATTCCCACACCTCATAACTCAATTACAACAGTCCTATAAATATCAACAGTTTGCTTGGCCAATGCTTCATTGTTAACTGGTCACTGATAGTTTTGTATTGTGCATCATCTTTCCCAGACTGCCTCCTGGAATATCTTTATGTTCAGATTGGTACCTCCACCAGACCATTCAGTTCACAGAAGGACCCCACTAGCATCAAGCTCACTATTGCCAAAAATCAGAAACCATCTGATTTTAAATATGCTTCCACTGAAGATCTTGAAGGGAATTTCCTTGAGGTGAAGTCAAAGGATGTTTTTTTCACTTCATCCAGACTGTGAGTGAGTTGAGTGAGTTTAGTTTTACACACCATTATTCCAGCTATATGTAAATAATCGAGTCTGGACCAGACAATCCAGTGATCAACAGCATAAGCATCGATCTACGCAATTGACATACAATCTCAACCATGTCAGTAAGCCTGACCACCCGATCCCGTTAGTTGCCTTTTTTGACAAGCATGGGTTCCTGAAGATGAATTCTAACCTGGATCTTCACGGGTGACCCGGGCTGTGTGGAGTGAGATCAGGGCCTAGTTTTTCGAAGTCTCTCAACGCTAAGATAGTCATAAGTGCCATACATTAAAATTAACTTACGATTACCTTAGCGCTAAGAGAGTTTCGAAAATCTAGGCCCAGGACGGGATCTTACCCAATCTACGCTACGACAGAGAATGCCTATGCAGTATTTAGAAACAGTTAGACATTTTCAACACATCCAAATTAGCGTGTAATCCTAGAAGTGCACAATGATCTGAATTACATTTTAGTATTTGTAATCAATATTGCTATGCTATCATATATCAGGTAATTCATATTGTTATTATATGTTAAGTGTTTGATGTGAAGGTGAAATGCTTCAATGAGCAAGATATATGTATTTTTTGCTAATGTCTGGTGATACCCATGATTTTATGGCATATGGATTATGGAACATGTGCATTTTGTAAGGACACAACATTTAACTAAGCAGAGCAGTAGGACCAACCTGTAAATTTCAGTGTGTTTAAAAGTATTGTCATGAAGTGATGTTTTTTCTTCTCAACTAGTTTTTGTTTATAAAACCACTAACAAAAATTGAAATGTGTAAAAATGAAAAAATAATATTATTAATACCTGTGGAAAGTGTAATCTTAGAAATTGGAAAATGTCTAACACTGGCATTGCTCTGGACTTCTCACATGATGTAGTGAATTTATTGTTCAAAGAGATAAGATAGCAGATTCAAGTAGTAACACTTATGACGAAATCATATTTTGTTTTGATCATTCAGTTTCAGTTCCCAGCAGGCACATCAACGTTGTTTCAACGTTGAGAATAGGTTGATCCTCAACGTTGAAAATAGATTGAAAATAGGTTGTATATGAAAGTTTTTGACGTAGATATCCGACGTGTAATCAACGTTGAAGTTTGACCGATTATCAACGTTGAAAAAAGGTTGATCCTCAACGTTGAAAATAGATTGAAAATAGGTTGTATATGAAAGTTTTTGACGTAGATATCCGGCGTGGAATCAACGTTGAAGTTTGACCGATTATCAACGTTGAAAATAGGTTGATCCTCAACGTTGAAAATAGATTGAAAATAGGCTGTATATGAAAGTTTTTGACGTAGATATCCGACGATGGAATCAATGTTGAAGTCTGACATATTTATTAACCTTGAAAATGGATTGTTTCGTGGTTGTGTCTGGGAGGTATTACGCTTTCCTGTAAACAGACTCGCACTTCATCTTTAAACTACAATAAAGTAGCACCAAACTCCTGCATCCAGCTAAAATACCCAAAAAGCTACCTGCAATAAACAGTGTTCAAACAGAAAATTGCAGTAAAAATATTTACCTGATAAAATACTTGGTTAAAATTCCACATTCAATATAATGTTCATTTAAGTTTTATGTCAGTTGGACGTATAATTCCAGTAAGAAGAAAAGAGTATTCCAAATTAAGAAAAACTATTTACTGTTGTATTGTTATCTTGAAAAGGTGGAAATTGTCCCGAGAAGACATTTTGTCTGAATTTCAGCTCTTAGACAGACCCCTGAATAAACACAATGCAATTACTTTCACCATGAAAGGGATCCAAGATGACCAGGAACTATACCTGAAGACAGCACATAAAACAAGTCACTTTTCATGAAATTTTTATGAACACACACGCACACAGAAAACGTGGTTTAATGCATAATGTAAAACATCACACATGACATAGTCTGTAGGTGATCTCTGTTGTGCTAATAACACAATATCATCTGCATAGAGCATCAAAGTGACATTTACGCCACCAATTTCAATACCACAGTTCAGATTTTTCAACACAATTACAACTCCAAAAACACAATTATCAGCTCCTCTTCTTTCTGCCACTCCCTGCCTGGCGGTCAGGTGGATACTTCAGAAACGTTCCTAACTCTTTCTTGAAATTTGCTTCGATGCATTCCCATCTCATTCCCTTGAGATAGGACACATTCTGAAATTTATATTTAAATACATGAATAAGTTATATGGAAGATATATTGTCTTAAATGATTCAAGTATTTGTTTAATCAATCACTTGAAAGGTTCATTTCACTGCTGTAACTTGGCATGTGAACATATGAACAGCATCAATACAAAATATGACGAAAAGTGTAAACAATTTATATATTCAACCGAAGGAATGGAAGTTTTCTTAACATTTGCAAGTTGATTATTTAATTAGACTATGAATTACCTGTAGGATGAATTAGACGATGCTTTACTGTCATATATTATTTGCTATGGTCATGATGAAAATGCTGCACTTGGTAATTAACTTACCAGAGATGATAGAATACAACCTTGTATTCTTAGAAGAAAACTTGCCGTTTTGCCCATCAACATTCATTCTTGACATCAAATTGTTTGACATTGTCCTGCAAAACAATGGAAGATTGTTGTTATTCTGTCAGATTTAGTTTTCTTTAGGGATTCTTGGAAATGATTATTTCAAATTAATAGGAGTTGAACTGATGTAGCAATTTGTCATAAATTGTAACAAAAGCCATTTTACATTAAATGATAAGACTGACTGACTGAGTTTAGTTTTACGCCGCTTTTAGCAATATTCCAGCAATATCGCGGCGGGGGACACCAGAAATGGGCTTCACATATTGTACCCACGTGGGGAATCGAACCCGGGTCCTCGACGTGATGAGCCAACGCTTTAACCACTAGGTTACCCCACCGCCCCTTAAATGATAAGAAAACAAAATGGGTGGTGGTTCACAGGTCAAAGAACAAGTCTATTGTGGGAGGTCTCCCAACACCATTTGTTCCCAAACACAAGGAAGTATGGATCATGGAGTTCTGAAAACAATAATGAGCTCTCATAAGTATACAATATATTCTCTATTATCTACTCTCTCTCTCTCTTTGTCATTTGTACACTCATAAAACTCAGATAAATAACTTTTTTTATAATTCATAAATGTTTACACTTAATCTCTTATAGGAACGCTTAGAAAATCTCTCATATAATGAATTATGTGTGCGTATTATCTGCGACGTCATAACTATGCTTCTCTGAATCATGAACAATAAAATAATGAGATTAAACTCTACATTGCCAGAAATAATCTATCATACCATGAATAATAAGACATTGAATAACATCTCTTACAACTCCAATCTACACTCAAAAAGACTTAAATGTACTCGTAAACAAACATCGCTGGCACACGCAAATTCTTGGAAACAGTGCATCTCTGACTCTCAATTCCAAGAAATGGAAGTCCTACTCTATTTGACCAAAGGGGTGACAGGTGGCCAAAACATATTGAAATGTAGGTCATACACTGAAAATAACTCTGATTTAAAACACTACAAATATACACCTTCTCTCTAATATACTCGATAGATGATCTTAACAAGGGAACATGTACATAAAATGCTGATATCTAACAACACCTGTACTTTAAATAATGGACTCTTCCTAATCTCAGTATGTTTCACTGCACACATAATAGATTGCAAATAATGAAAAACCTACCCTTTGACAATAATAAAAAACATTATATTCAAATTCTACAGCTGACCAAATACCTGAAGAGTGTGTTTCCCAGCAATAAACATCTCTATATATCTATAAATGTATGACTTCTGTCCTCTCGCGTGCTATCTTGCATCCATCTGTTTACGTCGAAAACAATATGGCGCCAAGCAAGGGAGTGCTCATTAAACTAAACATCTCCGGGAGAAATCATTGTCAATTTTTCTCTTAAATGATCAACCTTAATATATAAATGAAAATAAAGACCAACTATTATCACCAAAAAAGACCAAACATTATCACAAATATTCAAAACAGGTGGTAATGAAAGAGCATTATCATCTTTCTCTTAAACTTTGTGGTGGATATACTGGAAACAAGTGAAATGTTAAAAACGTGTTACCTTAGCCTTGCTCCTTTTATGTGATCCACAAAATTGCTGCCACCCAGTCTTCGAAGATGAGATTTCTGCAAATTCCATTAAAATAATCTTATTTCATAATTAAATGTTCCTTACATTAAAATTACTTCTGTTGTATGTAAGATTTTAACCTTTAAGAGACATGAATTATCATATCCCTTCCAAACAAGTGTAAGAATGAAAGTCTGTGGGTGCAACGTTTGGTGTCCCATCAAAGAATCATTAGTGAAGTTACACTTTTTGTAAATAAATAAAAGTTAAAATATATTATATACAATTTCATCCTTAACAAAGACTTTCACAAGACATTTTAAAGTGAAAATTTTCGTTGCATTTCCTTACACCATTCTCCACCACCCCCTCCCCCCAATAATATACATATGTTGACAGGGTTCAGGGCGTGCTCAATGCATCATTTACTGATAGATCTATTCAAACGAACAAATGTTCATAATAATGGGATGCAATATAAAATGTTGATTAATCCTTTCCGATTTTGTATAGCTGCCCTTTGTATGGCTTTGGGGTGATGTTGATTTTATGTACAATGTGAATTACACCCCCACCCCACCCCCACCCCTAAAGTGTATGAGTATGTACAGAATAAGAGACGGCCCACCCTGCATGTCATGTACATTATCTATGACGCCCTCTCCCCTTCCCATAATTTCTAAACATAGTGCGTGTGTACAAAAATGCTGACCCATTAGCTCCCTGAACAAAATGGGTGACACCCCACCCCACCCTCCAACCCTTACAATCAACACCCCACCCGCAGCCATATATTTAATTATGAACGGTTCCTTATATTGATGTACTTCATTGATTATTTGAAAATGTATATTTGCAAAATTCAAATCAGGTGATGGGTACGAAAGGAAATCTTATTCGATTATATAGTAAAATGCCAAATATATGCATGCAAATATATTGAAAAATAACAAAAGAAATACATGGAAAACACGGGCTTCCACTAAATTTTGAGAAACATGTACTGTGACATACTGGTAACCTTGTGAGATAAAACATGAGCCCTAATTCGGAGTTTCTTGCTACTGCTAGATTTAAACGGCATTCCTACGTTTTCATTATACATGAAGGACATACTTACCAAATAAACACCAGCATGCCGTGAAGATGGTGAAAATTGAACGATATTGCGTTGAACTTCGCCAAAGTGAACTGACAACGATCAGCTGCCTTTGCGCGCGCGATAATTGTGTGCGCATGTCCGGATATGGCCAAACGAGGCGATCGAAAGGTCAACATCTGGCTTGTGTTTGAAAGCAAATTGTCGGGAATTATACAATTTTCACAGTTTTGTGGGAAAATATCAAATGTAATGCAATTTGGATAACTGATGACTTTATACCTAAAACTGTGATTTACGTAATATTTCCGTCCGTTGATCGATGCACAATCAAATAATATATAAGATTATATCTGTCACTAGCTCGATCTTGATCTTTTATGAAAATAATGTTCCGAAATGATAGTTGCTAAGTTGGATACCTATTACCAATATGAATTATGTATCAAATTTGCCAAGGAAACAATTAGTTGACATTTTGTTGGTTCCTTACGTTGAAACAACGTTGACAACTAAACGAATCTCGACTAACTTTCTTTGGTCGCATGATAAACGTTGAATCAACGTTTATGAAAGGTTGATCAACCAAACAACCAAAATTCAACGTTGATTCAACGTTGATTCAACGTTGTGTGCCCGCTGGGTTATTTCTGTGAATTTAGTTCAGGAGAAAATATGTGAATCATTTTAGTTTAGACTATTTCTGTTTCATGATTGAGAAGAAAATATGTAAATTATCAGTTATTTGTCATCAATAATTTAGATGAAAATATGTGAATTGTTGAGTTTTCACTCAATTTAATCATAGAATCTTCAAAACATAATGAATTAGGAATAATAAAGACAATCCTATCAATAACGGAAGTAATGTATATCTAGTAAACTTTTCATTAAGTGCATTTGTTATGCGCTATTTTCCATTCGTTCTGCGGTTGCTCAAAGCGACATTCAGATTATTCAGATTATTATACACACACACACACACACACACACACACACACACACACACACACACACACACACATACACACGCACACAAACACATACACACACACGATAACCCAAGCTGCCTGTGAGGTGCTAGGGTATCCTCCCATTACCCCTACAGCTTATAACAACAAAGTTCACGGTCCAATGCACTGCTAATCCCCTTCCTGTTACCTGGTCAATGGACTAACCCAAACACATGAACACAAGATTTAATGTTTTAATTTATGGATTTAATTACACAAATAAATGAATATAATACACAGATATCTTCCTGGTCGTGAGCAGCAGTTCATATTAACATTTTAATGTTAATTTTTGTCTTCTAAACAAGTCTCTATCCCAATTTGAGGAGATGGCCCACAGCGTCAAGGAACTGCATTGGTGTTTTCAGCCCAGGATTGAGCTGCTCCTTGAGGCGACACAAAGGATGCTCCATCTCTCTGTACACTCTCTTTCTGCTTCTCTGTGCTGCTCCAAAGTCTATCTGGGAAATTTTCGCTCTCTCAGCGTGTTCAACTTTCCTGATCACCTCCACAAATCGGTAGATGTTGGGGTGTCGATGTGGGAGTCCCCGGTTCAGGCGGTTGTGGAATCCCTCTAGGTTGTTGTTTGTCCTTGGACCTGTTGTTGAGTGATGGTTCCACAGTGGCAGACCGAATCTTGGGTCGTCGTCGACCCATGTTGACTGGACACACTTTCAGTGTACACAAGACTGTCTCTCGACATTCTTAGTGTGTAGATAACCCTCAAATAGGACTTGGGGGCTACCTCTCCGTGACCTAACCAACTCAACATTGCGAAGACCAGCCATGTTGATGTCAAGTTAGTTTGTTTCCAACATTTATATACTATGCCAAGTCATCTCAAATTATTTGTCTCATCTCAGTGTCAATTTCAACATTTACTTCATTTCATCTTAACAAACTTTCTCTAACGAAGAACACCTTAACCCTTTCTAAGTTGTATACACAACACTTTAATCGCTCCCATGGGTAAGTTCATTATGCCAGACAGGTAAATGCTGTGTGTTGTTATAACTAATTGTAGGGGTACTGGGATGTAGGGGTAATGGGATACAACCGGTGCTAGAAGGTTTATAGTCACATGACTTATCCCACCGGGTACCCATTTTCTGCTGGGTAAACAGAGGCAATTTCGAACAAACTCACTTGCCTAAGGTGAGACCACATGTATCACGTGTGCTTTGGTGTGGGGCAGTCCTAAAAACTCTCAGGGGTCAAGCTGCCAAACACAGTCACCCATCCAAGGACTTTCCGCGCCCATCATTGCTTAACTTCAACTGATTTGTGACCTGAGCTCGATGCACAGGACCACATACCACCACATCCATCCTGTCCTATCTTCCATCCTATCTTTTTTAACAAAAGCTCTGTACAAATGATAATCATCCGGCTAGTAGTGTTCTGATGATAAAAAATATTCGAAAATCGATCGAAAGAAGGATTAAAAATAATTATAGATTGTAAAATACATATTTTCGATTAATCAGAATTTTGTTGTTTTAGTATAACACACTTGAATGAAGTAAACTAACCATTAAATTTGACGAATATTCACAAACAAACATGCGATCATCAGCGTAAAGCTATGTACATTGCATTCATTGTTTCATATTCATCACTATGGTATATATTACTGTAACATGTCTATGAATAAGTTTTACATCTATCGTGAACGTAATGAGATGTACTGATAAATATTTTCTTGCATGCGTGCATTTCATTGCATGACAGTTTTAATTATAATAAAACATTAATTAGGAAAAAAAAGTGTGAAAAACCCCTTAAAATTGGTGATTACATTAAAAATCTATATATTTCGATTATAATCGATGATCATTCACCACAAGTCCTCCGATAATCGATAGTGGATTTGGTTTCCGATTCCCAACACTACATGAGGCATGGTGGACAGAAGCGGAGTTTACCAGTTTGTATCATTTACCTGATGACTTCGGTCACAGAAAAAAATAATATAAATACTAATAGTGATCACATTTTTCATATCTTCAGACGAGGAGAGCCAACAGCTGGTGTGAATTAACAACTGAATCATGAGCTATCCCAGATGCAGCCGAGCTTTGACACACAGCTGCAGAATAATGTCGAGACTGGTTCAGTGTTCTCGGTCCAGGACTATACTGAAGAAGACAGGAGTTGTTCTGTCAGAGCTTAAATCAGGTAGAGAACGGTCAATATGGCTTCCTAGACAGTTTAAAGTTTGACGCCAGATAAAAATCTTAATTCCTGAAATTTTGTATGCAAGTCTACAGTTTCTCATACTTCAAAATCAGCTTTTATGTTTTTTAAGTTTTTGTCAAGGAATATAAGTTCATATAATCATATCTGAAACCTTCAAAAAATGTTTTGAGTATTTATTCTGAATTGAGTATAGCGTTTTGCTCAGCTTGACGTTACCAGTGAGTGTTTACACTGAAAGCACTGAAACTAAAATGTCCTATTATGCAAATTTACCAATCATATATATAACTTTCGTATAACATGTTCAGCATATTGCAACCAAATACACTGTTCATTTTGATATATTCAAAATACCCTCATTGTAGCTTTAGAAATGCCTTCGCTCAAAGTTCTGCTACTCAGGAAAACATATTATATTGTTATATTTCAACACATACTATATTGCAGAGTATGTCCATTAAACCTCTGTTTGTGAAGCCCATATCTGGTGTCCCCCTCCATGATTTTACTGGAATATTGCTAAAAGTAGTGTAAAACCAAACTCAGTCAGTCAGTTAAACCTCTGTTATAATGAAGCAATACTGAAGCGGTTAAGGTATGTTTCTGTTATGTGTTTAATGTCACATTGTCACGCGCAATGTCACAACAGCGATGTACTTGTCTAGGTAAAGGTAAGTAGTACGTAGCATCAACGTATTATGCAGTTCGGCATGTTCATTTATACGTGATCCGGTAATTAAAGCAGTAGTTTTGACTAAAGATCATTGAGGCCATACAGGTACATTGAAGGAATTGTCATTGGTAGCCCTTCGGTGTTGTAATGCTAATGTGTTATTAAACATTCTCTTAACATATATTTGTGCAAGTACGTATACAATGTAAGTAAAAATATATGTGGTTTATTTATTTATTTTCTTAATGTCCAGTTTTATCCTTCCCCTTTACATTCGTTTAATCTTTGAAAACAACAACATTTGGTCATGTTATAACGTACTTTAATACATTTTAACCACTGTTGATTGCTCACTGTGATCTGCGAGAGCTCCTCAGATCGTGTGACTGATGTTGTTCGTGTTGTAATGTGTGTGTAATGGATATATGTATTTATTGTAATTCCAGCGTCCATAACGCAAGACAAATTCCCTTCTAAGGGCAATAAAGTATTATTATTATTATTATTATTATTATTATGATGATGATGATGATGATGATGATGATGTCTAATGCCATCTGTGATGATCAGATAGATGTTTTAGAAAGGTTTTTATGTGTTTATTTTTTAAGGAAACAGTTTTAGGTTATCTGTCCATAGACTACCAAGGCTGCTGAAGGGAGGGATGAGTTTCCCCAATCTGCAGACTATTGTGGTAGGTTTAACACAGAAGCCTTAATGACTGAGTCAGTTGCTTTTCGTCTTATTACATTGGCCTGTGAAGATCTGGGTTAGAACTGGTTTCAGCAGCCCATGCTTGTCATAAGAGGCAGCTAATGAGATCGTGGGGTCAGGCTCGCTGACTTGGTTGATACATGTCATTATACTTCGATTGCATAGATAGATGCTCATGATGTCAATCACTGGATTGTCTGCTTCAAACTCAGTTATTAACAGATCACTGTCATATAGCTGGAATTTTGCCCAGTACTAGGTTAAACAACAAACAAACTTATTAAATCAGTATCAAATTGTCCTGAGAGACATGGTCCAACATGGTCCAGCATTGTCCAGTATATCCATTGTGGACCAGCATTGATCCAGTATGCTCCAACCACGTCCTACATAAACTATATGATCCACATGTCAAACATGGTCCAACATGGTCCAGCATTGTCCAGTATATCCATTGTGGACCAGCATTGATCCAGTATGCTCCAACCACATCCTACATAAACTATATGATCCACATGTCAAACATGGTTCATCATGATCGAGCATTATCCAGTATATCCATTCTCAGAAGCATTGATCCAGTATGCTCCAACCACCCTACCTCAATCACTGGATTGTCTGCTTCAAACTCAGTTATTAACAGATCACTGTCATATAGCTGGAATATTGCCCAGTGGACCAGCATTGATCAGTATGCTCCAACCAGGTCCTACATAAACTATATGATCCACATGTCAAACATGGTTCATCATGATCGAGCATTGTCCAGTATATCCATTGTGGACCAGCATTGATCCAGTATGCTCCAACCAGGTCCTACATAAACTATATGATCCACATGTCAAACATGGTTCATCATGATCGAGCATTGTCCAGTATATCCATTGTGGACCAGCATTGATCCAGTATGCTCCAACCAGGTCCTACATAAACTATATGATCCACATGTCAAACATGGTCCATCATGATCGAGCATTATCCAGTATATTCATTGTGGACCAGCATTGATCCAGTATGCTCCAACCACGTCCTACATAAACTATATGATCCACATGTCAAACATGGTCCATCATGATCGAGCATTGTCCAGTATATCCATTGTGGACCAGCATTGATCCAGTATGCTCCAAGCACGTCCTACATAAACTATATGATCCACATGTCAAACAAGGTCCATCATGATTGAGCATTATCCAGTATATTCATTGTGGACCAGCATTGATCCAGTATGCTCCAAGCACGTCCTACATAAACTATATGATCCACATGTCAAAGAAGGTCCATCATGATTGAGCATTATCCAGTATATTCATTGTGGACCAGCATTGATCCAGTATGCTCCAAGCACGTCCTACATAAACTATATGATCCACATGTCAAACAAGGTCCATCATGATTGAGCATTGTCCAGTATATTCATTGTGGATCAGCATTGATCCAGTATGCTCCAACCAGGTCCTACATAAACTATATGATCCACATGTCAAACATGGTTCAGATAGTCCAGTGATCAACATCATGAACATCAATCTACGCGATTAGCATACAATGCCATGTGTCAACCAAGTCAGCGAGCCTGACCACCCGATCCTGTTAGTCACCTCTTACGACAAGCATGGGTTGCTCATTAGACCATTCTGACCTGGACAGAACAAAATATCCAAGTTTAAACATGGGGAAACTTTGGCCTAGGGTGGGTGGGTGGGACTTTAGCCTAGCCCAAACCTTCCCTGGGGTAAGAATATCCTAGGACAAAACTTCCCTGGGACCAGACAATCTGGTGATCAACCACAAAATAAATGTATAATTGTTTCAGGAGTAGAGCACAACAGGGAGTCATTGTATTTCATCTTATGTTTGATTATTAGAATACATTGTGTTGTGAGTGATGTTGTGGTGTAATAGTTATGTTTCCTCAATTCAACAGGGGTGGTGGGGTAGCCCAGTGGTTAAAGAGCTCAGACTGACAGTAATTGATATCATGAGCAACAGCACATGTTTAGGTATAATGACAATCAGTGGTGTCTGACCATTTGGACACCTCTTAAGACAAACACAACTGAGTTTCTCCATTTCAGAAGAATCAGCAACTGATTCAGTTTTCTTAGTGCTAGTTTAAGTTCCAATCCCTAGTGATTCTGGGTACAAACCAATGCAATAGAAAGAGTCGACTAACGATGGTCAGGACTACAAATTTGGATGATTGCATACCATTGTATCCCAATTGCGTAGATCATGTTCATGCTGTTGATCACTGTATTGTCTGATCCAGACTCGATTATTTACAGACTGCCACCATATAGCTGGAATAATGCTGAGTGCAGCATAAAACTAAGTCACACACTCACTCATTGAATCCTAACTCATGAACTGTGTAGACTGATGCTTATGATGTCTATTACTGTTGAGAAATGACCCGTGAAGGTCCGGGTTAGAATGAACCTTTAGTAACCCATGCTTGTCGTAAGAGGCGACTAACGGGATCAGGTGGTCAGGCTCGCTGACTTGGTTGACACATGTAATCAGTTCCCAATTGCACAGATCGATGTTCATGCTGTTGATCACTGGATTGTCTGGTCCAGACTCGATTATTTACAGACCACTGCCATATATTTGGAATATTGCTGAGTGCGGCGTAAAACTACTCACTCACTCACTCACTTATGAAAATGGGGTGGTGGAGTAGCCTAGTGGTTAAAGCGTTCGCTCGTCACACCAAAGACCCGGGTTCGATTCCCTACATGGGTGCAATGTGTGAAGCTCATTTCTGGTGTCCCCAGCTGTGATATTACTAAAAGTGGCGTTAAACCAAAATTTACACACTCACGCTTATGAAAATCTGTATCATGTATCAACTTCTGACTGTATGACGATGATTGTATTATGTAACATGTCAACAATTTACTTTGGAAAATAAAAATATTTTACCAAAATAATAAAATGAATGAACTATTACAGCTGTAGTATCATAGAAACAGGTTGTATTTTTCCTCATGGTGTATTTTTAGCTGAATCCTAACAGCTGGTTGACCCATTTTGTGCAATTGTTTGATTTTGAAATTGAATCACTTTCACAATTCATCAATAAAATTTGAAAAACAATTAACATCTATCGATCTGCTTCAGTATAAAAATTCACCAGACAACAAAGCCTTCAGCAATTTCAGAATGTTGGATTATTTCTGAAACATTGTCATTAACCCCTTCTCTCCTTGTACAGAGGCATGCAAGTTCCTGTGCCACAACACCTAAAGCAAACACTATAAACAACTCTGGGAGGAGCCTGGATGTTGAATGGTCAGATGGCTCCAAGTCAAGGTAAATGTGACCCGTGAAGGTCCGGGTTAGGATGAACCTTCAGTAACCCATGCTTGTCGTAAGAGGTGACTAACGGGATCGGGTAGTCAGGCTCGCTGACTTGGTTGACACATGTCATCGGTTCCCAATTGTGCAGATCGATGCTCATGCTGTTGATCACTGGATTGTCTGGTCCAGACTCGATTATTTACAGACCACAACCATATAGCTGGAATATTGCTAAGTGCAGCGTAAAACTAAACTAACTCACTCACTCACTCACTCACTCACTCACTCAAGGTAAATGTAGTTTGGAGATTGCAAATATTGTCTTGTTTTAACTCGTGAACACACTTGAGTAGGAGCCTAGTGATTAAAGCTTTCTCTTGTCATGCTGAAATCATTGATAGATCAATCAACACTGTGTAATTGTTTTTTCTTTCCCGAAATATCATGTTTCAGATCAATGAGTGAATGAATTTTGTTTTTTACAACACTGATCAAAATTTCAAGCTGAAGACTACAGTATGTCATACTTTATGGCATGAATGCATAATGATATTTGTGGAAGACACAGTGGCTGAGTGGGTTAGATTGCTGTCTTTTCCGTGCTGGCGATTAGGTGCCTGACTCTAAGTGTGAGGATTCGAATCCTTGAGGGGACTCAACCTATTGAACTACGAGAATCTGTATTTGACTGAGAATGTGTAAACCTAAATATAACATACCAGTATGTTTCATATATTATGGTATTGAGTTTGTCAGTAACAACTCTTGGTTGTTTAAGAAGTCAGATTGGAGTGAAAACAAACATTCTTTGATGCGTTTGTTTAGCTAGAACAGTAAAATTCTGCCACTACTCATTATAAAAGTCCATTGTTTGTATTTGTAATTTGTATATGTATAAAAGCAATATTATAACAAAGCTGTAACAAAACTCTTAGTTCAACTCATATCTTTGATTCATGTTCAGTGAAAAATATACTTACGATCGCAATTATGAGTGTTGAGTGAGTGAGTGGGTGAGCATTAAATTGTTTTATGATGATTTTTGCACTATTTCTGAATGTTTTCATATATTGTACTCATTTTAGTCAAATCCCACCTTCTGCCTGATGGTCTATAGTCCGCTTGGCTCAAAAGCGGACCGATGAATTGCAATCTAACTCGAAAACTAATAAACATAAAATACTCAATGAAACACTGATCATAATCAAAACATCATACCCACTCTGTGAGGTTTTTGCAGAATTTTTGTCCTAAAAATAAAAAAGTTGTTTAACAATCTATCATTAAAATATTGACACAGTTCACTATTTGTTACGAGGGAGGAGTGCAGAGAAAGGGACAGCCAGGTGTGCGAGAAAGGATGGAGACGGCACAGCACAGGTTAATGAATAAATAACTTTGTCTGTGAACGTGCTTCTCGCACACCTGGCTGTCCCTTTCTCTGTACTCCTCCCTCGTAACAAATAGTGAACTGTGTCAATATTTTAATGATAGGTTGTTAAACAACTTTATGATTTTTAGGACAAAAATTCTGCAAAAACCTCACAGATTGGGTATGATGTTTTGATTATGATCAGCGTTTCATTGAGTATGTTATGTTTATTAGTTTTCGAGTTAGATTGCAATTCATTGGTCCGCTTTTGAGCCAAACAGACTGTAACATTTAACCAAGGGGAAACACCACGCTCTCCATTGTAAGCTTTGAGTGTCAAAATGTGAACATGATTGAAGTTTCTTTCTTTGTGGTTATTAGTTTGTCTTTTAATGACACACTCAGAATAGTCTTGGTGGATGAACATAAAGCTCTCTATTACCAAATATTTATTTTTACAGTTTGTCTTTGTCCACATTTGTGGCTCTTGCAATTTAACATCAGCCAAGAATATCTGGTGTGCCCTCATGGCAAAAATGTATAGATATTTCATGTCACAGTGTTGTTAGCTCTTACCAAGGATTTAGGAAGGTATTATCTTTTATGCCAGATTGTGCTGGGTTCTAAATCAGTTTTTGATCATCAAGTATAGTGTTTGTGGTAACAAATGATATATTTTTCAGATTATGCTATCTCAGTAACGTACAGATTCTAGTACAATTTAGGGGCGGTGGGGTAGCTTAATGGTTAAAGCGTTGGCTCGTCACGCCGACGACCCGGGTTCAAATCCCCACATGGGCACAATGTGTGAAGCCCATTTCTGGTGTCCCCCGCCATGATATTGCTGGAATATTGCTAAAAGCGGCGTAAAACCAAACTCAGTCAGTCAGTCTAGTACAATTTACACTTATCAGAGGGGTACACAAAGTCTGTGGACAAGACTATGAGTTATTCGACAATCTTTGTGGAAGGTATGATAGGCTGAGTGGGTTAGAAGGCTGACTTTGTGTGCTGGCGACTAGGTGCCTGACTCTGAGAGTGTGGGTTCGAATCCCAGATGGACTAAGCCAAAAAGAGTACTAGAATCTGTATTTTACTGAGAAAGTGTAATCCCAAATATAACATTTTTCACATTTAACCAGTTTCTAATGTGTATTCCTAGTCTTTGTGATGCAGGTTTCATGGAGTATGGCTGCGTCACAACTGTCATTGCCTGGAATGTAAGCAGGTGGACAGCGGTCAGAAGACTCTGGACATTGTCAACATTCCACCCGACATCTCCGTGGAATCAGCGGACATTTCAGGTGCCCTTTTACATCACACATAACATACTGTTCCAAACACTGTGAGTTGTTTGTACAAGCCGTGTTATGATATGAGATTTCTATTCATGCATATGTTAAACATGCCTGCTTCTCCACAACAAAGGGCTGTAATTACATCAATGACTGTTGTAGACCTGTAATACATATGGGAGGTACAACAGTCTCTGTGCTATGGGCACTTTGTGAAACAGGCTTAGAAAGTTGGACATGTTATGTTCTGCTAGCCCTTTGAAATATTGTCTCTGTCTTTGATAGTTTCTAATGCTGTAAGATGTGTTGTTGCATTTTGATGAAGTGGTCCATCACACATTTACTAGTCAGAAAGTTTTTGACTTCCTCAACCATGCCTGGAAGTATTTGTACATACACTACACATGGCTGACTGATAGAGCTGATGTCTTGGATCTCTTTTAAGATTTAGATGATAAGCAAACTTGTGAAATATCAGGTGCTTGTCAGCAACACTATGGTATGCAAATACTGGTGTCCTTTGAGAGTGGAATTCAGATATTTGTAATCTGTGACAGAAACATGCCTGTTTGTCAATATATATATTAAACAAATAAGATACATAAAAAAAACCCTCTTTTATTGAAATGTAGTTTCAGGATGTGGAAATGCAGTTTCCATTACAAACAACAGTATGTTCGTTTTACTGAAGTGTCACATGTTGTACTATTATTTACTGTAATGAAGGCATCTTTTATTCCCATGGTGCTCAATGATTACTTCAAGGCTAGATTAAAGGTCTCACCAACAGAGAAACTGACCTCTGTAATTTTCAAAAAGGTGATTAATACTGTATGCTTTTATAATGTTGAAAAATCTCCATCCCCTCTCCTTGTATATCTAACTTGACTTGGGGCAGTGGGGTTAAAGGATTTGCTTGTCTTCCTGAAGACCTGGGTTCAATTCTTCACATGGGAACAATGTATGAAGCCCATTTTGGGTGTCCGTCTCTGTGCTGTGGTTGTTCATTTCTCTCTACCACTGCTCCTTCACATTTACACACTCCCAGTTTGTAGTAGCCATTTCTTTCAGGCCTTGAAACACTGATTATACTTTCACAACCACAATTTGGTTGGTAACGCCGTATTCAGCAATATTCCAGCTATATGGCCGCGGTCTGTAAACAATCGAATCTGGACCAGACAGTTCAGTGATCAACATCATAAGCATCAATCTACATGATTGGGATACGATGACATGTGTCAACCCAGTCAGCGAATCTCTGACCACCCGATCCAGTTAGTCGCCTCTTACAACAAGCATGGGTTGCCCACTTTCCCTGGGGTAAGAATATCCTAGGACAAAACTTTCCGGGGAAAGTTTGGCCCAGGCTAGATTCTCCCCGGGGAAAGTTTAGACCGAGGAAGAAATGGCCTGCTACACTGGATCTTCATGGATCTCACCACAAACCCTGCATAAAGATAATTTCAACATCAAAAGGTTCACTTGAGCAAAAAGTATTTCCAGATTACTGTTTACGCTTATGAAAGCGTACAACTTAATGTAATTAATGAAGTGAAGCTGTCACTTGGTAGAGTTAAACATGGCTGTAACTCATGTTTGTGTGTGGCAGGGTGACCCACGCTATTTGTGACAGCTGTTTCTCCATGCACCATCTGTTACAATAATAAGCAGTAGGTAGATCCATTTTTTATGTAGTTTATTTATCAATAAGCATGTACTTCAGAAAGTCTGCTGTGTATTTTACATGTATCTCGGCAGAAATTGTGTATTTGTGTAGGTAGTTCTGGTCAATCAACTAGTGATACAGAGACCCGGTAAGTTGTTCATCTGGACATTATTTGAGAAAATGTGAGTGTCCGGATGAGTGAGCTTCGACTGAATTTACATATTGATGGCATGGGACAGTGGTGCTCACAGATTGGCTGTCTGTGATGGTGGTGTTCACAGATTGGCTGTCTGTGATGGTGGTGTTCACAGATTGGCTTTCTGTGATGGTGGTGTTCACAGATTGGCTGTCTGTGATGGTGGTGTTCACAGATTGGCTTTCTGTGATGGTGGTGTTCACAGATTGGCTTTCTGTGATGGTGGTGTTCACAGATTGGCTGTCTGTGATGGTGGTGTTCACAGATTGGCTTTCTGTGATGGTGGTGTTCACAGATTGGCTTTCTGTGATGGTGGTGTTCACAGATTGGCTTTCTGTGATGGTGGTGTTCACAGATTGGCTGTCTGTGATGGTGGTGTTCACAGATTGGCTTTCTGTGATGGTGGTGTTCACAGATTGGCTGTCTGTGATGGTGGTGTTCACAGATTGGCTGTCTGTGATGGTGGTGTTCACAGATTGGCTGTCTGTGATGGTGGTGTTCACAGATTGGCTTTCTGTGATGGTGGTGTTCACAGATTGGCTGTCTGTGATGGTGGTGTTCACAGATTGGCTGTCTGTGATGGTGGTGTTCACAGATTGGCTGTCTGTGACGGTGGTGTTCACAAATTGGCTATGACAGTAGTGTTGTCATATTAGTTGTGTGACAGTGGTGTTCACATATTAGTTGTCTGTGATGGTGGTGTTGACGCATTAGTTGTCTGTGACACTGGTATCCACACAACATATCAATGGCCTGTGTCAGAGCGTGTTCACACACCAATGGCCCGCCGCAGTGTGGTATTCATATACCTGATGTCTGCGATAGACTGGCATGCTTATGTTCAAGGTGATGGAGTGGAACTGAAATGGACCTGTGGACACGTGGGCAGAGTGCCTCTCCAATACCTGCACTCCAACTGTTACTCACAGGAAGCCCGCCACAAACGTGCTGCTCAAGTCAGGCTCACAGATGAGTGCACTGCCAAGGTAGGTACCGTTACTAATTTCCTCTCTAAGCGCCTGGTCGCGTAATTTTTCAATGGACTTTCAGACCCAGCACTTATTGGAGATGAAGCTCTTATTGCTCTTGCTGGGTGTACCGTAATTAATTGTTAGTGAGTATTACTTCAAAGTTAGGGACCATTCCTTAATAAATCTATTTTTGGATGAAGGGAGAATACATTTATAAAGAACGTACCCAGTGCTTATTAGAGACCTGGTGCTAATTTCTTAAACCACTGCTTTATCTCCAGAGCTTATTAGAACCCCTGGCGCTTATTAGACGAAATACGGTAACTCACAAACAGATTTACAAACTAAGAGGTGTCCAAGAGATTGCTGCTGTGCTATTTATATACTGAACATCATTGAAAACGCACCACTTATAAAAGTTCAGATTATTAAAAGCACGTGTATGAAATTGACAGTTTTTGAGTGGACAATAACAGATGGACGACTGACAAAAACAACAACACAGAAAAGACGCTCATTCTTTGAAATATTCCACAGTCAGAAAGGATCAAACACACGTGGGGTCAAATTGAAAAGTCAATATTGCGTGTCACTGCCATTTGCATTGACACATGCAGTTCAACGTCTCCTCATTGAGTCAATAAGGGTCTGAATAGAGTTCTTGAGGATGTAATTCCACTTCTGCAGTAGTGCAGCCTCAAGTTCACGGATGTTTCACATCTGTTTTTTCCGCGAAAGACTTTGACCAATTTCGTCCCACAAGTGCTCCATGGGGGATACATCTGATGACTGTGCTGGCCAGTAAATAACCTGGATGTGTTGCTGGGCCAGATACTGCATGGAAAGTCTTGTTGTGTGTGCCCGTGCGTTGTCCTGTTGAAAAGTATGGACATCTTGGTGGTGATTGAAGATATTTTGATATGATGTGATTCTGAAGAATCTGCTCACGGTAATAAAGGGCATTAACTCTCCTTGACAGACATGAAGGCAGTCCTGTGATTGTAATTTCTTCCACCCCAGACCATGACACTCCCACCACCCAAAGGTCTGTCTGAACCACACACTCATCAGCATAACGTTCACCACGTCTACGCCAAACACGAAATCAGCTGTCAGCATTACGTAGAGGAAGACGTGACTCGTCAGTGACTACCACACCATGCCATTGTTGTAACCTTCACTGAAAATGCCTGCTAGCCCATTGTATACGCTCATTACGGTGTCTGTCAGTCAGAATTGGTCCAACGTAAGGACATCGAGCATGGAGCCCTGTAGCGTGTAGACGGCGTCGCATGGAGTCAGCGCTGATGACCCCAACATCAACCTTGAACTAGTGCAGCAGTCCAGTGTTCAATCACTGATATGGACAAGGTCAATATGGCGATCCTGATGGAGCGTCGTAACATGTTGTTGCCAAGGTCATTGAAGGTCAATGGTGCTGCCTGTCGACTGATGTCGTCTATGAAGCCTAACGATGTTGGAGTGGCCAAGTCGAAAAGTTGTCAAGCAATATCCCTACTGCTGGTGCCAACCTGACTCATGCCTAGTGCACGTTCTCTTTCGTGAGATGTTAACCTCGGCATCTCTGTTCTCGTTTCACAATCGTAACTGAAGCAATGAGAATCGGTTCTCATACACCTGCTTTTAATGTCACAGTCAGTATGATTTCAGAACAAAATTCGCGCTTTTTTTCATGGCGTGGCTGCATGTTGATGCATTTTGGAATTAAGAGTCATACAGTGGACAGTAATTTGTTTCTAAAGCATTTTTTCAACTGGACATGCCCTTCGACTTCATGTTAGTTATATTCATTGATCATTGTCATGCTGAAATCAATCTTGATGAAAATATGGACAAGTTTGGACTGGTGCGTTTTCAGTGATGTTCAGTATATCTAGGTGTCTAACTAGATGTCCAGGTCCTCAAGACCCACTTTGAGCATGCAAAGGAAAGAATGTTTGAACAGCTTTAATCAAGTTTATGACAAAGTAGTGGTGTAGTCAAGTGGTTACAGTGTTTGCTTCTGACACTAACGGCTCAGGTTCAATTTCCATCATAGGTACAATGTATGAAACATGTTTCTGGTGTCCTCTGCCATGGTACTCCTGGAATACAGCAAACAGTAACATCAAACCAATACTCACTTACAACTGCTTGATACCGCTGACAACAGTAAAAAGCTCAAACTTTGAAGTGCTGTTTTCAGTCAAAGGGTGGATGTAGTTCACATGATATTAAAATAATAACTCTTGGCTATTAATGAGTTATTATGATTCGAATGGATGAGGTACTGCAATAACTCCCAATTAATGGAATTTCATAGTAAATGCACCCTTTTTCAAGGGCAGTAACCCAGTTTGTTGCTTTTTGGTACTTATATTTTTGTAACATTTTTGAAAGGGTAGGAGTATGTGTTTGAATAAATTCTATTAAAAAAGTGGATTTCTATAGCTCCAATTTGTCAATCTGTTCCACCCATATTCTGGTCATCAAAAAATTATATGAAAGATGTTTGTTTTTTAGATAAAGATGACTCTTTAAAAACCATTTAGTGAGTCTCATGTTCCTGTTTATTTCAGAGCATCCCAGCCCTGTTGTACAGCGACGTGATACAGTCCCAGACTCAGCTTCTCAAGTAAGCTGATTGTCAGAGTAATAGAGGTGTAATATACTTCCTTTCAAAAGTTAAGGCTCACTTAAAACACTAACTATATGTTATGGATATATATGTGGTTACATCGAAGATTGATTTCTCCAATAACTGCAAACCTCTGCAGATGAATTGCACGAGGATCATGCATCAAGTTGCTGAAAAGCATGTGCAAATGTCATGCATGTGAACAGCTGCGTTTTCGTGTAAAGTTTTGTTAAGAATGCACCAATTTTCACTGAGTTTTTATCATTTATTGAACTCATGACAATAATCTTTTCAACATTATGAATTTGTTTTACAATACATCATCTCATGTGTAAACAGTACCTTTAAACAGTATGGAATACTTTGCAAAATTTAGTTTAGAACAGTTGCCTGAAGTAAGTGGCTATATTTACACTAGTGAGTCTAAACTTTTGAAAGGAAGTATAGGATAGTCTGGCTAATGGACTGGGCAGCTGTAACAATGAGAAACAAAGTAGCTCTCAGTGTCTATTTTCATGAATGTAGACATGTTATTTCCTGGAAGAAAGTTTACCTTTTGTATCCGTGGAGTCATTAATATGATGAGTATTGTTATTGTTTTTTGTGTTTGTTTTTGTGTGGATGTTGCTGTTGTTATTGTTGATATGGTTGATATTGCTGTTGTTATTATTGATATGGTTGATATTGCTGTTGTTATTGTTGATGTGGTTGATATTGCTGTTGTTATCCCCCGCAACGCGTTTTGCGGGGGGTATTAAAATGGACTCCGTCCGTGCGTGCGTCCGTCCGTGCACATTTGTCCGTGCACATTTGTCTTTTCCGGAACAGAACTCTAAAACTGTTCAATATTCCTTCACCAAACTTGGCACATAGATAGATCTGGTGGTGTACTGGTGCCTTTTGGTAGTTTTGGAATTCTGAATAAAATATTTTTGGCGTTTCCATGGCAACAAGTTCGACATTGACTGAAATTAGTGGTAGTGCTCTTTTCCGGAGCTGAACTCTAAAACCGTTCACTATTTCTTCACCAAACTTGGCACATAGATAGATCTGGTGGTGTACTGGTGCCTTTTGGTAGTTTTGGAATTCTGAATAAAATATTTTTGGCGTTTCCATGGCAACAAGTTTGACTTTGAAATTGGTGGTAGTGCTTTTTTCCGGAGCAGAACTCTAAAACCATTCAATATTCCTTCACCAAACTTGGCACATAGATAGATCTGGTGGTGTACTGGTGCCTTTTGCTAGTTTTGGAATTCTGAATAAAATATTTTTGGCGTTTCCATGGCAACAAGTTCGACATTGACTGAAATTAGTGGTAGTGCTCTTTTCCGGAGCAGAACTCTAAAACCGTTCACTATTTCTTCACCAAACTTGGCACATAGATAGATCTGGTGGTGTACTGGTGCCTTTTGCTAGTTTTGGAATTCTGAATAAAATATCTTTGGCGTTTCCATGGCAACAAGTTCGACTTTTAAATTTGTGGTAGTGCTTTTTTCCGGAGCAGAACTCTAAAACCGTTCAATATTTCTTCACCAAACTTGGCACATAGATAGATCTGGTGGTGTACTGGTGCCTTTTAGTAGTTTTGGAATTCTGAATAAAATATTTTTTAGCGTTTCCATGGCAACAAGTTCGACATTGACTGAAATTGGTGGTAGTGCTCTTTTCCGGAGCAGAACTCTAAAACTGTTCACTATTTCTTCATCAAACTTGGCACATAGATAGATCTGGTGGTGTACTGGTGCCTTTTAGTAGTTTTGGAATTCTGAATAAAATATTTTTGGCATTTCCATGGCAACAAGTTCGACTTTGACTGAAATTGGTGGTAGTGCTCTTTTCCGGAGCAGAACTCTAAAACCGTTCAATGTTTCTTCACCAAACTTGGCACATAGATAGATCTGGTGGTGTACTGGTGCCTTTTGGTAGTTTTGGAATTCTGAATAAAATATTTTTGGCGTTTCCATGGCAACAAGTTTGACTTAGACTGAAATTGTAGTAGTGCTCTTTTCCGGAGCAGAACTCTAAAACCGTTCAATGTTTCTTCACCAAACTTGGCACATACATAGAGCTGGTGGTGTACTGGTGCCTTTTGGTAGTTTTGGAATTCTGAATAAAATATTTTTGGCGTTTCCATGGCAACAAGTTTGACTTAGATTGAAATTGGTGATAGTGCTCCCCTTCTGGAGCAGAACTTTCAAAACCTTTCAATACTCTCCTTCCACTTTTCTATATACACACCTAAATATTTGACATAATCATAACTCGTAGACATAATCATGAAGAGTATTTTGCCATTGCGGGGGATATTGATGACTTTGTCTTCTTGTTATTGTTTTTTGTGGATGTTGCTGTTGTTATTATTGATGTGTTTGATATTGTTGTTATTATCCCTCTTGCAACGCTGGTGGTGTACTTTATGGTATTAAATGGACCATGGCCGTTCGACTTAGACTGAAATTGGTGGTCAGTCATTCGTCTTCACCAAACTTGGCACATACATAGATCTGGTGGTGTACGGTCCTGCAATAAAATATTTTTGGCAACAAGTTTGTCTTTTTCCGAGCAGAACTCTAATACCATTCAATATTTCTTCACCAAACTTGGCACATACATGGATCTGGTGGTGTACTGGTGCCTTTTGGTAGTTTTGGAATTCTGAATTAAATATTTTGGCGTTTCCATGGCAACAAGTTTGACTTAGACTGAAATTGGTGGTTGTGCTCTTTTCCGAGCAGAACTCTAAAACCATTCACTATTTCTTCACCAAACTTGGCACATAGATAGATCTGGTGGTGTACTGGTGCCTTTGGTAGTTTTGGAATTCTGAATAAAATATTTTTGGCGTTTCCATGGCAACAAGTTTGACTTAGACTGAAATTGGTGATAGTGCTCCTTTCTGGAGCAGAACTTTTTTGGCAAAACCTTTCAATACTCTCCTTCCACTTTTCTATACACACCTAAATATTTGACATAATCATAACTCGTAGACATAATCATGAAGAGTATTTTGCCATTGCAGGGGATATTGATGACTTTGTCTTCTTGTTGTTGATGTGTTTGATATTACTGTTGTTATTGTTGATATGGTTGATATTGCTGTTGTTATTGTTGATGTGGTTGATATTGCTGTTGTTATTGTTGATGTGGTTGATATTGCTGTTGTTATTATTCATGTGGTTGATATTGCTGTTATTGTTGATATGGTTGATATTGCTGTTGTTATTGTTGATATAGTTGATATTGCTGTTGTTATTGTTGATATGGTTGATATTGCTGTTGTTATTGTTGATATTGTTATAGTTATTATTATTGTTATCATTATAATATATATTCTCATTGACAGATGGCTGACACTGATCAATCAATATGGTCTCTGCCTACTGACAGGGGTTCCGCTAGAACAAAACATGGTAACAAAGGTAAGGAAGGTTAGATGGTTCTTTTATACATACATATATATGTCGACAAGGTGTATCAGGCATGCCTTGTGTCTGTAGGTATGCAAATTTTGTATTAAAAGAAACTATATATGTGGGAATTTAAATGTGATCATAAATCCTTTGTTACTTTGTATCATATTGAAGGAATGTTGTCAACAATAAAGGTGAGATGAGCTAAAGTGAGATTTAACAAAGTGGCCAATATTATTGCGTTCTCTTAGCAATGTCTGTGAGTGTGTTTTTTAGGATGGGGGGTCATCTGATTGTGCTGTTCTTGACTCACAGGAGGCAAGATACTCTTTCTTAAGCTAACTGTCCATGTTTTATCCCGGAACACAAGTCAGGGTAACAACAAGTACCATTTTTAAACATTCTTTGTTCTGATGGGCTGTGAAACGAAATACTGACCTTTTCCCTTTTTACACATTCCATAGTCAAAATAGAACATGTTCAGTAAAAATTAAAACTGATTGATTGACCAATTGTGCCTTGAAACTGATAACGACATGACGGAGAACATCAACTCTTTTACATGGAGTTATATAATTAATACATATATAGGGATGGTTGCTGTTATTCACAAATGTTGAAACATCTTCCTGACCCTCCTTTATGCACCCATCCCTGAATTTATCTATGAGAGTCCCTTCTGTGTTTAAGTTTATGGACCCATGAAGATCCAGGTTAGAATTGATCTTCAGCAACCCATGCTTGTCGTAAGAGGCGACTAACGGGATTGGGTGGTCAGGCTCGCTAACTTGGTTTACACATGTCATCGGTTCCCAATTTTGTAGATCGATGCTGATGCTGTTGATCCCTGGAATGTCTGGTCCACACTCGATTATTTACATACCGCCACCATATAGCTAGAATATTGCTGAGTGCGGTGTAAAACTAAACTCACTCACTCACTCACTTTGAGTTTATGTTTTTGTTGCTAGGTTGCAGAGTTGATTGACAGACCTCAACATACCATATATGGAGACGTAAGTTATTATTTATTTCTTCTGACCATTCCGCAAACAAATCTTCGCACTATTGTGATGAAAAAGTTTGCACACAATACACAAATTTCTGCCTTAATTCATGGGCTGCTTCTAAATTAATTTTAGGACGGTGTTTTGATACTCATCTATGCATAATATGTCATCACTCACCAGTTTTGGCGATTTTGCTCAAAGTTACTTTGATATTTATCAATATATCAATCAATATTTAGTAAACAATTATCGATCTCAATGATGTAGATCAATAGCCAGCCCTAATGGTTGTAAATCTGTGTTTATGTTCTGATTGCTTTAGCACGAACAATGTAGTTAGGAACTGGGCTCACATGTTTAAATGGACTTTGGTGGCAAAGTCAAATGGGGTTTAATGTTGAAGATTATTACACCTATACAGTGATATGCATTATTCATATTTTAGCGTGTTTGATCAAACCACTGACTTTTGGGTTGACTCTCTATCTGCTGTGCCATGTAGGCCGACGTTGAAATATTGAGGTCAAAACAGCTAATACGTATCGCATATGAACAAATTGGTTGATTTTGACACAATATACAGTTACAACTTGTCACATTGAGCTCAAAGAAATCTCATCATATACAGATGGTAAAAATCTTACCACATTGCTCGAACAAGTGTAAGGTTCTTACGGGACAAGTTATATAATTAAGACAATTTTGGGATTCAAGCCCATGGCCTACTTTTTTGTCATGATTTCATTTCCAAACAATAACGTCTGCCGTTACAATATACAGTCATTAAAGTTTTGGAAACATTCTGCAGGTTATTCAATACAAAAATATGATCATCAAAGTATAAATATTGTCAAAACTTGACTGACTTGACTTTGGTTTTTTAGTCATTTGACGTAGTGAGCACTCCTCGTCCAATCAACATCGCCTACTCTAGTGTTGGCCTTGACCTTCACATGGACCTTGTGTACTATGAGTCTCCTCCCGGTCTGCAGCTTCTGTTTGCTAGAAGGTGACAATTTGATTTGATTAAAATACAGCCATGACATCACTCGAATATTTTATCAGTGAATTATCTGTGAGTAACTGACAGACTTTCCACCTACTTTATGCAGTGCAGATTTTGCAGTCATGCATAAATTCTAAGCAGGTGCGTTACGAATGTAGTGCATGTGCAGGACTTAAGTACTGTCGGAAATAGAAAAAAACTGTTTTTAGGCTGTTACTCTGTATCCCTAAAATTTACACAATCGCAAATAGCATATGTCGAAATAACCCACTTCGGCCTAACTGGGCGTTCAGTGGGATGCGTAATACGATATCCAGAAAAGCATGTTTACTCGTAAAATCGGGCAAAACTTAGAAAAAATACGAATAGCTGCTGAAAACAATAGATCAGACTATAGATGGCAATTAGGTCGCTCAGACAGGTATGATGACGGACCATCGACTCACCTGGCATGAAATGCACGTGCTGCCTACAGGCACAAGGGGTCATCTCAAAGATATTTTGTGCTTTGTCATGTGTGTTGACTATGTCTCATCTACTGATTAACATCTTACGTGTCTTTCTTTCATAAAGTTTATGTTGAGATATGTAAGAGAGTATGATACCCGAAAACCATAGAAGCGCGTCATGAGTATATAGGTGGCATGACCACCCGAAGATCGACAGGACTGGATATTATTTGTAAATTATTATGCCGTGCCGTGTACCTCCCCAGTATAATTGCCCTAAAGGATTATCTTATCTTAGCTGATATCTCTATCCCCAAGCCCGACCCCAGGTTTTGCTTTTTGAGGCGACCCCTCCTATCTGTTTCTTTTTATAGTGACAGTGAGACTGCATGGTAGCTACATCCTTAATAGTTTCGGCATAAAAGTTATTATTTTTTTATAATGAATCGTCAGCTATAGTTTATAATGAATCTACGCCTAATTTCAAATTGGGCATTTAAAAAGTGTCCTTTGTAATACAATATCGTCACACACTAATTTGCATAAAGCTTAGCTCTTAGTTTAACAGATATTTCACACTTTCACATATCAACTACATAAATTGTAGAGATAAAAGAGAAAATACAGTTTTTTTCTATTTCCGACAGTACTATAGTATATTGGCTCATTCTTTCATTCATTCATTCATTCATGCATTCCTGAAGACTTTATTCTGAATCTGATTATGCTCACTTTGATACTGTATTGTAAGTCAGAGAAGAGACATGTAAATGGACATTCTTTATAATAATGATAGTCACCAGATACATTGTTTGTACTAACTGTTCAGTTTCCTGTAATTTATCATATGTATGCAATAATCTACTGTATGTTCTAATGGGAAGAAGTGAGACAATATGTGTCTGTATCTAAAGCCAAATTGTTTCACTGATATATTTTATGTAAACTGCAGAGTTACAATGCAAATATAGTATTTCTAATGTAATCTTCTTTAAATAGTGATAATTCATTTTTTAGCAGGACTTTGAATGACACACTGATTATAAGTTACAAAAAGTAAGTGAAATGAGAGATAGTGGCATCACTTGTTCGAAACACAGTAACAAATGTGTCAACAGTATTTATGGTAGTAGACTTGAAATTAATATTAATGTAGACCAACCCTCAGCTTTGACTTAGCTGATGATGTACGGGGTACTGGGTTAAAATTCATTCCATTCAATGTTGCTAGATATTACAGGCGATTTAAAGGATCATATGGTCAGGGGGCGCTGGGGTAGCCTAGTGGTTAAAGCGTTGGCTCGTCACGCCTAAGACCCGGGTTCGATTCCCCACATGGGTACAATGTGTGAAGCCCATTTCTGGTGTCCCCCGCCGTGATGTTGCTGGAATATTGCTAAAAGCGGCATAAAACCAAACTCAGTCAGTCAGTCAGTCATATGGTCAGGCTGACTGAGTGTCATCATGACATGACAGAGTGGGACATTGTTCATAATATCTATCACTGGATTGTCAGGTTCAAACTTTATTATTAAATGCCTCTGTCATATAGATTGGATGTTGATATAATATGGAAGTATGATGTTGGATAACAAATCTGTGCAGCAGTGAATTGTTTCAGACTTCAGTGGTTTATGTAGATCTGCTCAGAGGATACTCTCCCCCAAGTCTGCAGCAAATGTCCGTAAAAATTCCCAAATTGTAATCACTGATTTTCCATGTTAAGTTGCATAGTATTAACTAATTTTGTGTTTTTTACAGGTCACATGTATTTCATGGACCAATTTAAACATCATAATATTTAAAAAAGAAGTTTACTTTAGTATAGTAAGTTAATGCCTGGGCCCCGTTCCTCAAAGCGATCGTAACAATAACACGATCGTAACTCCCCTACATAGACTTACTACAGTCGTAGCACTACGATCGCTTTGAGGAACGAGGCCATGGTCTTGGGCAGCTGGGAGTTAAACTTACCATGTACTGTAATTTGTGTAAGTGTATCTGTAGACTAGATGGTATTTTCTATTTGGAACTGAGCTTTTTACCATGATGATCAATCAACATGGAAACAAATCACTGTGTTCATCGTTCTCGCCATTTTGGTTGAAGTTGATGGTGATCTGAAACCAGGGTGCCACCATGATGTATTGCTCTGGCTTAATCAGTAGTATATGGCTTTAATCTTAAAAGTTATGGTGATAATAATTTCAGGTTCGACAAGTGTGTTGAAGGTGGAGAAAGTGTATTCCTTGATGTATTCCGAGTGGCAGAAGATTTCCGAGAACAGAACTCACAACACTTCCAATCTCTTGTAGAGGTTCCTGCAACTTTCCAGAAGGTGCATTATGACAGGTAGGATGCCCTTAAGAGTCCCAAGAATGTCTGGGGACCATGATCCAAGGTCCATGTCCGTTTCAGCAATATTCTATCTATCTCTCAGCAAGGGACACAGAAACTGACTTCACACTGTGTACCCTTATCGGGGACCGCCCCCGTGGTGTAGTGGTTAGAGAGTCCGCCCGGAGAGCGGAAGGTCACGGGTTCGATCCCCGACCGCGTCATACCAAAAGACGTTAAAATATGGGACTTGTTGGTCCCCGCCTGGTGCTGGGCATTAATGGGTACAACAAGGACTGGTCGGCTCGTAGTCAGTATAATGTTTCTGAGTGGGGTATTCATGCTTCACTGCGGCATGGTATCTCAGTGGGCTAGCACTATAAAACCAGCTTAAGTCTGGGCTAGTACAAGCAGCCGCACATACACATACATGCACGTTGTCATATGAGCGAAATATTCTCAAGCACGACGTTAAACCCAATTTCACCTCACCTCACCCTTATCGGGAAACAACTCGGTCTTTAGGTCTGACAAATTAAGGCTTTAATCATAAGACTGCCCTATTACCACAGCAAAGGTTCAGCAGTATTTCAGCTGTATGGAAACATTTAAGTTTAAAGCTGCACCCAGTGACTCTGCTTTGCTATGAGGTGAGGAGGTGAAATGGGTTTTGATGTCATGGTCAAGATTATTGCACTTGAAATGGGATATGCCTGCAAGTTCAGTGACATTTTTATCCCACCGGCATGTAATGCGGGGGGATATAGTCGTCGCCTCGGCCGTCTGTCCGTCCGTCCGTAATCATTTTGTTTCCAGAGCATAACTCAAAGACCGTTCGATATTTTTTAACCAAAATTGGTAGATATGTCAAACATAACCTAAGGTGGTGCCTTTTGCTATTTACAGATTGTTGTCATTTTTATTTTTCTCGGTTTCCATGGAAACGTTTTGGACTTAGTTTTAAAGAAGGGTGGGCTTCGTTTCCGGAGCATAACTCAAGAACCGTTCAATATTTTTAACAAAACTTGGTAGATATATCAAACAGATCCTAAAGTGGTGCCTTTTGCTATTTGCAGATTTTTGGCATTTTACTTTTCCGGTTTCCATGGAAAAGATTTTGGACTTAGTTGCAAAAGTGAGGGGTGGGCTTCGTTTCGAGCACAACTCAAAACTTCTCAATATCTTTCAACAAAACTTGGCAGATATGTGAGGCAGATCCCAAAGTGGTGCCTTTGCTATTTGCAGATTTTTGTGATTTATTATTTTCTCGGTTTCCATGGAAATTATTCGACTTAGTCTCAAAAGGAAGGGTGGGTTTCATTTCCGAGCACAACTGAAAACTTCTCAATATCTTTCAGCAAAACTTGGCAGATATGTGAGGCAGATGCCAAAGTGGTGCCTTTTGCTATTTGCAGATATTTGTGATTTATTATTTTCTCGGTTTCCATGGAAACAATTCTGACTTAGTCTCAAAAGGGAGGGGTAGGTTTTGTTTCGAGCACAACTGCTAAAAACTTCTTAATATCTTTCAGCAAAACTTGGCAGATATGTGAGGCAGATCCCAAAGTGGTGCCTTTGCTATTTGCAGATTTTGTCATTTATTTTTTTCATGATTTCCATGGAAATGATTTGCACTCAGTCTAAAATCAAGCTGGACTTTAAGTAACTGTCAGATGATTTGTTCTTTCAAAGATGTGGAGGCGGGGGATATGTCATCTTCTGATGACTCTTAGTTATTATCCCCGCAGCCGCTTTTGGCGGGTATTAAATGGACTCCGTCCGGTAGTCCGTCCGATCACCGGTCCAGTCCAATCCGTCCGTCCGCACATTTCTTCTTTTCCCGAGCAGAACTCTAAAACCGCTCGATGTTTCTTCACCAAACTTGGCACATACATGGATCTGGTGGTGTACTGGTGCCTTTTGGTAGTTTTGGAATTCTGAATAAAATATTTTTTGGCGCTTTCCATGGCAACAAGTTCGACTTATAGATCTGGTGGTGTATTTTGCCTTTTGTTAGCTGCAGTTTGACATTAATACACTTTGCTAAATTGACACAGTGCTGCTGCCATTCAGTCTTTCAAACCTTTCATGCTCCAAGCACCAAGCCGGGTTATAAGCATAATCACCTTCAACATCTTTGGGTCTGACATGGGTTGGGATTGTCTTCCATTGAACTTTATACCAAGGAAATACCCTGTCCACAAACTCTTCTTAGCACCAAGCCGGGTAATAAAAGCGTCCACCTTTAACATCTTTGGGTCTGGGGTAGACTAGTGGTTAAAGTATTCACTCATCATGGCGAAGACAGGAGTTTGATTCCCCACATGGGTACAATGTGTGAAGCCCATTTCTGGTGTCCCCCACAGTGATATTGTTGGAATATTGCTAAAAGAGGTGTAAAACCCGACTCACTCACTCACATCTTAGCACCACATCATTTATAAGCCTGTGATAAAGTATAGAGTTAAAATGGGTCATTACGCTGTGAATGCTTTGTGGATCAGAACCCTGTACTCTGGTAGATGTTCTGTCAACTAAAACAGTGGCAGTTTCTATGCTTGTGGAGAAACTGGACATAGTAGGGATTGGGTGGTCACTATGTCTGCTGAGTATGGCTTGAACAGTAAAATTGATGGAAGGCTAACAGAAGTGATCGGTCATGTGGCCAGGGTAATGCCCCATTTACTTTACATTTATCCCCATTAACATTGACTTGGTGGTGCTACAATCAGTTTGTGGCCGTTCCACAAGTCATAATTGCTAAGATGATCGTAACTTGAATACTGTAACATCAGCTTACTTGTTTACATTTTTATCGAATCTAGACCAAAGCTATTAGAAAAGTATATGTTAAAGAAAGTGTAAAACTGGCTCATCAAGGTAGAGTATGGTTATTAGTCACGAATTAATGAAAGGAAAATTGGTGTATTTACGGTACAAGGCCTTCGGTATATCAGATATGATCATAATGCAGAATACTGACAAGAGCCAAACCTTACATTGTTTAATAACATTGAAAAAAATAACCATAATCTTTGTTATTTTGAATGAACAAAACTGTCATTTTATGACTAGATAAACACCCGAAAATCCCAAATTTTGGGATTGCATTACGAAATACCGGACCGATGGCAAAATACCACGGTTCTACCAATACCGTTTCACCCCTACCAGCAAGGAAAAAAATGTTATGGTGTACACACTGTTTTGATTTTGACTGACATGGTCAGTCTTATCTGTGGGAGAAAACATATGTAGAAAAAAGAGATAGTCACAGGGGCCCCGGACAGGTCAGTGGGATTGTGTCGTATACTACACAATAAAAGAAACTTCCCAAACATCCCCATATAGAACAAAGTGTGTTGCTAGTGGATGAATCTGGTTTTATGGACGTAATGAGCATACACTAAAACACAATTAGGCGTTAAGGTTTGTTTGTTGCACCTTCCAGGATCACAACGGGGTCACTTTTTGATTTCACAGGGACAAGCCCTCTGTATTGGAGCTTGTTCAGTACCATTGTACCAATATGGCGCCAGTAGCTCTTGAACATTCTGGGGTTGAAGTCTCAAGGCACAAAGACTTCTCCCAAGAGCATCCCATACATGTTCGATGGGATTGAGATCAGGTGATCCCGATGGCAACTCCATGACATCAATACCACATTTTGCAGAAAATGTAGCCATCTACAGGTGCAATTGTGCCCAGAGTCAGTGTATGAAATAAGGCCCGTCCGACCGCCTGAGACGGGCTAGATTTCTAAATTTACGGCTAGCCTGAGTACATTCACCATATCTTGGTGTCTGGCCTGGTTAAATCCATTTTGGCAGTCTGGCTGGGTTTTTTGGCTTATTTCATACGCTGCCAGAGTAGACATTGTTTATGATTTACATGGGTCAGAATTGGCCCAACAAGAGCACGTCGGACCCGAAGATGGGTAGCGCACCAGTGATGTACTGGGCAGTTACGTGAACCCCTAACAGTGATTTACTGGTTGACATTGTGGTTGTCAAATGATGTAGCCAGTTTGATTGTCCTCGGCATGTGGCGTCCCTCGACCATTTGTCATACCCATTTGATGCACTTGTGTCCTTAGGTTGTGAATTGTCCATGTAATGCAACAGGAACTGTAGATTGGCCAGCCGGGAGAATGTTAATTGCACGTTTACATTCAACATTTGTAAGGCGTGGTATGAGAATAGTTTTGGGTCATTCGGGAATGGAGATGCAACTGGGTTTCTTGCATCTGTCATTCAAGTGTTTTTAACGTTGTTCATTAATATCGGTTACACAATAAAAAAAGAATTTTCAGTTTGCTATAAACAATTATATTTCTTATTGAAGCTATAGACAGGTGAGCTACAGAGCCTTGTCACATTCTATATATAACAGGTCTTTTCTTCCATCACAGAGAGTCTCCAGTTCACATAACTTTCCAGCGACCTCACATTGTCCTCAACAATAATAATGAGGTCAGTGATATATTGATATTTAACATTTCTTCCATCCATCCATCCATCCGTCTGTTCGTTCGTCCGTCCGTCCATCATCCATCCATCCATCCATGCAAACACCCACCCAACTATTCATTCATGCATTCATTCATTCATTCATCAACATTCCCCAAAAAGTGATAATGAAGTCAGTGATATATTGATATTTAATGTCCGTCCATCTGTCTATCCATCCATCCAAACACCCACCAACTTATTCATTCGTTCGTTCATTTGTTCATTCGTTTATTTGTTCATTCATACACCCATCCCTCTATCCATCCATCTATCTGAATGGTCTGAACAGTATTTCGGCAAGAGAACAATGCCTTAGCAACATGTTTGCCTTGTTCAAGGTTTAGCTATGGAATTAATCAAACTACCCCTGATTATTGTCTCCTATTTTCTTTCAAACAACAGTCTATTTGCTGTTATCATTTCATACTTGTTTCAGATTGTGAACGTCAATTGGGCTCCAGCATTTGAGGGACCCTTATCCATACCAGAGGTGAGAAACAACATGAATGACTTCAAAAACATTCAGCCTTAAGAGCTACATTAAATGGACCTGTTGTTAATGTGTTTAAGAATTTGTATGTTAACTGAATTTATTATTTATATTTAAGGTTGACATAGAGAGATATTATGCAGCCTACCAGAGTTTTGCCAAGGCTCTTGAGGCGTCGCCCCATACGGTACGTAGATGAAATCAATGCTGTTGATAACTCGTCTTTAATATCCCTGATTAGACTGATAAGGATTCATGTTTTTTCTCAGAAGTACACTGTTGTAGTAAAGATCTGCATCATTTAAGATTTTTGCCTTAAACCCACATCCGAATCATCTGCTCTGGAGAAAAAACAGCTTTTTTGTAGTAGGGTCGTAGTTATGAAGTGTCTGATCATGGACAAACTGTCTGGAGAATATACCTTATTTGGAAATATTTGTCACAAGTATTAAGGCAACTTTTGTTAGCTAAACTCACTGAAATTCATGGCCACTTTGTCCAGCATCAAGACTAAAACTATTGTCCTTAGAAACTACTTGACAAATGACTGAAACATTTCTGTTACCATTAATATGGACATCCCAAATTATTTGTTAATATTTTGAAAATGTAATCAGATTTATTACATCTTAGTAGTGGGGCTTAACATATATGTTCTTTTTTTATGGGATTATTACCTAGATTAGTCCTTTGTGTTTTAACCATACTGAAAGCTTGTAGCTCTTATGCCCTTTCTTAGCCAGTGTTGTTCAAATTGTAATGAAATTTGGTATAGATGGAGTTTAAGTAGTGGAGCTACACGAAAAAATGTTGTATTGAGATGTCTTCTATTTTTGTCTTTGGATTATATATAAGACCTGCTTTATGATGGGGATGAATCTATATTGATTTTATACACGTTGATATTTTTACCGTGAATGTTGACAAAGGATGATATTTGTCAAGATCTTGTCCAAAATGCTTTGCCTCTGGCATTGTGCATGGAACTGATTATGTTTCAGTTAACTTATCAACTACAGGAGGGTGATGTAGTTGTCTTTAACAACCGCAGGATGCTTCATGGGCGTCACAGTTTCACCCTCAACGGAGGTTCTCGCCTACTGGAGGTAAGGTCACCTTGAGGTCATCTTGATCAATGACATATCTTTGATTCTCCTCTAACAGACATGTTCCTCGACTGGAGGTAGGGTCATCTTGAACAGTGTCATATCTTTGGTTGTCCTCTAACAGACACGCTCTTCTACTGGAGGTAGGGTCATCTTGATCAATGACATATCTTTGTTTGTCCTCCAAAAGACACGCTCTTCTACTGGAGGTAGGGTCATCTTGATCAATGACATATCTTTGGTTGTCCTCTAACAGACACGCTCTTCTACTGGAGGTAGGGTCATCTTGATCAGTGACATATCTTTGGTTGTCCTCTAACAGACATTCTCTTCTACTGGAGGTAGGGTCATCTTGATCAATGACATATCTTTGGTTTGTCCTCTAAAAGACACGCTCTTCTACTGGAGGTAGGGTCATCTTGATCAATGACATATCTTTGGTTGTCCTCTATCAGACACTCTCTTCTACTGGAGGTAGGGTCATCTTGATCAATGACATGTCTTTGGTTGTCCTCTAACAGACATGCTCTTCTACTGGAGGTAGGGTCATCTTGATCAATGACATATCTTTGGTTGTCCTCTAACAGACACGCTCTTCTACTGGAGGTAGGGTCATCTTGATCAATGACATATCTTTGGTTGTCCTCTATCAGACATTCTCTTCTACTGGAGGTAGGGTCATCTTGATCAATGACATATCTTTGGTTGTCCTCTAACAGACACGCTCTTCTACTTGAGGTAGGGTCATCTTGATCAATGACATATCTTTGGTTGTCCTCTATCAGACAGTCTCTTCTACTGGAGGTAGGGTCATCTTGATCAATGACATATCTTTGGTTGTCCTCTAACAGACACGCTCTTCTACTGGAGGTAGGGTCATCTTGATCAGTGACATATCTTAAGTTGTCCTCTAACAGACATTCTCTTCTACTTGAGGTAGGGTCATCTTGATCAATGACATATCTTTGGTTGTCCTCTAACAGACACGCTCTTCTACTGGAGGTAGGGTCATCTTGATCAATGACATATCTTTGGTTGTCCTCTCTATCAGACACGCTCTTCTACTGGAGGTAGGGTCATCTTGATCAATGACATATCTTTGGTTGTCCCTCTATAAGACATTCTCTTCTACTGGAGGTAGGGTCATCTTGATCAATGACATATCTTTGGTTGTCCTCTCTATCAGACATTCTCTTATACTGGAGGTAGGGTCATCTTGATCAGTGACATATCTTATTGTCCTCTAACAGACATTCTCTTCTACTTGAGGTAGGGTCATCTTGATCAATGACATATCTTTGGTTGTCCTCTAACAGACACGCTCTTCTACTGGAGGTAGGGTCATCTTGATCAATGACATATCTTTGGTTGTCCTCTAACAGACACGCTCTTCTACTGGAGGTAGGGTCATCTTGATCAATGACATATCTTTGGTTGTCCTCTATAAGACATTCTCTTCTACTGGAGGTAGGGTCATCTTGATCAATGACATATCTTTGGTTGTCCTCTATCAGACATTCTCTTATACTGGAGGTAGGGTCATCTTGATCAATGACATATCTTTGGTTGTCCTCTATCAGACACGCTCTTATACTTGAGGTAGGGTCATCTTGATCAATGACATATCTTTGGTTGTCCTCTAACAGACATTCTCTTCTCCTGGAGGTAGGGTCATCTTGATCAATGACATATCTTTGGTTGTCCTCTATCAGACACTCTCTTCTACTGGAGGTAGGGGTCATCTTGATCAATGACATGGGTTGTCCTCCAGGTAGGGTCATCTTGATCAATGACATATCTTTGGTTGTCCTCTCTAACAGACACGCTCTTCTACTTGAGGTAGGGTCATCTTGATCAGTGACATATCTTTGGTTGTCCTCTATCAGACATTCTCTTCTACTGGAGGTAGGGTCATCTTGATTAATGACATATCTTTGGTTGTCCTCTAACAGACATTCTCTTCTACTGGAGGTAGGGTCATCTTGATCAATGACATATCTTTGGTTGTCCTCTATCAGACACTCTCTTCTACTGGAGGTAGGGTCATCTTGATCAGTGACATATCTTTGGTTGTCCTCTAACAGACACGCTCTCTTCTACTGGAGGTAGGGTCATCTTGATCAGTGACATATCTTAAGTTGTCCTCTAACAGACATTCTCTTCTACTACTGAGGTAGGGTCATCTTGATCAATGACATATCTTTGGTTGTCCTCTAACAGACACGCTCTTCTTCTACTGGTGGTAGGGTCATCTTGATCAATGACATATCTTTGGTTGTCCTCTAGCAGAAACAGCTCTTCTACTGGAGGTAGGGTCATCTTGATCAATGACATATCTTTGGTTGTCCTCTATAAGACATTCTCTTCTACTGGAGGTAGGGTCATCTTGATCAATGACATATCTTTGGTTGTCCTCTATCAGACATTCTCTTATACTGGAGGTAGGGTCATCTTGATAAATGACATATCTTTGGTTGTCCTCTAACAGACACGCTCTTATACTTGAGGTAGGGTCATCTTGATCAGTGACATATCTTTGGTTGTCCTCTAACAGACATTCTCTTCTACTGGAGGTAGGGTCATCTTGATCAATGACATATCTTTGGTTGTCCTCTATCAGACACTCTCTTCTACTGGAGGTAGGGTCATCTTGATCAATGACATGTCTTTGGTTGTCCTCCAACAGACATGCTCTTCTACTGGAGGTAGGGTCATCTTGATCAATGACATATCTTTGGTTGTCCTCTAACAGACAAGCTCTTCTACTTGAGGTAGGGTCATCTTGATCAGTGACATATCTTTGGTTGTCCTCTATCAGACATCTCTCTTCTACTTGAGGTAGGGTCATCTTGATCAGTGACATATCTTTGGTTGTCCTCCAAAAGACATTCTCTTCTACTGGAGGTAGGGTCATCTTGATCAATGACATATCTTTGGTTGTCCTCCAACAGACATTCTCTTTTACTGGAGGTAGGGTCATCTTGATCAATGACATATCTTTGGTTGTCCTCCAACAGACATTCTCTTCTACTGGAGGTAGGGTCATCTTGATCAATGACATATCTTTGCTTGTCCTCTAACAGACACGCTCTTCTACTGGAGGTAGGGTCATCTTGATCAATGACATATTTGTTGGAGGTACGGTTTTCTTGATGGATGAGAATCCTTTGTTGTCCTTGAACAGTGGTCCCCACCTTTTTAAGGCAGCATCTTGTTGACAGTACATCTGTATGTTATTACAGAGGTGCTTGCCAACTGAAATCTTGATCAAAGATACATCTATTGTTACACTTTAACAGAGGTGTTTGCCAGCTACAGAAAGTGTCATGTTCATCCATAGCATTGCTACTCTCAAATGGAGGTTCCTTCTTAATGTCTAATCATCTGTTGTTTCAAATGAACTATTTCCAGTTTGAAAAAGGGTCTATCTTTATGTGAAACTGACTTTTTCAGGGCTGCTATGTTCATATTGACCACTTCAAGAGCAAGCTACAGGTTCTCTCAAACACAGTCGGTGATGGGCATCCTGCTAGAAGAGTTGGAAACCAGGACTGGTTCTGATATGTTGGGGCACCTACAACTCCACCAACCAGGTGCTGTGCTAGAAGCACAACGGCTCTAATTTGTGTTGGGGCATCGTGAAATCAAGAATCAGCATCTTGATGTGTAGAGTTCTGATGCTTAGACATTCTAGTATTTGTTATTCATTTGTGTGAATTTTTGCCCCAGTAATGACCCTTAGTCATGTGTCAGTACACATGTTTGGCTTTCAACCTTCCATTTTGACATGGTATGAGTAAAAGAAAGTAAACTGATATGTTTACTGAATCAGATATTATTTCAGCCGTAGGCTTCCCAAGACAGGTTATTGTTACATTATTTGTTGCCAAGATAGTAAATATACTGCTCCACTATTTGTTTTCATGACACTTAATATACTGCTCCACCATTTGTTTTCGTGACAGTTGATATACTGTTCCACTATTTGTTTTCATGACACTTAATATACTGCTCCACCATTTGTTTTCATGACAGTTGATATACTGCTCCACCATTTGTTTTCATGACACTTACTATACTGTTCCACTATTTGTTTTCATGTCACTTTTAACACTTTTAAAATATACTGCTCCACTATTTGTTTTCATGACACTTAATATACTGCTGCACTATTTGTTTTCATGTCACTTTTAAAATATACTGCTGCACTATTTGTTTTCATGTCACTTTTAAAATATACTGCTCCACTATTTGTTTTCAGGACACTTAATATACTGCTCCACTATATATTTTCATGACAGTTGATAAACTGTTTCTCTATTTGTTTTCATGACAATTGATATACTGTTCCACTATTTGTTCCAATGACAGTCAATATATTGTTCCACTATTTGTTCCCATGTAATCATGAGATCAAACCAGAGTGATGTCATATATATCTCACACCTGAGTTTGTGCAGAAACCTACTTCTGACGTTTTGAAAATATAATGTGATTCAGCATGAAGTGTGCTCAGATGTCAGTGAATATTCAGTTGTGGAAATATACTTAGTTCCAAAAGAAACGCGACATTCATGTTTGTTTTTGAAATTTCGATAATTGTCTTATCTACTTTACAATCATAACGAATGTGCATGTTAAATGTTCTTTTAAACCAATTTTCGAAATTAAACTTCAGAAACAAGACTTTTAACGTAACAACATTTTTATGGGACGAAACAACAGAGCGCATCACATACCGGGTAAACGCATGCCCTGACGCATTGTGCACGTGAATTTAATGATACGATGCTTTAACCATTAGGCTAACCCACTGCCCCTCTTAACAGGGTTAAATGTAGGTGTTTCAAGCATGGCAATATGTATATGTATCACCCTGGTGTCATCATTGTCTTATTTAATTGTCTATATATATTCATTTAGGAAGAAAAATCTCCTTTATCTCTTTGTTTGTGTTTGTTTGTTGTTTAATGCCACACTCAGTATTATTCAAGATATATGGCGGCAGTTTGTACATAATCAAGTCTGGACCATTCAATCCAGTGATCAACGTCATGAGCATTGCTCTACACACTTGGGATACGAACACCTTTGTCAACCAAGTCAGTGAGTCTGACCACTCGATCCTGTTAGTCACCTCTTATGACAAGCATGGGTTGCTGAAGATCAATTCTAATCCGGATCTTCAGGGGTGAAGAGACATGTCTAAGCACATGACATGTTTATCATCTTGATATAGAATATGAGTATTCATTTTGTCTTAATCTGTAACCACTACTTTGGTTTTAGATTATGAATCGCCTAAAATGTACAATAAAGGAGGTTAGGAACACCTCAAAGCTGAGATCGCTCTGTAGAATGGCTTCCTGCTCATTTTTGTAATGCAGTCATCAAAATATTTGTTTATAGCCCTTCAACTGACTATATTAAACATGCTAATGTGTGTTGTTGTTTTGTTTTTTCTTTCAACCAATATAAGGTAAGAGAGGAGGTTTTGTCTGTTGTTTGGGGGACAAATTTCAATCAAACATGTCATTCTGTATTTGTTATGTTGTAACCGCAATATTTCAGCTATTTGTAGGTCTGCAAATAATTTAGCCTGGACCTGACAATCCAGTGATTGACATCATGAGCATCAATCAACGTAGGTGGGCTTAGATGTCATGCATCAACCAAGTCCAACTCCAGTTAGTCACGTCTTGCAAGCATGGACTACTTTTGGTCTTCACCAGTCTAACCTAATCTTCACAGTCTAAACCTAATCTTCACAGTCTAAACCTAATCTTCATCAGTCTCTATTGCATATTGGACTTCCCATACTGTGTTGGGACATAGAGAATCTCAACTGAGTGTCTTCATATAGAGGATATTATATGAGTGTCCATGTCATACTATGGTTACGACACGAGTGCCTAAATGTTGGTATTTCCGAGCGAGAGCGAGGGATATACCGATATTTATGCACGAGTGTCGTAAACATAGTATGATATGGGCACTCATATAATATTCTGTTTATTACCGAAGTCAAATTGAGATAAATATACCCAAATCTACTTTTAAACATACACTCATGTTCCTGGGGGATTTAACACCTGGCCCTGTTGATTATCTTTGGTCTGGCAAGACTAAACATGTTTACCCAGACTGGTCAACGTCAGTAGTTTACTATGCCGCGGTTACAGTATCCCTATATCTGTTTCTTGTTTAATGTCAGCGTTTAAGGGTCAATGCTGGTCTTCTGAAAGGTCTAAATCATACGACACACACGTCTACAACTCTCTCTGGCAAGAAATAATATCTTCTTTAAAATGTGTGGTCCATTTACTACGTCCAAATATATATGCTTTCTTAATTGCAAATGATCTTTGAATTCGGTTCTATTGGGTTCGTTTCTTTGGGTTCCATCTTTCGAGATTGGATTTGGTATTTTGTTAAGGAACCGCCGTCTTGGTTTCCAAAACTATTGGTGTGTTTATCTATGTGAGGCCTTACTTATAACTCACTTTCAGTAACACATGCGTTTTAAGAGTAGGTTATTAAAGAAGATAGACATAGTTTCATGAAGTTTATGAGTTAAAGCCAATCGGAGATATAGACGTGAGCTGTAAATCGTGCAGTTACATTCCTCTAACCTTTCTTATGGTTGAGAGTTGTGACATATGGAAACATGTTTAATTCGGAACAGACAAGGGACATAGCTAGCATGATATTGCTCTCCTTAGGTCTGATCCCAGCTCAACACATGTCATCGTATACAAATTACGTAGATCGATGCTGACGCTGTTGATCATTGGATTGTCTGGTCCAGACTATATTATTTACAGACTTCCGCATTATAGCTGGAATAGCTGCAGCGTTAAACAACAAACCAAACCCAACCAAAAATCGATCCCACAGATCGCACAGATTATGATTCTTGGCCATTGCTCCCCCGCCATTGCTGGAATATTGGAATAATGCTTAAACTGCGCAAAACCATACTCGGTCAGTTGTTCGGTGTATTATAAAATCAAGAGCAAGGTGATAATAATAGTAAAGTGTTGTTTCAGCACCATTTTGAAAACAGGAATGGATTCCAGGCCAGTACATTGCGTACGGTAAATAATTCCCTTGAACAGCACTGGTTTCGTTCATGTGTCGGCGAATAGCATATGTTTATCTGCTATTATCTAAACGTTATCGTGTTCCATATGGGTGCGAGCACAGAAGGGAAACATGTCCCAGGACGTAAAGTTCAATGGCAGTAGGACAGTCAGTTTGTTTGTTCTTGCTTTGCATGGAATATATTTCTGAACAGTGGTGGAACAAATTCAAAACCAAGAACACGAAAAAAGCCACCATGTTGAAGAAATTAAACCCACATCTGTAGGAACTAGCAGTCCGCAATATGAGGGCAGTCGAACTAACTCGGACCGTGGGTCAGACCAATGATTACTTTGACCATCAGTCCATGCCTTGGGTATGCCATTTGACACTCACTCAATTAAATAACCTACCCCTGACCATTCCGCCCAAATGAGCTGCCAGAACCGTGAATTGAACTAGAAAAGCGATTCCCCGTGATCAAGACGAAGGAGTACAAATACATCAAGAAGAATGTAAAATGCTCGTTGAGATGAAGAGCTACGTTTTCCTTGAAAAATAATTGGGGGGAGAAGAGACACCGGTTGCTTACATTATTGATCACTGGTTTGTCTGGTCTAGGCAGACGGTTCTCTGTGTCGTAAGTTGGCTGTAGGCTGAATGTTGCAGTGGTGAATAAATACAACAAAACAGCACTCAAACAACATAACTTTACACCCCACTGGGGTTCTATCGGACTGGAAAAAATCTGGATCTTGCCTCGTATATTTAAGAAGGAAATACAATTTATGTATCTTGACAGCTTCTATTCTACAAATGGATATCATGATCAGTATTAACAGATAAATAATATGTAAAACCGTTTTCCCTTTGAGTAATATAATAATATTTTAGTCCGACTCATCTGCCGATGGACGTATAGATTTCAGACCATTACATCAACGATACAGACAAAAGTAGGTCTTGGCAGTACATTTCAAGTAACAAGTTTGTCATATCTTGACCAGATAGTAAGCTTTTACATGTTAAGACGTAGCTGGTCACTTTCGGATCAGCCTAGAAGATAAAATGTCAGTTGATAAGATAAGCCAAATATTCTTGAGGTTCTCCCAGTACGCGGAGAGGGCATCGAATTTCAAAACAGAATGATTTCGTTATGAGAAACCCCAAACAAGACAAAATGATTTTTCATTAGACTATTCTGACCAAAGCGACTTTTTGTGACCATGCAATCAGGGTAAAATCGCAGTTTAATTCAGTGTTTTGAACGTTCAGTCCCCGCGTGAAGAATGGGCGAGTAGAATTTCCACTGTATAATGTCAATCTATTCAAGCCACAATATATAATTATTGTAATATCTACGTAAATAATACTTCTTTGTAGTTGATACTTTCAACAATCATTGAAATACTTTCGTCCACGTTGAAGATACGTTACTTCCACGTAGCTGATACTTACATCGTAACTTCACAACACAATATCACGGTCTCGTTTATAATTTCATATATGCTTCATTTCAAAAGTTTAGACTCACTAGTGTCAATATAGCTACTTTCTTCTGGCAGCTGTTCTAAACTAAATTCTGCAAACTATTCCATGCTGTTTAAAGGTACTGTTTACACAGGAACTGGTGTATTGTAAAACAAATTCGTAACGTTGAAAAGATTATTGTCATGAATTCAAGAAATGATACAAATCAGTGAAAATTGGCGAATTCTTAACACAACTTTACACCAAAACGCAGCTTTTCACATGCACTTGGTTCCCCCAAGTTAGTGGAGAAATCAATCTTCGATGTAACATATATATAGTGAGTGTTTTAAGTGAGTCTAAACTTTTGAAATGAAGTATATATACATGAAAGTATATGCTCCGTAGAGAAACGTATCAGCTACGTAGGTAGACGTAGCTACTATTATCTGTTAGATTGTGATACTAACACTGTTCCTTATCAGTCAACTAAGCCTATACTGACAAACTGTCCCGATCCTCACAGCTGTTCAGATTAACGCCGTCTCATAAGAACATTTTTCACCGTGTGAGAAATACGCTCTATGTCGTAAAGCGCATGTAAAATCTCCAAATAATCATCAACATCGTCATCAACAATAATCATCATCATCACATTTAAAACAGAATATATTCATGTTTCACGGCTAATTTGTCTATATGATACTCGCAGAACACTAGCATCAAGGTATACATTGTCACCGACAGGGACAGCGTTTATATAGTGCCAAGACAATGTACACATATCAAAGCCCGTTTGCAAGTTTGTGAATATTACATTCATGGTAACTTTAATACAAGGATTGGAAATGCGCATATGTTTCACTGCTATCCTTTATATTTCTCACTGCTCTCAGATAATTGCCCATGCTAAAATACGTGAATGAAAGGTTCCAGGATACCGCTAATTTCAGCCCTTCTGGCACAGCCCATCTTTTATATTAAACAGGTCATGTAGTCAAAAATGGACCTCATAATAATTTTTTTTGAGGGTAAAGAGACATTGATAGACAGGGTTACTGCCCGCCAGGCTGTATATGGTATGACACTAACACTTTGAAGCACATGTACACTTTCAATAACTGTCATACTCCACTGTCATTATGACCACTTCTTTTGTGTGGGTAGAGCGTCTGCACGGAAAGGTCGGGAGGTCAGTTTCCTGTCGTGTCAGACATAAGATTTTAAAGTGTGGTCCTTGTTGTTACGCCGCCTATGATGATGGATTAAAAGGATAGAATAAGGACTGGTTGACTCTGTAAACTGAATCTGAAATTGGGACTTATCACGTGCGCACGCACGCACGCACACACACGCACACTACATAAATTGTCATGTAGTTACCTAAAAGGGCGTGACATGAACCACCATTGATTGACGTAATCCATATAAAAATAATACGTTGAGTGAATGGACTCGCAGTGAGCACATTTCAGTTTCGGCTTCTTGCATGGGTTGTAAAGAATCGGATGTTATAGCTTTCGAGGCACACACAATGTGCTTAAGAAGGGTAAAAGAATCCTCTTTAACCATAAGGATAGACCATAACCCAGCAGGTTATCTCAGGTACCTTCAAACAATATCCGCCCGACAGGTTAAAGCGTTAGCTCGTGCCCGAGTTCGATTCCCACATGTGCGATGCCCTTTTAATACATCACCACTGCCCAATGCTTTTGAGTTCATTGCATAAAAATGTCCTTAATCTAGTGGTATCACAACACTCAGCGTGATTACCCAGTCCGTTCATTTCAAAGAGAAAATTACCAGTCTTCCCATATGCGCGCGAAGCATATGGAAAGACTGGTAATTTTCTCTTTGTTGCGCAACCCTATTTGCGCTACAATTTGCCTGTGATCAAACAGACACATAATACTGTTCACAAATGTATTACACACGTCACTAACTCACGTTCAAACACCAATCTTCATATCATGCAAAACTGAGACATTGTCCGTGTGTAATTAGGATAACCATAAACTGTTGCTAATCAGCTGAGCTTACAAGAATAAAACCAGGGATAATCTACAGCAAATCTTCTATTCTCCCTGATAAAACATACTGAGATCAGAGTCCACATAATATATTATTATGTCGTCTCTAGTGAGACTGCCAAATGTTTTTTAGTTTTTTTTATTCATTCCCATAGTTACAAAGATGCAAACATATTACTGTAACAGCAGTGAGTGAGTGAGCATGGTTTAATGCCGCTTTTAGGAACACTCCAGCAATATCATGACACCAGAAACAGGTCCACACACAGTACCCATGTGGGGAATATAACCCGGGTCAACCACTTAACCACTAGGCTACTCTGCCGCCTCAGTGACAGAAGCAATATACAAGTAAAATACGTTGACACATACCAACTTCTATAGGGTGGTTGAAAATAGTCAATGATTGAGATAAGGGATGAAAGGAAACCATTTTTTCAAAATTGTCCACGTCATTGTTTCTTTTGGAAATATTTATTTCTGCAAGAAAGATGAATTCTAAGGTTTTCAGACAGTTAATTAATTTGGGAATTGTTTTTTTTGTTCATATTACATAAATAAATATGTCTCTTTGCAGAGAAAAATATATGGTTTAGTATTTTGTTAGCTTGTGAAGTACCAAACCAGATATTTTGTAATTTTGATTTCTTTGTTGAGGTATTTATTGATCCAGATCTCAAGCTCATTCCAAAATGTCTTGGTTTCCTTACAATTCCAGTATACATGACAGATTGTTTCCTGTAGGTCATTACAAAAACTGCATATGTCAGAATGAGACTGACAAATTACTCGGCTGTGATTGTAATTACGCCATGGTTGTCGCCATCTTAGTCCATAGTCCATGCTCTATGTAGTGATTAGTGTTGGGAATTGGTTAAAATCACATAATTGATGATTGGTTCATTACAACCGATCAAGCATCGAAAATAATTGGTTAGCGTCATTTATGAAATTTTCCTGGTTATTTTTGTCAATACACACAAAAACATAAAGGAAAAACATGTAGTTCTTTGAGGTGTTTTGTGCAAATTGCACATCTTTAAAAGATGACTAGTATGTTAGGAACATAAATTTCTTGGGGTCTTTAAGATAAATTCATTTGTGACTTGGAACGAGCTTGTAGTGCTCATAAATGTAACAGACAAAACCAACCATGTGAAAAATATTGTTAATGCAAAAAGTGTTCCAGAATCGTTTGTGTTCGATTATGAGAAAACATGATCGATTGTTTGGTCGTTTAGCCACTGCGACCAATCTTCGATTATTTCAATTAATCGGACCACCACTAGTAGTGATCCATACCTGTAAACATATTCAACAATTAAACATTCCCCAATCTTAGAAAATGCGAGTTGGCAACATGTTAGACCATTAGATCACTTGATTCGAACGGAAGGAATAAGCAAGTCTAGAAAACTGTTTGATGTCCAGAGTTAATTCCCTTAGTTCTCCAACAGGTGGCAGTTTCTACATCCGTACATTGGTACTTCCTGTATGTTGAGAGCAGCTAAAGTAAACATGGAATTGTGCTGTGTGTTCGGAGTCAATTATATGTGAAATATGTTTCTTTAGTGATTACATGGGATGCAGGTAACGTTAACTGTTGATGTGGATGTATGAATAACTGGAAATGTTGCTCGAAATACATTTTAAAGGGAGGAATCCCAGCTGTAGTGCAAGCATTTATTGGTGGTGTGAACTATTCACTTTCACATTTTCCACTTCATGCTAACTGAAATTAGTTTCACAGGTTGTCTCATAATTGAAATTCATCTGTTACTCTTATAAAACATGCCCATCAACACCTATGTTACCCATATAGTTGTTACCACTGACGAACACGCTACAAGGGATTGACATCCTGATGGTACATGACAGATGTCACTTTACCACTGAAAGATAGAAACACTTGGGCTCAGTTTATATTCACAATTTTCAATGAATTTGTACGAAAACCATTACACATCATGATTGAAAACAGCCATCCTGGAAAAGCTAACATGACTTTATAAGGAATAGTTGAAACGTTAAGCTACGTTAGAGATACCTTGTTTTCAATACAGAGGTAGATTTTCTACAAATTTAGCTGTGTTAAACTGAACACATGTTATATTTGGAATTACACTTTCTCAGTAAAGTAAAGATTCTAGTACTTTCGTTGGGTTGAGTCCCATCCTGGATTTAAACCGACAGACACCCTCAGAGTCAGGCACTTAATTGCCAGCACACAAAGTTAACCGTCTAACCTCAGTCAAATGTTCAAATTCATGTTTTTTGTGTCTTGATCAACCACTAATTCCTAACTGCCTATCTAGGACATTGTGAAATAATTTATCTAAAATAGAACAAAAGGTCACCCAAATAGAATGTCTTTTACTCTTGAAGTACAAATGTTTTTTATAAATCTGTTTTCTGTGTAGTATCACTATTAGTGACAATGAGTCTGTAACCATGGTAACAATAGTTAACTTATTATCAGTGTATTTGACATGCAAGAACCAAGCAAGTAATAATTTTAAACTTATTATGGACCAATTATCATGATTACCTGTGTTGGAGTAAAAGGTTAATGTTACACTGCAGTTCTGTGTCTGTATAAATACAGCCTGGCTATATGCAAATTTACTTAATGTTATTGTGGTAATATGAATATTGCACTTACAGGTCAAATTGACAGTATTTAAATCTGCTAACTGTCCTCATGTTTGTTAAGTATAGAAGTTAAGGGATCCCTGTCAAAATGTTAAATCTTAATAATATACTGGGTCCCTAGATTCTAATACTGGAGTATGAGGAATAAAGAATGAATTGTAAGTGTGGTATGACAGCTAAGTATTTACTGAACTAGTCTTATGTATTAAGGCTTTATGGTTACCAATTTAAGGGGGCAGTGGGGTAGCCTATTGGTTAAAGCGTCTGGTTGTCACGCCGATGACCCCGGGTTTGATTCCCTACATCATAGTACATGGATACAATGTGTGAAGCCCATTTCTGGTGTCCTCCGCCGTGATATTGCTGGAATATTGCTGAAAGCGGCATAAAACCATACTCACTCACTCACTCACCAATTTTTGACACAGTCAGCTTGGAATGATCTGGTAGCCTAGAATTAGTCTTCTAGACATATGTCATAAGTTCCTATTTGCGTAGATCGATGCTCATGCTGTTCATCACTGAATTGTCTGGTCCAGACCGATTATTTACAGACCGCTGCCATATAGTTGGAATATTGTTCAGTTCGGCAACAAACCATCCAACCATCCACTTGGTTTTATTGTTCTTTTACACAGTAAAGATTTATCAGGTCAGCTGTATTCCAAATACATGTTCTTTATTCCCCTGTGTCATGTTGCAGTCTGAAAGCACCTTGGTGTAGAATGTTACCCCCCTGACTCACCGATGAGCACCATGTTCCATTCGTCTCATATCCACGTGCCTCGCAGCCGGCGACCAAATGCACTGCGGACATTCGTCACATCCTCATCATTTGGGCCCACGGAGACCAAGGAGCCACTTAGGCGGGGGATAATGTTCACAACCGTTGCCAGTGTTCTCCTTCTTGTGGGGAGCATCCTAACATGGCTGGGTAAGACATCAGTCATCACACTGTTCTGGAGGGTTTGGTGAATTGTTCTGAAAACTATTGGGAATTCAGTTCATGATTCGTTATCACTAGAATCAAATAATCATGCATTTTTTACAAAGGAGTGTTTTTTCATGAATTTGGTTGTCACTTATTAAAGCGAGTCTTGCAAAGGGGAATAGATCTAAGAAAAGCAGGATAATTGTCATCACTCATATATATATTTAAATTGACAGTAATTTGGTCACTGGACATTGTCATGATCATATATCATTATCAACACTGTAACTATGGCCAAAACATTTCAAAGAATTTCTTTTGTTTTTGTTTCACTGAATATAATGAATAATACTTTGGATGATTACTTGTTTTTGTACTCATAAGACAATAATCGTATTCGTTACCCAATAGTCTTGGAAATTTTAACTATAAATTGTATATGTTCAGGAGAACCCATCACTAGTATAGGTACTATGCTAGTCGGATATGGCCTCCCTTGTTCATTGCTATCTACGGTTGTCATTTGCCTATACAGTGTATACTGTCAGTGCTTTTTGACTTAGGGTAATCTGCGACCCGCCGTCCAACCGTGGTATAAGTGCAAATCATGAGATAGGATAAGTTTACAAATTTTGAAATTTTAACAATAAATTGTATATTTATATACTTATCCTATCTCACGGGATGTATGCCCACCCAGCCTCCCCGCTACTCAGATTACGGAGGTAGCTCCAAGAAGAGAATGATCACTCTGAGGTAGTCACGTGGGTAGATAGGGGAGCGTGCTGCATGCTCAGCATGGGACTAGGGCCTGTCCTATAAGGAGAGCCTGGGGAACACGGGCGTATGGACAAGAGAGGCCTACAGGGAAAGTTCTCATTCATTCCACTCAGCGTCGAAGCAAGAGAGAGAAGTGCAAATCGTGAGATAGGATAAGTTTAAAAATATGATATTCGCTTCCTAGTGGATTCGTTGCTGCCCTTGTATTGAGTTGTTACAATACAAAATTTATCCAAACCCGGGTCCACTGACAAATACGACATTACTTTGTGAGATGCTATTTGGTATAAGACCGTGAAGTTCCTGGATAGGATTGGTCTTCAGCAACCCATGCTTGTCGTAAAAGGTGACTAACGGGATCGGGTGGTCAGGCCCGCTGACTTGGTAGATACATGTCATCATATCTGAATTGCGCAGATCGATGCTCATGCTGTCGATCACTGGATTGTCTGGTCCAGACTCGATTATTTCAGACAGCTGCCTTATAGCTGGAATATTGCGTGTGTTTAAACAACAAACCAAACAAGCTATTTGGTATTTGTTCTTTCAGGGTTCAATGATGTATTTGGTGGCAAGGTGTCCATGACCGGCCCACTGCTGATAGCTCTAGCTCTCCTACTTCTCTTGTTGTCCATGAGGCAGTTTGTTATAGCTCGGAAACGAAATAACTCCACCAGGAATGGACTACAGGTATGAACATAAAGAAAACAACCAGAGTTATTATAATCAGAATTACAGGTAATATATCCAGTAAATTATGGATATCATCATCAGAGTGTATCACTGAAGGTCTTTTTATCATGTCTGTCTAATATGGGTGATGGAGTAGCCTAGTAGTTAAATGGTCCGCTTGTCGCCTGGGTTTCGATTTCCCACATGGGTACAATGTGTGAAGTCCATTTCTGGTGTCCCCAGCCGTGATATTGCTGGAATATTGCTAAAAGTGGCGTAAAACCCAACTCACTCACTCACTCACTTATGTCTGTTTTGTAAGAAAATGAAGACTTGCCAGTCACAATAAATAAGCAATGTTAGATATTAGAGAGGTCATTTTTTTGTGGTTGACATTATATAAAATCATCAAATCCTGATGCAGTGGGCTTTTGTGTAATGGTTTGTCAGTACCGTGCCTTGTTTGTGTGCTCCACCTGAGTGCTTTACCTCCAAACAGAAGACCTGTATTAGAGACTGTTCATAATTTATGGCCAGGGGGGTTGATGATAAATTTTTATGGAGAAGCATGTACAATGTGAATGATCCCCCCTAAAATTTATGTACAAAGTAAGTGACCCCCCCTGCATGTCATGTACAAAATCAATGACCCCCTCCCTTCCAGTATGTTTTAAGCATAATTTTAAAATATTTTTATGTACAAAATTGCTGACCCCGCTAGAAACGTGTACAAATTTGCTGACCCCCTACCTCCCCAGAACAAAATGGGTGACCCCCTTTAAAATCATCATCACCCCTAGCCATAAATTATGAACGGTCCCTTTAGATGATTACTTTGGGCTTTCCTCAAGCAGACATGACAGATGCGATTGAAATACTGTTCGACTGGTCTTCAGCAACCCATGCTTATCGTAAGAGGTGACTAACAGGATTCGTGTGGTCAGACTCACTGACTGGGTTGACACAAGTCATCATATCCTAATTGCGTAGATCAATCCTCATGATGTTGATCACTGGATTGTCTGGTCCAAGCTCGATTATTTACAGACCACTGCCATATAGCTGGAATATTGCTGAGTGCGGCGTAAAACAACAAACCAACCAACTGTTCGAAGCTGTGGTAAATCCAACTCACTCACTCTCTTAGCTGGTTACTTTGTATGCTAAGTAACATCACATTTTTTAAAGACCATACACTTATACATGATTTGGTTGCCTGTTATTTCCAACAGCTGGGACAGATGGGGCGTGGCACGGTGACAGCAGTGGTAGTGGATCGTAACGATGGCCTGGGTGCTGTCACTGTCATCATGGATGCCCTGAATGTCACCCCTGACACACAAATGAGGTAGGAGCTCATTATTTGTCATGAAAGTCTTTCAGGGCCCAATATGGTAGTAAATTTGGAGTTCAGATATTTATCCTTATTGGGCAATGGGGGATTGATGTTAGGAGCTGTCATATATTTTGGTGGGACCTTTTAGTTTCCCTGATCAGCTGTGACACAACCTGCTAAAGGTCAGAATAGGTCAGCAGTGCCCAATATATTAGATACGACCGCCTCCGTGGTGTATTGGTTAGAGCGTCCGCCCGGGAGAGCGGAAGGTCACGGGTTCGATCCCCGACCGCGTCATACCAAAAGACGTTAAAATATGGTACTTGTTGGTCCCTGCCTGGCGCTCGGCATTACTGGGTACAACAAGGACTGGTCAGCTCGGAGTCAGTATAATGTGTCTGAGTGGGGTATTCATGCTTCACTGCGGCATGGTATCTCAGTGGGCTAGCACTATAAAACCAGCTTCAGTCTGGGCTAGTACAAGCAGCCGCACATACACATACACACGGATGCACGGCGTCAGATGAGCAAAATATTCTCAAGCACGACGTTAAACCCCATATCACCTCACCTCACCTCACCTCAATATATTAGATACTGGTCAGAATACCAGTACATGTCTCCAGTACATTTATATCTGACAGGCTATAGTAGGTCTAAATTACTCAGACAGGTCAGACTTTGTCCTCAATGGCCGATGTGGTATAATAATATTATAATATTATAAAACCAATAATAGCGATTTGAAACTATGATCATTTGTTAAACAACTTTTATCCTAAGTTGAATAAAATTCTGACATTTAAATGTTCAATTGGCAAGGTAGAATTATGAGGATTCAACCTCTTTCACTTTATTTGATTTACTGTTTTTTTAACGTGAAATTCATCGGTATGTTTTCACTGCAAACAGACTATATCTTTAGTTGTCATGTCAAATAGATGGCTTCATCACTAATAGAAGTACCTGTAAAATCTTGTACTTTGGCCCTATTGGCATGATTGAGTAACACTATCTTCTGTCAAAATGCATTGAAAACTGGTGACATATCTCAACTCTCTTTTGACCAATGATAACATATAAAGAAAATGTCTGATATGAGACAAGTAGAAGATGGTTTCGCTTAACATGCTGCAATACTTTTAGCATGATCATAAAAAATGAAATCCACATTTCATGACATACTTGAATGCTCAGGCCAATGACAAGTTGTATATCACAGGACTATTTTTATGGATATACAACATATTTATTCTGTAAAGGTAACGTTTTGACATAGATTCTAATGTTGTTAACAACCACTTGCTTGACAACGACATTAGAATCAATGTCGAAACATGGTCTATACAGAATAAAGAAGTTGTTTATCCATAAAAAATATAGTCCTCATTCTTCATCTCCTCAACTTGCCAATCCAAGAAGTTGTTCTATTTGATACTTTTTGTGGAGATGTGATTATTTTGTGATAATGATTGTATGGCATGATTATCTCATTGACATTGTAACTTGATGTCAAGGCATCTTTTAAATACTTTTGATTGTTGGTGTATATAGTAGTGGTGTTCCGATTAATTGAAATAATCAAAGATTGGTCGCAGTGACCAAACAACCAAGCAATCGATCACATTTTCTCATAATCGAACATAAACGATTTTGGAACTACTGTTTTAGTCTTTGAAATACTTTGAACATATCTTAGAAGTTGTCAGGGCCTGGAAACATGTCTATTTCTTAGAAAACTCACTTCACTAACTGAAAAGTCATGACTGAATATTTCTCCAAGACTCCAGGAAGTTTATGTTCATGATATATTAGTCATCTCTTTAAATTAACAAGTTGCATCATGTTATACTTTTCTGCAGTAACAACCTGGATAGGAAAATCTGAAAAAATGACTCTAACCAAGTTTTTTTGATGATTGTTCGTTTGTAATGAAGCAATCATCAATTGTGTGATTTCAACCAATTCCCAACACTAGTATATAGTATATTCTTTGGTTAGCAGACCAGAGTTGTGGATATCTTTCTAAGATTAAGAATGTATGTATAACTCATGTTTTTAGAGATCCCAGATTCCTCCCATTTCATTGTCCAGTTGCCATTGCAATAGGTGGTCTAGTGGTTCGATTCCCCATATGGGTACAGTGTGTGAAGCCCATTTCTGGTGTCCTCGGCAGTGATATTGTTGGAATATTGCTAAAACTAAAAGCGGCGTAAAACTAATGTCATTCACCCATGCCTAGAGGTTGAAGCATGTGCTTGTTACATCAAAGATGAATTCAGTTCCCTAATGAGTACAATGGTGAAACCCCTGTAGACTAAGACACTGGTGGTGTGAAACTCATTCACTAATGAAAGAAAATGTGTTAATGTCATTATACTCACACAGTGTCTTCCTGTTTGCAGAAGCTATGCATCATCCACAGGGGAAGACTGTGCACCTCCATCCTACAGTGAGGTGACACAGGAAAATACAAGTTGCATCCCCCCAGCAGGGCATCATCATCTTGACCAGGATGAACCCCCTCCGCCATACGAGGAGGCTGTTGGGGTAGAAGTGTCTTCATCTACCCTCAATCGCTCTACTCTCCATGCTCACACAGACGAAACTACACTGCCAGCCTATACATCATGGGCTCCAGGTAAATATATATTGTATACATCATGGGCTCCAGGTAAATATAGTGTATACATCATGGGCTATATATTGTATACATCATGGGCTCCAGGTAAATATAGTGTATACATCATGGGCTATATATTGTATACATCATGGGCTCCAGGTAAATATAGTGTATACATCATGGGCTATATATTGTATACATCATGGGCTCCCGGTAAATATATATTGTATACATCATGGGCTCCAGGTAAATATAGTGTATACATCATGGGCTCAAGGTAAATATATTGTATACATCATTGGCTCCCCGGTAAATATAGTGTATACATCATGGGCTATATATTGTATACATCATGGGCTCCCGGTAAATATATTGTATACATCACTGGCTCCAGGTAAATATAGTGTATACATCATGGGCTATATATTGTATACATCATGGGCTCCAGGTAAATATATATTGTATACATCATGGGATCCAGGTAAATATAGTGTATACATCATGGGCTTCAGGTAAATATATTGTATGCATCATTGGCTCCAGGTAAATATAGTGTATACATCATGGGCTATATATTGTATACATCATGGGCTCCCGGTAAATATATATTGAATACATCATGGGCTTGAGGTAAATATATTGTATACATCATTGGCTCCCCGGTAAATATAGTGTATACATCATGGGCTCCAGGTATATATATTGTATACATCATGGGCTTCAGGTAAATATATTGTATGCATCATTGGCTCCAGGTAAATATAGTGTATACATCATGGGCTATATATTGTATACATCATGGGCTTTCGGTAAATATATATTGTATACATCATGGGCTCCCGGTAAATATATTGTATACATCATTGGCTCCCCGGAAAATATAGTGTATACATGATGGGCTATATATTGTATACATCATGGGCTCCCGGTAAATATAGTGTATACATCATGGGCTCCAGGTATATATATTGTATACATCATGGGCTCCAGGTAAATATATTGTATACATCATGGGCTCCAGGTGAATATATTGTATACATCATGGGCTTGAGGTAAATATATTGTATACATCATTGGCTCCAGGTGAATATATTGTATACATCATGGGCTCCAGGTAAATATATTGTATACATCATGGGCTTGAGGTAAATATATTGTATACATCATTGGCTCCAGGTATATATAGTGTATACATCATGGGCCCCAGGTAAATATAGTGTATACATCATGGGCTCCAGCTATATATCTGGGCCATCAGGTATAGATCATGTGCACAGGTATGTATATCTATATATATCATAAGCTATATATCTTATTTAGGTGATGAGCTCCATCTCATGCAACACAATCAGTGTCAAATTTAGCTGTGCATCAAACACTTTCTCACAATGAGGCTCTGATTGCTGAACTTCAAGTTTGATTTCTCTTTCAAGCTCTTGGATTTTTAGCTATGACATCACATCAACAAACACTTTTCCTTCCCCACAGGCTGTAATGTAGACACCTCCAGCAATACACTGACTATCCCAGGACAGATGGCCCAGTGTTACCGTCGCTGCACATTCCCTACACAGCCTGGACTAGACACCAGTGGTGGAGGACACCAACTTGCATCTCTCGCCACAGGACAGACACTCACTACAGCTGAGCTCACTCAGGGCACTAATGGACCCTGGTCTTCTTCAGGAAGGTTTTTTCTAATTCCACATTTTCTAGGAGTTTTAGCCAATAGGCGAGGTGACCCTGCAGCGAGTGTGACTGGTGAGCTGCCCCCGGCCTACCAGCCAGTTGACACTACCGGTCGCTCCCCACTCACCTACCTTCAAGCCATGAGTGTAGGCAACCAACCATGTCCCCCACAAGACCACCTGGGGGTTCAGAGTCCCCATGAGTCCCGTTCTCTTGCTCATCCAATGTTACCGGACCACCCTGTTGACACCTACCATCTGCCTCCTACTGAGTGTAGTCGACAGGGAGTTGTCCCAAACTCCAGCTTCCCAGACTCCAGTCTCACCACCTGCAGCCTCCCTATGTCTGCTGAGACACCGTCAAGTCAAGTCTGCTGCTCGACGTCATCCATTCTGCCAATCTCCAGCATGGCGGCCTCCAGTTTGACGGGTATAGGTGTTACAGGATCCAGTATGAAGGCCTCCAGCACACCCATGCCTAGTATTGTGGGCTGCAGTTCTCCTCCTAGGGTTACCAGCCACCACAGCAGCACCACCAGCCCCTCTGCTGCAGCACGCTTTCTGCAGGCTCCACGCAACCCCAACTCCCCCATCATAGATGAGCTGGAGGAGGTGGTATAGTCTTAGGGCACAGCTGTGTGTATGCTAGTGATGTTTTGGTACAGAGATAGTTATGTAATGCAGGACACAGCTGCTGATATCATACATTGATTAGTAGGGGTTGTGCTGTGATAAAAATGACACGTAAAATATAAGATTTTGTTTTTTACTGAATGTATATTTAAACCAGACCAATATAATTTCTTGTTTTGACGATGTTCATCCGAAAGTATATGAAAAGATTGTGGGAAAACTGGAAAAAAATTCAGCTTTTTGTATTAAAATATCAATGGCTAAATGGTCACTATTTTGTGCCTGTTATGAGTAATAACATATTTTCCTTGAGACTTAATTAATTTGGGAAATAATGTTATGTTTTCACTTCAGGGGAAAGTATTTATCATCATATCAATGTAACTATGAGTTTTAAGTAAAAACTTGAGCAGTTATTTCCCTTATTGAAATTTTAATTGGGGAATTAGGTGAAAGTTAACACACTTTTCTTTAAAACAAGTAATTAATTTGGTCTTGCTTTCATTTGGAAAACGATAAGACTATCAAACTGATATGTACAAATATCCTACATTTAAATACTTCTGAAATTCGGACAGCCAGATAACATGCATGCAAACAAATTTTCAGTGAGTATAAAAAATATAACTAGATATTTTGTAAACCCTTAATATCCAAACATTATGGTATCGCAATGTGTCATAAGAATTAAACAAATATCGTATATAGCATACCGCGCCCCATGTAGTTTCACACCTCATATATATGCACTCAGAAAGTGGTAATGCAAGTCAGTCAATGCCAACTCTTAACAAGCAAACTCAAATATTAAGGGTTGGGAGTTTGGGACATGGAAATTATTTAATACTGCTCATTTGTGTATTTCTTCCAGGAATACGATTGAGATTGAAAAGATTGACAGTGTAGCAAGAATTGTTGTATTTTACAAGACTCATGTTGTCTCACATGAAGTGCTGTGTTCCACATACTGAGTGAGCGATATAGTCCCGACCTGATGAAGATAAGACACTTTGGGGATTCTACCCCATGTATATTATAGATCTACAGCCAGCTTTTTTTAGTGCTTCCACAGAGAGTCTGTGCCTAGGGTTCCTTCTGAGGTAAATGCTGTAGACAGACTGATTCTTTTATGTATAGGAGATTTGGAATCAAATTAACACGCAAAGGCGGATCCAAGATTTCGAAGAAGCTGGTACCTGTACTACCAAGTGACTTGACGAAGGATGCAGATACGATGTAAGGTATCGGAGAAAAAGGATCAGTACGCTCCCCACCCTCTGGATCCACCAGTAACACAATCGTTGCCATGGCACTGTAATAAGCACCTTTGTATTATAAGAGCACCTCGGTGCTAAGTGTTTTGACTATGGACAGTACATGTAATTGTTGTATTTAAGGTGTAGTAATATGGCGATCAGATAAGTGACAACTTAGAATTGGATCAAATACTTGTTTCTGATTCTGGCACAGAAACATAGCAGGAAATGTTTTAGAGCAATTCAAAATTATTGTCTTAATTGAGGTGTGTTATAATAGCATTACCTGAAAATGTATGCACTAATTTGTGGAATTGGCATTTGAAAACTTTTGACCATTTAAAAAAATGGCGATTGAAATTACTTTTAATGGCATTTATCAAGGTCAAGTTGAAATCAAATGACATCCGTTACTGAGTTTATTTTTGATCACATTAAAGATATATTCTCGTAGCCACGAAAATTTGAATGTGTTCAGTACATTGGGACCTGATGAAGGCTGATTGTGGAGACATATGCTATGGATATTGTTATGAGATTGAACCCGGTAATATTTTTTGAGTATTTTAGCACTTCATTTGAGGAGATGACACAGCTATAGGTGAGCTGTTTGTGCGCTGGCCAACCAGCCAAAATATAACACCAGTTTCTTTATCAACTTAGTTTTGCTGAAGTGTTACAAGAGACATTCTTGGATAATTGGTAATTGGTAATATATGTTTCGTTCTTACTTCTTGTAGTCACTGTTTGATTCAGTGTCAGAATGAACATTTTAAAATTTTGAATTTTCATGTTACGCTACACTGATATTTGTGTAGACTGGATCCTGATCCACAAAGTGTTCGTAACATTACGACCTATCGTAGCTACCGGTATATAGTTTATCATTGGCTAAGGAATAACGTAATGCTATGGATGCTTAGTGGATTTGGTGCCTGTATCATTAGATGGAACTAAAAACTAGTTCAAACTAAACCCGGTTGTTGCACAGGTGGAGAGTATGATGCCATTTGTTTGTTGCCCATAATTATGCAGCATATTGTTACCATGGTAACACAGTATGGTGGTCACACTTACACATTTCACCATCGTGAGCGTGACGACTGATATAAAGGTTGCACAGTGCTATTTTGTGATAATGAGTCTGCTTTTGATATTACTGGTGCATGATATTGCAAGTCTGTCAGCAATGGATGTGTGTGAGATGAATGATGTTGACTCAATTTGTATATCTATGTAATTGATGATGACTGTTTTACCTCAGCACGAGTTCACAGAGACTTCCTACATGAAAAGGCGACCTCCATGTTTGTCACAATGAAAATGGCATATTGTTCTGTGGTACTTCCATACTGAGGCTCATTGTTTTGTTAGTTTGAGATATACTACTCAAAATAAGATAAGAACTACTTGATTCTTTGATATTGCTATAGTTAATATGCCACCCCAGAAATATAAAAAATAACATGTTCCTTAATACATCTTTTAACCAGTATGTAAATTACAGTCAAGAATTGTTATGAAATGATGCTTGGACGTTTGGGCCACAATTGATAAATTCAATATTTATTTTAGACATGTTTCCCCAATTATAACCATTATTATTGTAAAGTTATTTTGTTCTAATATTATAATTGTTTGTTTTATAAATCAATTTCTCAATATGTGACCTTTTTTGAAAACATTTTTGATAAAAACTGGATTTAAATTCTGGTTACTTGGCAACTAGATGGGAATTTGATCTTTGAATTGGCGCCAGAAATCCAACATTCTCATTTTGTTTTTGTTAAGAATATCCTCATGAGAACACCCAGATATTTTGTTTTTATTGGCTTAATTTATATTCAGATTCACTGTATTTAAAATATCCAATTCAATTCCTATATGATCTGATGGTATTATCCAACTTTGGTTGTTTTATGTAGATAAGGCCAGACCAATTTTATTTCTTGTTTAACGGATTTTTGTCCTCAGAAAACCTAAAGGCAGGAGGGAAAAAAGATAAAAATAAAATCTCCAGTCAAAGTAATATTCTTTCTAAATACTCAAAGTATTTTACTTTTGCAATTTATGAAGTTTATATGGGGCAAAAAACAATCTAAAAAATCTTTTCTTCTAAGTTTACATTTTTGGCCCATAAAACATTAGAATTTTCTTTTTTGAGCGGGGAAAATTAACTTTGATTTTTTTTCTTATTCTTGAAAAAATATGACAGGTGGATCCGTAAAACAAGAAATAAATTGGTCTGGCCTAATAGTCACTCATGATTATCACAATTACTTGCTGTTTGGTTTAACTGTCACAGTGGACTACATGTCCATGGTGCTTCATGTGGATTCTTTCAAAAGAAAACAAACATGTTTCACAATGAAATCCCCATATTTCCTAGATTGCTCAATGATTTTAATATGAATTGTTTTTGTTTTGTATTTGTTTCAATGTTATTTCATGTTATTGCATTTGGCATGTTTTGTCAATTTGTTTATTATTTGTTGTCATAAGTAATCATTTTACAGTTAGTTGTGTGACAAAGTTAGCAGATCTTATATATATTAGCTTTTTTGAGCATGTTATGTATTTCATTTTATATTTTGATTTATTATCCCATACATGCATATATATTAAGGTTTACAATAATCCAGCTATATCTGTAGTTCAGTAATATAATTTTGAAATGTCCCTGGCCAGTAAATTGTGCACTATGAAATGGAAAATCATTCAGCATTCACAACTATATTCTGGTTAAACAATCACAAAGACATTTTGATCTGAAAAGACAAGAATTAAAAACTATAATACCATTGTCTCACATATTTTTTAAAACAGCCATGGATATTTTTAACATTTTGAAATAATTTCATTATTTTACCTTTTATTAGCTGTGCTAATAGAACATTTCTCTGAGTGATATTCAGCATTGAGTTTGTGATTTGCTGGCATTCATTATGCAGATTTGTAGAAATCTTGTTTGTTTATTATTTGTAGAAATATTATAAGATGTAGGTGTGTCTTTATGTTTCTAACTTTTTACAGTACGTCCCAGTATTCATTTCTACCAGCATGTATTAGTTAAAACATTAGTATGAGTTGTTGATTTATCTCAGTATTTTGCGTCATTGGCCTCTTCATGTTCCAGCTATCTGGACCTGTTTCACGAAACGATCTTAGCGTTATGACCGTTGTAACTCTATGTTAAAGTGTAGGAGATATGATAGTTGTAGCACTACGATCACTTTGTGAATCACGGACCAGGGTCCCGTTTCACAAAGCTCTTGTAGCGCTACGACTATCGTAAGTCAATGTTACAGTATAGGAGGTACGAAAGCTATGAGAAAAGTTACGAGATCTTAGGCTTACGAGAGCTTTGTGAAACGGGGCCCTGGGCCCTGTTTCTCAAAGCGATTGTAACGCTAAGGTCGTCGTAACTCCCATATGTTAACGTAGACTTACGATCGCTTTGTGAAACGGGACCCTGGTTCTTAAAGCAAGTATCTTAGAAGAGACAGGTATAATGAGGAGATGTATTTGGTTTGTGTAATATCTTTAACCAGAGACCATATACTATAACGTTTGCCCTCAATACGTGGGATATGTCAATAATAACAATATCAAATGCCAAAAAATGTTACTTTGTAATGAGTGCATTTCAGTCATGGGATTTAGTTACCAATATAATTAGTGTGAATGGAAATAAAAATAACTGAATGTGAAATATATGTAATCACTATTGTATGTACGGTGAGTGTTTTGTTACGTGAAATGGGTATCTGATACAGCATGCTTGTTGGCTGTCAGTGGTCTCGGGTCTTTGTTGGTTTAATTGATACCATTTTTATATTATTTCATATACATGTAAACACTTGAAAGAACATTTCTGTGTATGACAATGTTGAATGGGATTCCATACATTTTAGAAGTATTAGTTTTAAAGATATTTTCTATCGTCAGCGAATATTTACATAATCATAATTAAATGGTAAGTTGTGGATGAATAATGGTCTTTCCTTGTTTAATTTGATAAGAGAACATTATCAACTATACTACAAACAAAAAATAAGGGAACACCCTAAAATTTGATAGTCGTATATGAACTGAAAGGTACTCTAAGGTAAATGCAACTTTTTGTGTGCTTAATAGGCACTTTAAACGACATGTTGGAACATGCAGTGAAGCAACTGATTCAATATTCTTTGAGTTTGAGTGAAATGAAACATTGTTAAAAACAGCAAAAAACAAGGGTGCTGAAACACACCAGCACCATGTTTGATTCAAACACCCAAACACAACAGCCTAGTGCATGTGGAAGACAGACTTCCCATGCAGCTTGTGGCAACTGGGCACTGGCAGTTGTGAATCGGTTCCGAAGGGCTTGGACCATAACATATCGGTCATCTGCCCTTGATGCTTTCCTGGGTATTCCAGAGCGAGGTCTGTCCTTTACTCTACCAGTGGCCAGGAACCTGTCCCTCAGTCTGTGAATGACAGAGGGAGACACCTGAAGACGAGAGCAACAGTTCTTATGGATTCACCATCCTGTAACCATGCAATGGTCCTGCTTCTGCTGCGGGCGCTTAACGGTTTGCGCTGTGGCATGGTGAAGAAAGTGTGAGGCTACAATACTGTCTGTAGCTTCTTTTAAAGGAAACATTGCGACAAGCTGCATGGGAAGTCTGTCTTCCACATGCACTAGGCTGTTGTGTTTGGGTGTTTGAATCAAACATGGTGCTGGTGTGTTTCAGCACCCTTGTTTTTTGCTGTTTTTAACAATGTTTCATTTCGCTCAAACTCAACGAATATTGAATCAGTTGCTTCACTGCATGTTCCAACATGTCGTTTAAAGTGCCCATTAAGCACACAAAAAGTTGCATTTACCTTAGAGTATAAATGACCACGGTTTCAGTTTATATATGACTATCAAATGTTAGGGTGTTCCCAGATTTTTTGTTTGTAGTATATTTGTTTTATTGTTTTGTAAATGACAAATAGATGCAAGAATATTTTTTTTGGTTTTTATAAACTGATTAACAGTTGTTTTGGGATGAATAGTTGAATCCAGATATTATGAGCAAGAGACTTCCATACCATGTAGTTTATTAATTACACAGATGTTTTCTAATGATTTTAATATTCTTTTATTTCATCTGAAGTGTTGACATTTCTACGCAACAAATAATTGTAAATGTGCTTTTGAATGATCCCGTATTAATGTAATATTTCAGTGTGAGTGCGACAATATGTGAATCTCAACGTAATATTTGGAGATGTTTGCATGTTTTTCTGAATGTACTTTGTGCCCCGTGAGAATGTTCAATTCGATATGACTCAATTTTGAACTTGGTATGAATGGCAATGTGTGTGGAAGGGAAACGATATTTATGTTCACACACATTTTTAATCGCAGTGACGGAGGTCTTGTGCCAAAACTCTCCCCATTTTACAAATTAAATGTTTTGAGTACTGTGAGATGACACATGATTTTATATGCATAAATTTTGATAAAATAACAAATGTTAATGTGACTACAGCTGGTAGCCTAAGGTGTTGTAGCAGTTGCTTTTGAATACTAGTCATGCATAACCTCTAGTTGGAACAGGTGACAAGCACACTCTCCTCAGCTTGTTGGGTTCAGTAGATATCTTAAAGGTAAAAACCTATTTCACAAAAAATATCAGATTTTTTTATATGGCTAGACAGTTATATTTAGGTGTCTTTCAGTCGTCAGAATTTAGCCATTTCCACTAAAAATAGAATACAGAAAATGTGTAATAGGAGGAATTTCTTTATCTTTAGAGTGAAAAAGTTATAGACAGTTTGACTATAGAAATCTAGTTGATTTTCCCACTTGTTCATTTCTGGTGTCCCCTGCCGTGATAATGCTGGAATATTGCTAAAAGCGGTGTAAAACTACTCACTCACTCACTCCCAACTTGCTGTGCTTCAGCAGTGACTCCACCTACATAGGCGGATCCAGAAGGGGGGTGCAGGGGGGTGCACCCCTCTTTTGTTCTGAAAGTTTATTAAATGACCATTGAAACTCGGGTGAAAATGAAATGTGCACCCTCCCTTTTCTCAATAGTATGCATCCCCCCCTTTCTGAAAAAGCTGTATCCACCCCTGACCTATGGAAGCCAGTGGAAATCATCCCCTGGGGCTCTAAGATAAGGGGGTTATTCCACAAAATTGCTGTAATAGTTAAGATGGATATGTAAAATGTATTGGCAATTTTCTATTTTTTTCAAAGATTTTCTTCCTTTCCTGCTGCAACTATACTGGGCATGAATAACCTGAACGCAAATTAATTTGGTCTGGTGTTACACAAATTCACCTTTTTTGTGACATTTTCAAATATAAAATATGTTTGATAGTAATGAACCAAAAATATTTTATGCTGTTCTTATGATATCTTTTACACAAATATTAAAATATTTGTAGCATATTTAAGCTTAATATTTCATAGAAGTAGAATGAAAGAACAGAGTTCTGTTTATGATTGCTCATATATTGACATATATCAAGCAATCTGTTTCCCACTCCTTAATTGTACCCAATCAAGATGCCCCTGTATACCTTCACACAGGACATGGAGGTGTTCTAATTAGCCACAATCACTATGAGTTCGAGTAGAGTGGTGTATTCCAAGGCCCTTATGGCTATATGTCCTTGTCACAGGTTCCATAATGAGGTCCCTTTATGCACACCGTGTTCTGTGATTGGTTGATTTGTTGTTAATGTCAAGGACAGGTCACTGACTGGAGGTCATCAGTATGTGTCTTGAAGCAGTCTGGGTTATGCTTTGCATATTGAATAATGAAGGCACTTTGTTCATAATAAAGACTAACAATTGTGTTAATTTCAATACATGTTTTTAAATTGAAATTCTATTTAACAACTGCTTCCTTTTAATTTACTATTGTTTGTAAGTTGAAATGTCTATCAAGAAGTTACCTCTCTTGTGATCATGTCAAATCGGCATTTGTTTACGTTTTATTGTTTTGTTATTGATAATAAATTTTTAAGGAAACAATGTTAAAGAATTCTTATTTGGCCAGAACAACCTTTTGTCTACCTTACTGATAAGCCATCCTGAATTTTTACAAAAGTGAAAGAATAATAAATGTGGAAAATTAAATGCTGTTTTAATATATATTTTTTTAAAGAACCTTAGGTTAAAGTGCCAAGGAACTTTAAATCAAGTCTGAATCTTCTCAACTGGTGTCAAACTGGTATGTTGTTGAGAAAAGGATGTGCTCCCTTTTTGAAAAAAATGATCTCACTTTGACAATTTTATATATTTTTTTCATTTCTTGATAAGAGAATAGTGTCATTAGAATTCAAATGGGTTATCTGATATTTAGTAATATTTGGTGATGATTAAACAAAATTTGTATTGTTTTGGTGATGTTGTGCAAAACAGAAGGTAAATCAATATCATGGTTTCAGAAACCTTATAAAGCAGTTTTTTTGCACAGTTTAGATGAGAGTTTAGAAAAAAGTGTATATTCTTGTGATCAGTTATATTTTCTAGCACAGCTGGCAAGATTTCAGATGACCTGGGAAGGGCAGGATGTAGAAGGCTGTTTCTTACATGTATACAGACAAGTTGTGAAAGAGATTATATATTTCAGACACTGTCAATGTTGTGTTTTTGTGAAGTATATGTTGAGATGGAAATATTTATTTTTAAACCCAAATTGTCTATTTATATCATGTTTGACACTTATGTTCTTGTGGTGTTTGTAGCTGGATCAAGCAAGTGGGATGATACTTGCAATGCAATAAATTGATGTTTATCGTACACTGTCTTGGTGGATTTTTGAGTCCCATGGAGAAACAGGGGCTTAATAATTAGTTGGGAACTTGTTCTTGTTGCAAGATCGAACAAATGGGGATTGGATGGTTAAACCATGTGTGTGACCTGGCTGATGAGGTGTCTGACATTGATCTTGGCTCATGCTGTTGACCAATGGTTTACCCAGACCTGGTAGGTTTCTGGCCTTTGTTGGTTTCAGTTATTTACAGGAATATAAGTTACTGACTGTTCTTTGGGCGGTGGTGTAGACTTATGGTAAAAGTGTGCGCTATCACGCGGAATTCCTGGGTTCGATTCCCACATGGGTACAATGTGTGAAGACCATTTCTGGTGTCCCCCACCGTGATATTGCTGGAATATTGCTAAAAGCGCCAAAACCATACTCACTCACTGACTTTCACTCTGTCTCTGCTCCCAATATCCACATAAAAGGCTCAAAGTCCCTATTGGGTAATTACCAAACAATGGGGTTGTGGAGGCAACAGGGTGGTACTTGTTGAGTCATCCTGTGATATGGTCTGATCAAATTTCAACAATAGTACCTTGAGTGACATGTCCTCTGTGGTTTTGCATCTGCCAAGAGAGCTCTGGGAAAACTGGTGGTTCACCTCATACAAAAAGACTTTAAAAGGGACTGGTCCATACTTGATTATTTACTGGCCACTGAAAATAGCTGCACCATTCCTTAGTGTGCAGTAGAAAAACAAATATTACTGAGTAATGTAAACCCTTTGAGACTATGATAAGCTCGTAGAACAAGGGGCGGTGGGGTAGCTTAGTGGTTAAGGCGTTCGCTGGTCACGTCGAATACCCGGGTTCGATTCCCCACATGGGTACAATTAGACTAAGGCTTAGTCTCTGAATATATATAATTTTGATAGTAACAAACAAGCTTAATTAAATATTGAAAAGGAGCCCTAGGGAGACCAGAGCAGAAATCTAGACTTGCTTCATTTAGGGCTTTAGCACTGCAGAGAGGCTTAGCAGTAGGGAAATTAATGTGGTTCAGGGACTGTGAGACAGACTAGGGTACAATGTGTGAAGCCCATTTCTGGTGTCCCTCACTGTGATGTTGATGGAATATTGCTAAAAAAAGGGGTAAAAGTAAACTCGCTCGCTGGCAGAACAATGGTTTTAATATAAATATAACATACCCAGTGCATTTGAGAATATCTCCTTTGAAACAAATTCAGTGTTTTAATGCTGGTCACAGACAGGTATCGATATTTTGTACAAAGCTAAACACCAAAGCCTCTGTGGTATTCATACTTGTGTCTTTCTCACACATCCTAACAGAGTCACAAATTGATAAAAATCCAAGCTCATTACTTTGTCACGAGAATTGGACTATGCACAGTGTCGTTAGCCCTGCGAAAACCACGTAACTCTGAAATTCCAACTCAGTTAGCCAAGGATGGAAACCGGACTTTAATAGACAATTAACTCCCTGGGAAGACTGTCCATTCAGGGACTGTCGTGTCTGAGATTGAGACTGGACAATGGTGGCAGGTATCCGCCCCCACTACTGCCACTGGCTTCTGACTTTGTTGATTTCTGACTTGTCACAGACTTTGACCGCGTCCTCTTCTTTTTCTTCTTCATAGCATCTGCAGGTGTGTGACGGAGGGATTCACTCTCACTCACAGCGATCAGACTTCGAGGACTTTCCGAGTAGAGTTTTGGCAAGAAGCTTCCGGGTGTTGTAAAGTTGGCGAAGGAGTTCTGTCTACTGAGACTGGAAGCTAGAGGTGTGCCTTCCGAGGGGCGTCCAATGAACCTCGTGCCATAGATGTTGTACATTGAAGGAAAGTAGTAGTTGGACTCGGGCGCGGAAATGATGGCATCTGACTGTAAGATCCGCCGTCGCTCCTCACGGCGTTTCCGTTCCAACGCTTCCTGTCGCATGTCTTCCTTGCGTTCGTCACGAATGTGCTTCCTTACACCTGCAGCGAGTAACCTGCAACAGATAGGCAGGTCACAAAGTGATTGATTCATGTTTTATGCCGCAGTGCCTGTAAATAATGTAGTAACGCCTGGCAAATCAATAGCAAATCCAGGGTCAAATGATAGGAATACAAGTTGACCCTTTTTAAAGGAAGAATATATCCAAGGACCAGCTCCTACACCTGGACACGCCAGGAACCTATGATTGTGGTTTGGAATCCCAGTTCACCCCAGTTATGTTTCTACTCTTGCTGGTTGGTGGGTTGTTTTACGCCGCACACAGCAGTATTCCAGCTATATGGCGGCGGTCTGTAAATAATCGAATTTGGGCCAGACAATCCGGTGATAAACAGCATGAGCATCGATCTACGCAAATGGGATACAATGACATGTCAACCAAGCAAGCGAGATTGACCACCCGACCACGTTAATCGCCTCTTACGACATGCATGGGCTGCTAAGGGTGAATTCTAACCCGAGGTGAGGTGAGGTGAAATTGGGTTTATCGTCGTGCTTGAGAATATTTCGCTCATATGACGACGTGCATGCGTGTGTATGTGTATGTGCGGCTGCTTGTACTAGCCCAGACTGAAGCTGGTTTTATAGTGCTAGCCCACTGAGATACCATGCCCCAGTGAAGTATTAATACCCCACTCAGACACATTATACTGATTCCGAGCCGACCAGTCCTTGTTGTACCCATTAATGCCGAGCGCCAGGCAGGGACCAACAAGTACCATATTTTAACTTCTTTTTGGTATGACGCGGTCGGGGATCGAACCCGCGACCTTCCGCTCTCCGGGCGGACCCTCTAACCACTACACCACGGAGGCGGTTGAATTCTAACCCGAAGCTTCACGGGTCTCTGGGATGTACGTACTGGTAGTTTATCTGCCCTCCCTTGCTCATCCCGATCCTCTTCACAACCTCCAGCATTTCGTCTTCGTCTAAGGGCGCTCGTACACGCTGAAATACGATAGCAAACCTGACACATTGTGTTATGTAAGTATCTTTCTTTAAAAAAATTCAACCAAATTACAACTAGGTAAAAATTAACTTGACAAGTATTTGAACTGTCCAATGGTGTTAATGTTTGCAATGAGAATTTGCAGTGAAATTTTCTTTGTTGGGAAGTGTACAGAAACAAAAACATTGTACAGAAACCTCGCACAGATAGAGAACTTACATTTCGTACAGAAACAGGTATACACACAACATCTTTGTACAACTTCCACTGATTATGCAAATAACTTTAACCGGGAAAGTTCCGTATGGGAATGTATGTATATATAAGACCAATTCATTTACATCGCATCATATTTCTCACAGAGGGTCTGTTTGTGTCCTTACATATTTCCTGAAATGAACATCGTAGTACAATAATACAGCCAACATTGTGGATTTGTGGCGTGAGGGGCGGTGGGGCAGTCTAGTGGTTAAAGCGTTGGCTCGTCACGCTAAAAATCCGGTTTCGATTCCCCACTTGGGTACAATATGTGAAACCCATTTCTGGTGTCCCCCGCCGTGATATTGCTGGAAGATTGCTAAAAGCGGCGTAAAACCATACTCACTCACTCACTCACTGTGGCGTGAACTCAATAGTTAACACGCATATAACGAACTGGTTTTGTGGGTCCCGCCCACATGCTGTATATTTTAATCGAAATGTGTATGGCGAATTATGGTTATAATGAACAAAATATTGGTTTCTTTGAGTTCATAGTTTACTGTATTGTACAAACTATACAACATAGGCCTATTCATTTTTCAAAAGATCGTATAATCTGATATGTGATGATACAGTGTGAGTGAGTGAGTTTAGTTTTACGCCACTTTTAACAATATTCCAGCAAAAGGCTTCACACATTGTACCCATGTCGGAATCGAACCTGGGTCTTCAGCGTGACGAGCGAACGCTTTAGCCACTAGGCTACCCCATCTCCCCTATGTTACAGATGTATGCTTTCAAGAATACAGGACCACAACCACCATGAGCGTTTCTCCTGATAGCGGAAGGTCGATTCCAGGCAGAGTCATATGATATAGAGGATATTATATGAGTGCCCATGTCATACTATGTTTACGACACGAGTGCCTAAATGTTGGTATTTCCCGAGCGAGAGCGAGGAATATACCGATATTTAGGCACGAGTGTCGTAAATATAGTATGATATGGGCACGAATATAATATTCTATTTATTACCGAAGTCGTCAAACTGAGGAAAATAAACCTAAATCTACTTTCAAACACAGGCTGGCTTCCCGCCGTCGCCGTATGTAGAACGCAACGTCACAGAAGAAACGTGACGTCATAGCCTTGTTCATGACGTCACGTCACCATGACAAAGTGATATTTTGCCCTAGGGCATCGTATGAAAAATATGAACCCCGATATGTTCGCCCTCGTAGGTAATAAAAAACGTTAAAAGATGGTACTTGTTGTTTTCCTGCCTGGTGGTCGGCACTGGGGAATAATCCAGCACTGGCCGGCTCGTAGTACGTAAACCTTGCCCCTGTATCCATGTCCAACTGAGGCGTGGTATCTCAGTTGGCTAGCACGCTGAGTGGGCTAGCATCACGTTGCACGAGCACCCATAGCCACACACGTGCAAGCACGTTGCGTTAACAGTGCGAGACGCTGAACAAAACGTTTAACCCACTTTCACCAGACCGTCAAGATCCGGGTTAGAATTGATCTTCAGTAACCCATGCTTGCGTAAGAGGCGACTAACGGCATCAGGTGGTCAGGCTCGCTGACTTGGTTGACACATGTCATCGTATCCCAATTTCGTAGATTGATGCTCATGTTGTTGATCACTGGATTGTCTGGTCCAGTCTCGGTTATTTACAGACCACCGTCATATAGCTGGAATATTGCTGTGTGCGGCGTTAAACTAATCTCACTCATTCCCCATTTTCACCTCTCATTTAAACATAGATGGTGAATATTGACATCAAGTGTATCGTTCCATACTCAATTCGTGTGCATCATCTTGAATGAATACGTGGTAAAAGTATTTATGAAAATGTCAAAATATGGGTAATGCGAAAGCAAGATAATTTCCAAATCAACTTCAAGCTCAAGGCTGGTCTTTGGTCCTGAGGACTCCTCTCCGGTTTACATGACATTCCTGCGCTCACGGCCACCAGGGCCATTTAACGATGTTTCTTATTTTACACTGTCCACGTTTTACATTCCGAGAAACACTTTAACGGAGTCTATATTTATATAGAGAGGATGTTGTCCTCCAGGTATGGATGCCTGAGATTTTAATCGGCTTATATATTTTTTGTCGAAAGTCATACAGGTGAAATCCACATTAATCTTATAATTTATCGTAAATTATTTTCATGAGATATATTTCCTTTTATGGGTAACGAATTAAAGAAATATTTCCCGACTAGTGAACAAATAAGGCCCATATTGAAATAATAAAATATATATAACACCCCATATCACATAAATTAGAACATGTTTTGTCACTGCTACTGGAGTTTTGATGGTTTTTGGACCTCAAATCAAAACAACCAAAGAACCTTTAGAAAGAAATCCTCAAACTAAAAATAATTTAGATATTCCATGAAAGAAAGAAAGAATCCAGTTTTGCAATGAAATAACTTTCCCAAATCTCATAGTCCGTATTAACGTGTTGCCATATACCTTTACAAATTATACTTTATTAACAATTATACCCATGCTCAAAATAATTGTCATCCCAATATTAAGATATGTTTTGGCGGTGACAATGCTAATGAGCAGGGGTATACTGAACCACAGGCAAATTGTAGCGCAATTAGGGTTGCGCAACAAAGAGAAAATGACCAGTCTTCCGCGTCGCTTAGAGAAAGACTGGTCATTTTTCTCTCTGTTGCGCAACCCTATTTGCGCTAGAGTTTGGCTGTGATTTAACGTTAGGCATAAAACCCTCTGTATTAAACTGTTTCCCTACTTTTTTGTCATGAAAGAATGCAGTGAAACAACGCGCTTACCTTAAGCCCTCGGATAAACTTTTCTTTGGACACGTAAAACCTATTTTCCGTATCGAACATTCGAAACAGATCGACGACTCGGATCCCAATCGTGCCTAAATATCTTGTAAGCAGCGACATGGGGTCTTGGCGCTTCACTGAAAGGCAGTTATTATCACAATTTAGAAATTTACACGCATCAAATAATTTCACACAAGACGTGAAAAGAAATCAAGCACTTCAATAACAAGAAAAAACAGCGCCAAGAAAAACAAGGGCGCCATGCCAAAAACACTGCACTCGTGAGGGAAAAATCACAAGTGACAAGCAAGCATTGCTTCACTGCATTCAGTTGTGAGGAAAACAGCATTCACATTTATTCGTACATATGTAAATACGTATCTCATGCCATATGGTAAGCGCGGTTCATAATTCGTATTGCAGATTTGAGTTCTAGTTGTACGTGTTGCCTTTGCCTTAGAAGGTAGCACTACAGATTAACATTGAGTGTATACATCAAATATTTTATGCAATACTATATTAAAAGATATTTCCTTATTTTTAATACATCGGAATGAAAATATTTTTGAACTTGAAATGGAAAATTGGAACACAAAACTATTGGCGTATGTCTTTTAAAAGAATTCATAATTAATATATAGAAATTCAATTACGAATGTGGATAATACACAATAGTATATTTATTAAACAAAGCCTTTCCAAGACAGAATATATAGATGAGTTCGGTGCGAAACCATACCCTATCTGACCCATCAAATAGGTATGTTGGGTAGACCAGCGGTTCAAGTGTTCTCTTGTCACGCCGAAGATGTGATTTCGATGCTTGAGTTCAATGCATGGCGGGGAATTTGCTTACGGCGGCGTGAAACCATAGTCACAGATTCAAATCAAATCCGTTGACAAATGCCATGAATATGTAATTCCCTATTCCCGAATGATCCACAGAAAATACTTTGATCACAGAAACTATTTATAAACCCATGAATATTTTCAGAAGCATCAACCTACCACAATGTTGTTGATATGAAGTCTTCCCAGACATATATCAACATCTGGAGATGAAACGTCAGCTAACGCTACATGCTGAAGAAGAGGTTTAAGCAGAAACTACTTCTCGCTCATCCAGTCATTCAATCACTGGGTTCTAAACCAGGCGAAACAGGGGTTGTCCGTAATACAAGGTCGGCCACCTAACGATTAGAACCGTTGGTGCTATGTAGCAGATATACAATTGTGTACTATGGAAGAAACACAGACAGTGTATTGACACCTTCTCTGGCATGGAGTCCCTTCGAAAGCAACACAGACCGTTTATTAGGACCTTCTCTGGCACTGAGTCCCTTTGACAGAAACACAGTGTATTAGGACCTTCTCTGGCACTGAGTCCCTTTGAAAGAAACACAGACAGTGTATTAGGACCTTCTCTGGCACTGAGTCCCTTTGAAAGAAACACAGACAGTGTATTAGGACCTTCTCTGGCACTGAGTCCCTTTGAAAGAGACACAGAGAGTGTATTAGGACCTTCTCTGGCACTGAGTCCCTTTGAAAGAAACACAGTGTATTAGGACCTTCTCTGGCACTGAGTCCCTTTGAAAGAAACATAGTGTATTAGGACCTTCTCTGGCACGGAGTCCCTTTGAAAGAACGGTGTACTAGGGACTTGCTGTGGCACAGAGTCACCATTAAGAAGACAGAGACGACGGACGTAGGAATCTATACGAAAGAAACACAGACAGTGTACCAGGGACCTCCTCCAGCACGAATCTACATGAGAAGACAGCCGGTATATCGGGGACCTAATCTTCCCAGGTATCTCTATGATTGACTGACTGAGTTTGGTTTTGCGCCGCTTTTAGCAATATTCCAGCAACATCACGACGGGGGACACCAGAAATGGGCTTCACAAGTCGTACCCATGTGGGGATTCGAACCCGGGTCTTCGGCGTGACGGTATCTCTATGAAGAAGTTTCAGACGCTGCAATGAGGACTAAAACCTGGCACGAAAGGTTACATCCTGAAAATGGCGTTGGTCACGTATTTCAGCATTAATAAAGGAAATCCATCAGCGCATGCGCATTCCTGAGATATCACCAGTTATGACAGAAAATATCCCAAACCATTAATGGATGTACGCTCAAATTCATAACAAAACAACTTTGAATAACACCATTCCGATCACATCTATTGTTATTATAACAAATCAGCACATACCTTCCTTCAGGTCTTTATTGAAAAAGTAGACATACGTATTGAAGAAATAATGCTTTGCACAGGTGCACGTCGGTTTATATACACAACACTCATTACAACGTTAGAAAAATTCTACATCACTGACATTTTCCATTTGTAAAATAACAATATAGTCTTCATAAAGACACTTTAAATATATTCCCAACAACCCTGCGACATTCAATGAGTTCATGGAGTTAAGGTCATAAGGTGTAGGTCTATAGATTGTGCGTGATTTAGGTGATGTAGCACAGTCACTAACGGATCCGGCAACATATTCATATGCTTTACATCCGATTCCATATGAATAAAAATATGGTAATCACACCTCATTTGTAGTATTATTCTTAATCTTTGTGCAGTTTCAAGAATTTGTCAGGAAATTATTGTTAATGTAAAATTTGTAGAATGACGAACGATAAATATTGCAACGGAATTTCACAAAAGCCTGTAACGATGTTGTATTTTAGCTAACGACGACGTTGACAACAACCCTCACCTCTCTGAATGCCAATGATGTCGTGAGTGCTGAGGATGCCGCCGTGATGGAGAGTGAACTTCCGGGTACGGGAGATCTCCGTTGCACTGAAGGCAACCTTGGAGTTGATCGGTATGTTCTGAAAACAACAGCAGAGGCCATAGTAATCATATTTCCTTTGAAAGGGGTCCTCTATGATACCAGGGAGCTTTTCGCGAAACTGGTGCAGAATATATTATCTCAATTGAGAACACAGAGGAAGAGGACTTATAGCTTGTCTAAAAAGTCCATTTTATTGTTTTCCACCATATCAGTGTTCATGGCTTGCGATCCGCAGATACTGGGTTTGAATCCAGTCTTCTGCGCGATTATATAAATCAGTTACACTTGAAGCCTCGACCTGTGTCACTGAGACTACATAATATTAACAACAAAACAAAAAACAAAATAAGAACAAAAAAACAGGACAAACCCACCCCCCAAAAAAACCCCAAAACAAAACAAAAACAACAAAAACAAAACAAAACAAAACAAAACAATAACATAAAACAGAAAAATACAAAAAAACCAAAACAAACAAAACAAAATAACAAACCCCCACCCCCACCCCCAACTTAAACAATGTATAAAAGACCCCAACAAAAAACAGTTCGTTATATCCGCCAGTTCGGTATAAGCGAGTTCCTTATTAATGCAGTTTACTGTACTCTTTAAAGAGGAGTTAAAACCAAATCATTCAATCAAAAGATCCTGGTTGTGAGCCTGAGTTACTCAGTGTATTTAGACGCTGTCGGACTATAGAACTGCCAATAGACAGTGAACATCAAAACCTTTCGTTGAGAATTAAACACGGATATTTTACATACAAAACGTTTACCTCTAATCCTAGGTGTCTAAGACAACAAGTAGGTTTCGCTATTGCATCTAGGAGCTCGTCACACCCCTCCATCGACAATGGGTTATGGCCAAGCTGGAACAACAATCGTATATTCATTATCCTGCTCATGCACCAGCCATAAAATGCTTCCCTGTCATTGTTTCATTCTGATGTCTGAATTGGACACTGAAGACTGGGGCTCACGAATGATCCAATTCTGCTAGTCAAATTTTAAACATATTCTCATACTGGCAAAGCATGATAATAGCGATTGTTGCTTATAAGAAACCAAAACTTGTCACATTTGGATTCAGTTGCCTTGTTCAGATACAGCAAGACTATTGTTTGGTGCACATGGGTGACCCATGCATCTTCATCATAAAATAATACTTCCATGATACCAGCATAATGAATAGTTACATATATACTATTTTGACTGCTATGATTCTAAATATCCTGCTTGGTATGATAATATGATAATATCATTGCAAGGATTTAGGTATTCAGATTTACCTTTTACTGACAACAAAACCAACACTGAAAGATCGGATTGACATTCCTCTAAAGAAATATAGTGACTGTTGGCGTCTACTCACGTCCAACACTTCCAGGCACCTGTTTGCCCTGATCCCCCCCTCCCGATGTACGGCACACAGTCCCAGTTGATCCTGTTATTGGCCATATCCAGCACCTTCAGGGTTCTGTTCATCTTCAGGGATTCCCCTATCGCCAGACTGCCTTCAAATCCGAAACCATTCCACGACACGTCCAGTTTTCGTATAGTGTGATTTTTCTGTTCAAATATTGTGTACATATTTTGTAAATCATGAAGAATATAAACACAACACGGGACACGACTACACTGCGGATATTTATCATATTACAGAAAAGACCCAATCACTGATGGAACGCTGATGAAGTCGTTCGTGAAGACGATGGCTCACCTGCAGACTCTTACAGACGGACACGGCGCCGCTAGCTCTGATCTGGTTCCAACTGACGTCAACATACTCCAGGTAGTTGTTGGCACCTGATGATCAAATAATTATTTCCTAATCAAATCAACATTTGATAAAAGTAACGTTAGCTACCTGTTTTAATGTCGTAGCTTGCAGAGTGTTCTATGCACTGGTCATTTACAAGACGTCGGAATGCATATGTTTATGGCTTGTAAACTCTTCATTTTTTCAATCGTGATTCTGGATCCGTTTTGACATTAAAGTGCCACAAATTGCAGATTTCTCTCAAGAATAATAAATTCCACGTATTCATGTAATTATTTCATGATGCTAACTGCCGTGACCTTTCCTATAAGCTTTAGAATTCCGACTGATCATCAACCACATGTGCCAGTTTTGTTACTTCAGCGGAACATTCACGTATAAATGTTATTGAGGTTTCTGGCTCTAAAGGGAAAGTTCCACAGAGCGATATTAGCGCTTGACTATCTTAAGCCAATTTTCAAGTATGAGAGTCATGATCACCTTAGCGATAATAATCCCCTCCAAGTCCGTGTTAGGTCAGATTACAGTATGTTTTTTGGCAGTTTGATATGCGTGAAATATATACTCATGCCAATAATGGTTGTCACCCCCTCCCACCCACCCCTCTCCAATAAAAAAAATTGAAGGGGGTGACAACCATTATTGGCATGAGTATATATGTCTCAATCTTTAAACTGAAGTGACCAAGAATGAAAATAAAATGATTAAAGCAAATGTATTCTAATCTCAACAATGAACTTAAAGGTGCACGTCATTGTTTTCAGATATATCATATATATGTGATCTTTCCATACATACCCATCGCTCTTCCAAGCTGAACACCTCCAAGGATGCCAATCTTGTTATGACTCAAGGAGAGCCATTTAATACTCTCATTGTTCTGAATGAATAAAAGGAATCGCCACTGTAAACATTTGACAAATCAGTGTGCACTGAAATTTTAATTCTTTCCTGATTTAAAGGAAGTTTACAGACAAATTATTATCTCAACCTACCAGGCATCATTTACTGCTATGTGAAAAGAGGTCATCTCTATGGAGAACGGCTGATGTCAGAATCTCCGTGTCAGTATGTTTTCAATATTTGATGTGACCATGTGGTAGTTACATACGCCATTCTCGTTGGTATTTGGTCATGGTCATTTGGTCAGTGACATAATTGTTTGTCTTGACCTGACTTGGTGCCTTTGAATTGTCCACGGAACCACGTGACACCACTTACCTGTATACCTGTTGCCACGTGGAGCATCTCGTGGTCAGCTATCTGGCAACCTGTGGAGAGCAAAGAATACATACAAGCTGACATATTAGGCATTCATCCTGTAGACTCCTATAACAGTATATTGAGTAGAGGGCGTGATATCATGTAGGAAAAATACACCATGGACTTTGTTAAAGACCTTTGTTTACCACTTCGCTGAAACCAACCGGTTTGTTACTGACAAAAAGGTCATGGTACGTATATTGGATTCGAACTCCTGAACATCGGGTCGTTGCATCGCTAACCTGCACACTTATGTGAATTTTGTAACATGACTTTAACGAAATTGAACTTTTAAAAAAAGTGATACTGACAACATTGACGTCTCTTTTATTGACACAGGAAGTTGTGTACGTGTGCAGCTGACATTGTGAGGGGTTGAGCATAGGTAGCCTAGTGGTTAAAGCGTTCGCTCGTCACGTCGAGGAACCGGGTTGAACCCATTTGATCTGTACCCCACTGTGATATTGCTGAAATAATGCTAAAAGAGGCGTAAACCCGAACTCACTCACTCACTCAGTTGACAGTGTGGTCTCAAAACATATATGTCAAATTCCTGATGTCAAATGATCATTCGGTACCAGCAAATGCCAGGAATCGTTATTAGACTTGTCAAATTTCTGGTTGTCTCGAACTTATTTTGTTGTCCCGAATGTCAAAAGGAAATAGTACTGCAATTGGTTTTGTTTGTTTCTTGTTTAATGCCACGCTCATCAATTTACCAACTACAAGAAAATGTATGTAAATAACTGAATCTGGACCTGACAATCCAGTGACTGACGTCATGAGCATCGATCTGCGCAACTAGGATACCATGGCATGTGTCAAACAAGCGAGACTGAACACCCCATAGTCACCTCTTTAGAGAAGCATGGGTTGCTGATGACCAGGTGTAACCCGGATCTTACTGAAAATGAAAGCATGAACGATTTACTTACTGTGCAGGTTGAGCTGTGTGATGGTCGTGGTTAACTGCAGCAGATCGGAGAGGGCTATTGCACCCTTGTTCTCCAGTGTATTGGCCTTTAAACTCTGGAAAACACACATGTATAAAGTGAAGGTTAACGGGGTTTTGTATCATGATATCACGGCGTGATGTCAACTGGTGGAAATTGTAAGACGCAGATACAATTTTAAGGCACTGTATTTATTTGACGAAAAGGACCGCGAAATCAACTGCGGGCAAAAGAAGGTACTCGTATACCCTTGAAAATTGGATTTGACCAAAGAATTACAAGCGCTTACATTATTTGGTCAAATACAGTCATTGTAACACTTTAATTTTATGGTCCAAAACGCAAATATACAAAGATGAAATACGTCACCATCAAATAACCATTACGCGTTTGTTTCTTTTTTGGCCCCCATCATTCTTTTTTCCAATGTAGGTTCTTAACCACAGTGCAGTGTTCACACACCATTCAGCCGTGTGAATAGTGGGACCATTTCGTGCAATAATTGCAATATTGAAATATTAACCATCAGATATACACGTTGTTTAGTTGCATGTAAAACTTTCCTTTTTATAAAATGAGGAAACTATTTATCGTCCATGACAGCATGTCTGTTCTGTATGTCTGAACATTGTAAACGATTCTCTCACCACTCGGGAGATGAACGTGTTCCTCTTCAGGAGGTCCGAGATGAGTGCTGTGCCCGTGCCGTCAATGCCATTACCTTCAAGGTCAAGGTCCTCAACCTTTGTGTTTTCCTGTATCGCAACAAGAAGAGATTGTCAGAAAGGCGCCATTTGCATATCTATCTATCTTAAACGCACTCACTCACTCTCTATATATTCATATCTGTATCTATCTCACTCCATTATATATGTATACCCGTGAAGATCCGGGTTAGGATTGATCTTCAGTGACCCATGCTTGTCGTAAGAGGCGACTGATCAGGTGGTCAGGCTCGCTGACGTGGTTGACACATGTCATGGTATCCAGATTGAGTAGATCGATGCTCATGCTATTGATCACTGGATTGTCTGGTACAGATTCGATTTTTATACAGACCGCCGTCTGTAATATTGCTGAGTGCGGCTTAAAACTAAACTCACCCACTCACTCTATCTATCTATCTCTCTCTCTATATATATATGTATTACAGGGAATGTGTGAAACCAGGGATTTCACGTAATCTCTAAAGGATTCAGTGATTTCGTGAAATCCCTGTAACCCCAGGGATTTCATGTATTCCCTAAAATTTCAAGGGATTTCATGAAATTACTGATTTTCATGGTGTTCCATTACACACATTCCCCGTTAGGATATCAGTGAATGTGTGAAATTAATGTTTGTAGCTTAAAACTTTACTGTTGAGTCTCATTTCATCCCTTAGGTCTTAGTTCTTTTACCGATGAAAACTTTGATAATATTCCAACTGATGTTTTGACAAATGACATCTGTATAGATTTTCGAGTCGAATTGTAGTGGTCCGTTGGCGGGATCTAGAGGTTGAGTCGCGAGAGTGAGAGTTCCAACCACACCACACAATTTACTCACACACACACACACACACACACACACATTTCATCCACACACACAGGTCTTAGGAGTTGACACACACACACACACCCCTACCTGAAAAAATGACTTATGGCCGCATTGAAGATTGTTTTTGAGTTGGGGGACCAATTTTAACTGAACCACGGCCCCTTTACCCTGGATAGACTCATTTGGTCATTTCCATAGGTCTTCTCACAGTCCCCGAACCACATATACTTTTAACTGCCAAGACACTAAGTAAAGCTAAATAGAGGGAAATCACTCGGGTTCAGAATCTCGATAATATTCCAGCTGATGTTTGTTACAAAATTATATCCGTATAGATTTCGAGTCGAATTGTGGTGGTCCATTGGCGGATCCAGAGGGGGGTGTCTTAACACCACATTGAAACACACTGTTGTAAATGGTTTAAAGTGCTACTGAAGTGTAATCGCTTGTATCATAACAGTCTATCTTGTCCAAACAAATGGATTTTATCAGCATATACTCTGTACCCGCATTATGAAGTTGGTGTTCTCCACTTCAATAAAGGCTAATATTTCAGTAATTTTATTAAATCCCTGGAAATTTTAGGGAATACATGAAACCCCTGGGAGTAACAGGGATTTCATGAAATCACTGACTCTGTCTGTGTGTGCGTGCGTGTGTGCGTGCGTGCGTGCGCGCGCGCATTGTGTATATATCGTGTACCATCATCATGCAGTTGTTACAGTCAGAACTTCTTTCCTGGTGACCTCGTAGTGACAACATGAGAAAATATATTTATGTTCACATACAATAAATCGTACTTGTTATTGTGTACAAACTATATTTTTTATCTAAACAAACCAAGACGTCAGACAGGCGTCCTTGACCTTCAACATCTTACCAAGAGTCCCGCACATATGGCCTTGACCTGCTTGACATTGAGTCCCACGTGCTGCAGCTGCATTTTCGTTATCCACAGCTGTGTAATAACCCTCCTGAGGGGCGTGGCTCCGTGGGTCTTACATGCTTCCTCGTAAGACAGGTGACCTATGTCTGTGTTCTCTCGGCAAGTAATCAGCTGTTGTTCCAGCTCCTTGTGGCGGAACTCGTCCTCTATAAAAGGGAGATAAATCAGTCCCCTCTTGAGACGCTTTAGGTGATTGTTCTTTACCATAACTTTATGTTCACTAGACAATTCAAAGAGGTTATAAAGTAAACCTTACTGGCAGGAGTGGAGTGACATCCTCGCCTTAACAGTCAGATTCACAGGTCAACACGGCCTGACCCTCCTACTACCCAGAAAAAGGCAATCACGTCAACCCTCACAGTTCTCGCTAAGTGGGCATTGTTTTACTGCTTTTATGTGTTTATTTGTGTCTCCACCTTAAGGCAGAAAGTACGGTGGATATGGTCTTATCTATCAGAACGTGATTCTCCTACGTTTGAAGATATAACATGAGTGGTGTTTAGTTAGACTGAAGATGATCCCAATAAGCTTTCTGAAGATTTTACGCTGTTTGTGTGATTTGAAGATAGGGGTTAGAATTGGTCATAATAATGAAAATTGACACATAATAATGAAAAGTGGTTGGTCACTGAAACTTCTTTAATGGTCACGTAGGACTTGATTCTAACTTGAAAGTTGCTGTGAAGATATACAGAAATACAGATATACCAGACTACTTTGAGTATAGGCAGACAAGGGTGGCCTTTAATACCTTCTCGGGTTCTGTTTTTGAATTGTAGAGCCAGAAGTTACACGAGAATTCAAGGAGGACGAATCCTTGCTGATCAAAAGTTCTACCTTTAATCATTCCATGCAAATACAAAATAACTTCCACTTTTATGACTGTGATATAGTTCTTAGACAGACATTTTGTGAACATCTTGTACTACACTGGGACAGTATCGGTTTGCATGAATCGTGCATCAGCTAGAGAATGGCGATGATTTTTAAGCCTTTTAGGTGAGGTGAGGTGAGGTGAGGTGAGGTGAAATTGGGTTTAACGTCGTGCTTGAGAATATTTCGCTCATATGACGACGTGCATGCGTGTGTATGTGTATGTGCGGCTGCTTGTACTAGCCCAGACTTAAGCTGGTTCTATAGTGCTAGCTCACTGAGATACCATGCCGCAGTGAAGCATGAATACCCCATTCAGACACAGTATAGTGACTCCGAGCAGACCAGTCCTTGTTGTACCCATTAATGCCGAGCGCCAGGCAGGGACCAACAAGTGACATATTTTAACTTCTTTTGGTATGACGCGGTCGGGGATCGAACCCGCGACCTTCCGCTCTCCGGGCGGACGCTCTAGCCACTACACCACAGAGGCGGTCTAAGCCTTTTAGAATTACTGTAGTGCGACAGCTAACCTGAAGGACAAATATGTCAAATATGTACCTTACAAGTAAGCGAAGCTGAATATCATTTTGTCATACAGTGCCTGCTTCCGAAAAGTAAAAAATAATTAGCTTACACTATACTATCAATATTGTTGCACTACTAATGTAGAGAAATTGAAGAACTGTTCACGGATTGTATGTAACCCACTTGACAACGCTGAGACGCTGTAGGTGATTGTTCTTTACCGATACTTTATGTTCACTAGACAATTCTATGGAATCCGAGAAGGGACATTGTCGCTATTCGCGGGGTGATTGTTCTTTACCGATACTTTATGTTCACTAGACAATTCTATGGAATCCGAGAAGGGACATTGTCGCTATTCGCGGATTGAAGTTTAAGATGTCAGCATAGATAGATGCGTTTGGGAGACATGGCCAGTTTATGTATAGAGATGATGTCTTTGTTCTCAGACAATGTGTTGTGCACGCAAACGCATTACGCTTCGCGGATAGAACATCTGCACGTGATTTACATGCATGTTTTTATTATATAAACTTGTTTCGTGATCCTACCCGAGGTTAGTTAATTAATCAGTTTCTTTCGGGCAGTGTCTTACATTCATTAGTGAGTATATAAATCGACAATTGTGTGAAAATAACAGGTGGGTTAAACATTTCTGGTGTCTCTTTGTTGCTGGAATATTGCTAAAAGCTGCAAAACAAAATTCAGTCAGTCTTTCCACTTATAATTTCGATTTACAAAACAGCTGTGCTGAATTAATTAAGACGTCAATGTAAAATGTAACTGAGTGGTTAAATACTTAAAACAATTATATTGTCACCAATTAAATCAAATACTTTTGGCACTGGGCCGAATTCCTTTATATTGAGATAGACATCAGTACACATACAAAGAGACATAAATATGCAGAGAAAAGTTAGTATACTTCTTTCTAATTATGCCTCTTCGAAGTCACTATAAAACCTGTGAAGGGCCTACATGTCATGATGCTAACACATTCTTTTCAGTCACATCACGCACTAATTAACTTAAAGTAAGCAAGTTAATCAGAAAACGTTAACCAGACTGTTTCATTATTAAAGAGCAAGACGCCGATTCAGTAGCGTAAGGGCGGATCCTCCCCACTCCAACACCGACGGGCGTTATTTGAGTCAGATAAGGATTGAATGATCACCCCAATCGAGTTCCGATTGGCAGAGGTGAGGTGTTGAGGTGAGGTGAGGTGAAATTGGGTCGTCGTGCTTGACCTCAATCGACGTTCCGATGTCCGATGAGTAGGGATTTTATATGACTTACATTCAAACACAAATAGATCCAGATTCACACACTATGTACAGAATATTACGGCTTACATATTGTCAACAGCTGACGCTCAGGGAGAATTTACTGTATTGGATTGTGCGATTTCGTGAAACAACAAATGGACTGGCTGGCTGGCTGGCTGAAGTGGGTTTTATGCCGTTTTAGAATATTCCTGCAATATCACGATAAATGGGCTTCATTGTATATGGGGAATCGAAACCGGTGGCGAGACGAACCTTTAAACTAGGCTACCCCACCGCCCTTAACAACAAAATGGGAGTTAAAGTGGAGCAGAGAATATGTCTGAATGATATGATTACATGTATATGATATATGGTGTTTTGACCAAAATAGAATGGTAAAGGACATGTAAGTTGTATTCTTTTCAGATATGAGTAACTGTACAATTTCATGGAATCAACCCCACCTTCACTCCCCCGTCCTCACCAAAACCGCCTCCGTGGTGTAGTGGTTAGAGCGTCCGCCCGGAGAGCGGAAGGTCGCGGGTTCGATCCCCGACCGCGTTATACCAAAAGAAACTATGGTACTTGTTGGTCCCTGTCTGGCGCTCGGCATTAATGGGTACAACAAGGACTGGTCGGCTCGGAGTCAGTATAATGTGTCTGAGTGGGGTATTCATGCTTCACTGCGGCATGGTATCTCAGTGGGCTAGCACTATAAAACCAGCTTCAGTCTGGGCTAGTACAAGCAGCCGCACATACACATACACGCGTGCACGTCGTCATATGAGCGAAATATTCTCAAGTACGTCGTTAAACCCAATTTCACCTCACCTCACCGTCCTCACCAGTTCATTGAGCCCTCAGCAACCATGCTGGTCGTTACTTATAGGACAGAATTTGATTGACTGTCAATCGTTACTCTTATATCGATTATTTAATTAATGTTCTGGTCCAGACTTAATTATTTACAGGCCGCTGCCATATAACTGGATTATAGCTGCATGCAAAGTTAGGAAGGAAACTTCCGTAGATGCAAGCCATCTAATCCCATTGGAACATGTAAATGAGTGAGTGAATTTAGTTTTACGCCACTTTTAGCAATATTCCAGCAATATCATGGCGGAGGACACCAGAAATGGGCTTCACACATTGTACCCATGTGGGGAATCGAACTCGAGTCTAACCACTACGCTTACCCTATCACCAACATGTATAGTCTGTTTGCAGTGAAAACGTACCGATGAATTTCACTTTAAGCAAAAAAGTAAATCAAATAAAGTGAAATTAAGATTGCGAATCCTCATAAATTTGCCTTGCCAATTGAACATTTAAATCTCAGAATTTTATTCATTGTAGGACAAAAGTTGTTTAACAAACGATCATACATTCAAATCGCTATTATTGGTTTGTATTACAAGGGGTGAGCGCAGTAGATGGAACAGTGAAACAAATGCACGTGCGGTTCGTGATGAGCGTTAACTTAGACCAACTCTATTTGTTCTCGGTGTTTCATTTAATGTGCATACACCCTTGTAATACAAACCAATAATAGCGATTTGAAACTATGATCGTTTGTTAAACAACTTTTATCATAAGTTGAATAAAATTCTGGGATTTAAATGGTCAGTTGGCAAGGTAAAATTATCAGGATTCGCAATCTTAATTTCATCTTATTCGATTTACTTTTTTGTTTAAATTGACATTCATCGGTACGTTTTCAATGCAAACAGACTATAAATGAAATCAGAAAACATCCCCATGATCATAAGAAACCTCTTCAAAAGATAGAGACCATTGTACCATTCCGACTATATCACAAGCAGGTGTTTTTGAAATACTCTCTTATAGTGATAATAGCGAATAGGACCTACCCAACGGTGGCTCCCGTCAAAACACATGCAAAGGCAAATCAATTGTTCAGGAACTAGTAGCAGACATATCCTGCAAACCCTTCATTTATTCCTTATCCTACACAAGAACACGCCAAACAACGAGTCAAATATACTGGAAGTCTTACACTTACGCGTTAATCTTCTTCTATTTAGTCACTTCACTCACTAACTCTTTACTTACTGTCCCCGAGATCAGTGTCGTATCCGTCGTCCTCGTTAACTGAGGTGTGTCCTGCTGTCGATGGCACCGATATGTACACGTCATCAGACGGTTCCTCTTCATCAACAACCTTTCCTTTTTTGGGATCACCCATCCCATCGAAACCCACATCGGAATCAGATGCCACGCCCACATTCGGTCTCTTTGTCACATTTTTCCCTTCTATATGCGGAAATTCAGTTTGAACATTTGTCATTTCATCCGGGTTCGGAGTTAAATCCGGGCTCCTTACATGTACCCGTGAACTCTTTTTACGAATTTTTGCGCTTTTCCTATGTCCGTCTGGGCTGATGAAGATACCTGCCTCTTTCCGAATATCAGGGATGGTGGAGAGTATCTTAAGTTCCCTTTCATCAGCTTCATCATCACCCCCATCATCACCCCCATCATCATCCCCATCATCAGATAAGCAGAAAGGAGGAACTCTTGGCTCTTCACATCCCGTCTCCATGGTGTATCAGAGGCTGGGTAAGTAGATGAAGCCAAAATACGTGTTATCCTATGACAATATTCACACGGAATTATTGTAGAACATCCAAAGGACATTTCATTGAACATATAACCAAACCATAAGCAGCGATAGTTCGTAGGTATAGCTTGAATTACAGCAGTAACCCAGTGTAGTGGTAGTATTATGTTTTGATATACAGCCCCGGCAATAAATGTCCATGGCAAATGGGTTTCGGAATTTTTATAGCCTTTTGACAATGGATGCCATATACAAACACTAATCAATTTTATATGCTTTGGAATGTTCACTTTATGATGTTCTGGGGTAAGGATTTCAGTGCACGTCATACCGGTACATGTACCGCAGTTTTATAACAGTAGAGACCGGCAAATGTACCCCAGTTTTATAACAGTAGAGACCGGCAAATGTATCCCAGTTTTATAACAGTAGAGACCGGCAAATAACAGTAGAGACCGGCAAATGTATCCCAGTTTTATAACAGTAGAGACCGGTAAATGTATCCCAGTTTTATAACAGTAGAGACCGGTAAATGTACCCCAGTTTTATAACAGTAGAGACCGGTAAATGTACCCCAGTTTTATAACAGTAGAGACCGGTAAATGTATCCCAGTTTTATAACAGTAGAGACCGGTAAATGTATCCCAGTTTTATAACAGTAGAGACCGGTAAATGTACCCCAGTTTTATAACAGTAGAGACCGGCAAATTTTATAACAGTAGAGACCAGTTTTATAACAGTAGAGACCGGTAAATGTACCCCAGTTTTATAACAGTAGAGACCGGTAAATGTACCCCAGTTTTATAATAACAGTAGAGACCGGTAAATGTAAATGTACCCAGTTTTATAACAGTAGAGACCGGTAAATGTACCCCAGTTTTATAACAGTAGAGACCGGCAAACGTACCCCAGTTTTATAACAGCAGAAACCGGTAAATGTACCCCAGTTTTCTAACGGTAATGTCGGACTCATTGACTATGAACATGGAACTTGCATTATATATTCTCAACAAAACAAGTTTAGGGACATTTTTTTTTTTAGGAAATTGTGAAATTGTGAATTAATTAAAAACAAACATACCCAAAACAGTCGTCATTTTCCATCACCGGATGTTTTTGTTGTTGTTTTATTCAACATATCGAGCGTTACAACAAACTGATTTCAATCAAAGGCAAGGAAACTTTAGAACAGGTGATTATGGTACCTACACAATCAATCTTAATTCATATTACACGTTTATATGCATGGAAACCAATATAATAAGGACTGTTGAAGGATTGGTATATTTTCAAGGACAAGATTACAACCAATTGATATTACAATAATACTTCACATTAAAATGTTCTACGTAGGCTTAACTGTTCCTAACATGGAGGTCAAACCTTGACGATGAAAAGTAATACTTGAAATACACATATATTTAAACACAAATAAATGTTCTACTAAAACGAGAACATTACTAAACCGGCTAAGAAAGCAATATTTTGTGTAAAAACAACATTTAGACAAAGAGAGAGCACAGTTTCTAACCTGGAGATGGTTAAGTTAGACCTTCATCCATGTCGACTTCTCGATGTGTGAAGCGTTCCTCTCCTTGTTACCTGTCAATGTTTGTGTGTGTCCAGGCAATATCCCATATTTACCTGTTGTTTTCCCCTAGCTTGTGATGATACGCCTTGCGTGGGTAGCCAAATTAGATCAAAGCTCACGTTAATATTTAATGCAATTACGGGAGGAGAGCCCGGCCCATGATAGTTACCTGTGCAGCGTAATTAGCAGTAAAGACCAAGTCTGGCTTATGTCATGTTACGGAGTTTCAGGCAAGACCGACTATGGTACTAACTACAACAACGAATGCAACAACAAATAAAGCAATAAATGAAACGAATAAAATACAACGACGAACACATCAACAAAACAACGAACACGTCAATGAAAACTTATACAACCACACGTACAACAAATTGACAGCTGTTAGTCACAACTGTTAGTGTGTATTACGCCGTGAGTTTTTAAAAGTTTTACGCCGCTTTTAGCAATATTCCAACAAAATCACGGCAGGGGACACCAGAAACGGCCTTCACCTATTGCGGGGAATAGAACCCTGGTCTTCGGTGTGACGAGCGAACGCCTTAACCACTAGGCTACCCTACTGTCCCTAGTCACAACAGTAGACAGACACATAGATTATTCTCACTGTAACGATTAAGGACTGAGTGAGTAAGAATATTTTTACGTCGCTTTTAGCAATATTCGACTAATATTACGGCGGGGATACCAGAAATTGGCTTCACGGATGGTACCCATGTGGGGAATAGAACCGGGGGTTTTAGCATGACGTTCTAATCTCTAGGTTACGGCACCACCTAAACGTTAAGGAGATTGATCTCGCGTTCTCGCGATCTCGCATTCTCGCACTTTTGGCATTTTTAGCTTGTTTCCAAAGGTCGAGTTCGCGAGAATGCGAGATCGCGAGAATGTCCCTTACAGTATTCTATAATGAAGCCCATTTCTGGTGTCCCCCGCCGTGATGTTGCTAGAATATTGCTAAAGGCTGCGGAAAACCCAACTCACTCACTCACTGTTAAGGAGATAAACGTACTCACTACTGAAAGTAACCCGTTAAGTTCCAGGAAAGAAATGCTCTCCATCAACCTATTCTTGTCGTAAGAGGCGGGATCGGGTGGTCAGGCTTGCTGACTTGGTTGACTGCCTGGTCCAGATTCGATTATTTAAAATCCGCCGCTAAATAGTTAATTGGAATATTTCTAATAGGAGTGCGGCGTTAAACGACAAAGAAACACATGAAAGAAGAAAACAGTCGTTGGCGAAACACAAAGTCAGAAATTTAAAAGTTCTTTCAAAATACTATGCACTTCATCATCGCGGCATACAGACTTAAAGGTGAGGTGAGGTGAAATTGGGTTTAACGTCGTGCTTGAGAATATTTCGCTCATATGACGACGTGCATGCGTGTGTATGTGTATGTGCGGCTGCTTGTACTAGCCCAGACTTAAGCTGGTTTTATAGTGCTAGCTCACTGAGATACCATGCCACAGTGAAGCATGAATACCCCACTCAGACACATTATACTGACTCCGAGCCGACCAGTCATTGTTGTACCCATTAATGCCGAGCGCCAGGCGGGGACCAACAAGTACCATATTTTAACGTCTTTTGGTATGACGCGGTCGGGGATCGAACCACAGACTTTAAGTAAACTGACTTTGCATGAGTAAGCACCCAACACTCTGCACACTTTCTACGCGACATGACGTCTTATCGTCAAATTGTTCTATATTCGAGGTATGCATCCTCGTTTATTTTGATTTTTCATTGAAGCTATTGATGCACTAGATAATCAAGAATAGACACAATGTTTTTCATTCTTTGAGTTAATGGTTGTTCAAATGACAATTTATTCTTGGTTTGATTTGGGTTTTTGCAGCTATATATAGTATGCAAATCGAGAACATTATACTCGCATGCGGTGACTGTTCTTTAACTGGCGTTCATTCTGTTCACCTTGGTGCAGGGCGGTGGGGTAGCCTAGTGGTTAAAGTGTTCGTGATATTACTGGAATATTGCTAAATGCGGAGTAAATCTACACTCACTTACAACATGTCAAATCAACGTATCTTGTCAGCTGAAGACGTGTCAACGTCAAGGAAGGTGAGTGTGTTTAGTTTTACGCCGCTTTAAGCAATATTCCAGCAATATCACAGCGGGGAACACCACAAATGGGTTTCACACATTGTACCCTTGTGAGGAATCGAACCCGGGTCTTCGGCGTAACGAGCTAACGCTTTTAACCACCAGGCTACCCCAACGCACCTAAAACCCCAAAGTGATGCGGCTGCGGACAAACATTAAAATGTACTCAATGCATGCCTGGATTCGAACCCACGGTCACAACGTTCTGGCATACCCAACGGACGTCACTGTGTGAGCGAATTCAGTTCAGATTAAGACATGTTACAGCTGTGATTGGATGATATTGTGTAATATATTTGTGTTTCGAAAATGTACACCATCAAGTGATTGACTAACCATATTCTTCAATATTTAGTATTGTGTTTTAACACGTTCACATATGCTGAATGGGTGCAGACATACTTTTTAAGGAGGTGACATTTGGTGCGGAACGGGGTTTGGTGTGGTCAGCTTCCTGTACTCTGGAACCTACTTGTTAAATCGTCCGCTCGTCACGCTGAAGGCCCGAGTTCGATTCCTCACATGGGTACAATGTCACCATTTCTGGTGTCCCCCGCCTTGATATTGCTGGAATATTGCTAAAAGCAGCGTAAAGCATACTCACTCACTCCTGTACGCTGAAAAGAGGGTTAAGCTAGTATTTTATTGCAGTTTTAAGGCCATACTGTATATGGATGTACGTGTAATGGCTGTTGGCGGCAGAGTTATTTCATAAGAAACAATAACGTTATGACGAGAGTCTATGAAAAACGTTTCGTTTTATGTAACCTGGACGATTAAGACACCCGTGGCCCCATCCGTGCACTAAGCAGGATTTTACGGACGCATTTTCTAGTATTTTCGGATAGGTGGCTCATTCATCATCCACCTGTCTTTGTGACCAACTCATGCAATTCCGGTAAAAGACGAATGGAGTTGCTGGTTACGGAAAGATGCGACCGGTGTCCCGAAATGGCACGAGTCGTTATGAATACTGTACAGCTTTTGGAGATTGCGTGTCTGAAATATCGGCGTGTTAGTCTATATATCACTTAAATGAATTCCCTAAACCAATATACATGCAGGCGATACCGCCGTAAAAAAAGCGTTAAACAATATCTCAACCCTCAACATTAACATTGATAATCACAATTATATTGTGTATGTTCAGTCAGTAGATTAAAAAAGTTCCGTTCGACACGCCTAAGGCCCGGTTCGATTTCCAAGTTGTTCACAATTATTTAAGCCCTTTCTGGTGTCCAGCTCCATAATATTGCTAGAGCATTCCTAAAAGTGGCGCAAAACCGACTCACTCACTCACTCATCCACGTAATCATCACAGCGTAGTACACGTACGTAACAAAGACAGCTTTCAACACTGAAACCATGATTAAACGAAAGACAGATTTTTTCAATTACGATTATTCCATATGTATTGATTGATTATTTCCCGTATTGATCGGTGAAAAATACTTTTCATGGAGTTGTATGAAATGATAATCGAAGAACAATTGCCGAATGGGGTACAGCTCAGTTTAATGTCTCTTACAGTTATAATAACCTGTAATACATAAATACTAAATATAAAATACTAAATAAATAAATAAAACATAATAAGACTGTTCATCTCAGGATAACGGCCCCGGGATGTCCCGGGCTATGAGTCCCCACGTCTCCTACTTGTCCTAAAGAGTTATCAGGTTTGGTGACGTTATTCATGATCTAAACACTGGTTTGTCTGGTTCAGACTCGATCAGCTGCGGCCGCCGTCATAAAGGTGCAGTACTGAAGATTGTGGCGTATATTGTGGATCTGGAGGTCAGTACTAAAGACCTGTGAAGATCCGGTTTAGAATTGATCTTCAGTAATCCATACGTGTCGTAAGAGGCGACTAACAGGATCGGGTGGTCAGGATCGCTGACTTTGTTGACACATGCCATCGTATCCCAATTGCGTAGATCGATGCCCATGCTGTTGATCACTGGATTGTCTGGTCCAGACTCGATCATTAACAGACATCCGCAAAATATCTGAAATATTGCTGAGTGTGGCGTAAAACTAAAATCACTCTCTCACTCATGGTACAAAAGGAGTGAGTTTAGTTTAGTTTTACGCTAGAATTCAGCAATATTCCAGTTGTATGGCGGAGGTCCTTAAAATCGAACCTAGCCAATGATCCAGTGGTCAATAGCATGAGCATCGATCTACGCAATTGGGAACCGATGACATGTGTCAACCAAGTCAGCGAGTCAGACCGTCCGATCCCGTTAGTTGCCACTTACGACAAGTATTGGTTGCTGAGGATCAATTCTAACCCGGATCTTCACGGTTTAGACACAAAACTTGAGAGGTACGGGGAAAATACAAATTACAGTCCAATAAATCAATAAAATTAAAACATAATATTTAGCTCATCCCAATAACATAGAACCAAGGCATAACAAAAGCCGCAGGTGGTTGAACCACTAGAGTTATGCAAAGGGTTCGTAATCACACCCAGCATTAAGCGTGGGCTAGTTAACGGTTAACTTGAGTTCAGAGTTAAGTTTATCTGACAACCTTTCAACAAATACTCCCCCCGGGGCGTGACCAGAACAAAGAACACTGGCCAGTGACGACCAAAACAGACCTTTAACAACCACCCCTGGGGTATCAACACTATAAAACATACACTGAATGTCAATGTTTGATTTCATATTCCGATATTTGAAATCAATGTCATATTGCATGACTACGAACATACTCCGACCGTGCGCGTACACTGACAAGACTTTTTACTGGGTCATGTATGGTCTAGTAACCACTACAGACAGACGCACTAACCCTTAGCCTTGGGGTACAGCTTGGGGATTAACACATTAACTACAGAAATCTTTAAACCAGACTATTAGCATTAACACATGACGAAATGGAAGTTGAAGTAATCCCAACAATATGTTATGATTGCTCGTATTGCAGAAACGCCGCCCGGAGCTGTTAGGGGAGTTATTGTTAATATGTTTGCGGAACAATATGGTCAAATCCGACTCGTCATAGTGGTAATGTTCTGAAGGAAATCTGATTAACGTTGTGTTCCCTACTGGATCTAAATCTCCAGTAACATGTGGAGAGGAAGCACAAGCAAGCACGGATTTGTTTTTGTGAAGTTCGTTGGACGTTTTCATGCTAGGAGGCTTATATGGTGAACTAGTGCCGGGTAAGTTAGCGTTTAGATCTACACTTGTGTCTTCAAAGAATTTCTGTGATTCAAAACGTGGCACCCATTTTGGAGTCTTGAATTGTATTTAACGGCGTGTCTGACTCTGATAAGTTGTAAAATGATTAACGTTTAGATTATATGCCCATGCTCGTCATTACTGATTCATCTAGATATTATACTTGTTAGTATAGTGTGACGTTAATTATGAGCACGAGTATATATACTCAGCATCATTATTGACGAGTCATGCGGATAACAAGAAATAGGTGTGTCAAAACAACGTCTCATTTTGAACTTCCAAGGGTGCAGTTCCGTTTTATTTAGTATGACAGAGAGTACACCATCATTTACTGTTAACTGTCATGTTTTGCACGTGCACGACCTAAACCACTGGTTGCGTTCGGGCGTGTGCTTTGGGTACCTGTTTCACCTTCAATCTTGCACTTTTCATTGTTTTTAATCGCGGTTTTCATCATGATTTTCATGAAATCATCCAACCAGTGTGACATAAGCTTAAAATATTTTCTATTTGGTGAAAGAAAGACAAATATACTACACACGAAGTTAAGACATTCGTGTAGTTCATTACAAGCAGATCTGTTTCGTGTTAATCTATCAGAGAGTAGAGCTTGCAATTGTGGTGCTCCGGTGGAAGATGCTAACTATTTCTTCTTAAAATGTCCAAAATTTGTCAGTGTCCGTTATGATCTGAAGAAAGACTTTGAACTATCAAAAGTTCAGTTAGACATTGATACCTTTCTTTACGGCAACCCTGCTCTGCCAAATACTATCAATGAAAATATCTTTAGACATGTGCATAAATACATTGTACGAAGTAAGCGCTTCAATTAATCAATAATATGTCTCAATATTATCATGTCCATCCATTACGTCCAATCATTATTGTTCATGTTTCTGATGGGAGCGGGCGGTAATAAGTTACATAACTAGTGCCCAATCCATTTCAACACTGAATAAAATATGTTCAAACAAACATAAGCTTAAACAACACTTTCGTCAACTGTTGATCACACATACTCAAACCTATTGACGCTTGATGTTGACATATGTTCATGTTCACCTATGCAGGTGACCCTTTAATAGTGACGGTGGATATAAATTTAGATGTATTCAAATTTTGAGTTAGAGGATAGTAAGGGGAATTTGAATTTTTTTACTAAAATCTGAGATCGAACTTGCTAGTTCTGCTACAGCCTAATCCCCGACCGAATATTACAGCACAAACAACTAGTATAAAGATTTCATATATACATCAGGGGCGGTGGGGTAGCCTAGTGGTTAAAGCGTTGGCTCGTCACGCCGAAGACCCGGGTTCGAATCCCCACATGGGTACAATGTGTGAAGCCCATTTCTGGTGTCCCCCGCCGTGATGTTGCTGGAATATTGCTAAAAGCGGCGTAAAACCAAACTCAGTCAGTCAGTCATATATACATCATGCCATATAGTAAAGTAGTTTCGTATGACACACATTTCATGTAATATATTTTAACTATGCTTTACTTTATGCATAACGTATATACTAAGTATTTAATTTGGAGGAAATATTATGAAGGTACAGTTTAACATGTGTAGTCCAGAGTTATCATTGAATATCCACGCAATAAACACCAAACACAGTCACTCTTTTCTCGCAGAAATCATGGAGCAAAGTTTTACATCTGTGGCAGGGAGCATTTGAAATGTTAAATGCAGGATGAAAATGTAATGGTTTTGGTTTTGAGATATACATTCCATCTCACCCCCACCCCCAAACATGCAAGCATATTGCAAAAGAATTTCCTCAAATTTTGCTACTATTGTCATTGTACTCAACTATTCTCATTATGCACTTACACCTATTTATTTACGTACTGTCTTAAATTCACCAGTTCACTATGTTCTCTCTATATTACAGGGATTGAAACTATTTGCAAACCTAAGAAATGGACAATGAATTCGAAAAGAAATCCATTCGTGAAAACTTTCTTGAAAGGCGAAGATGTGCAATGCAGGTGTCAACTCTCAACGCTGCCAGCAAAGTTGTCGCTGCGGACATGCGCAAAGGACAAAACGAAATGCGACGGCGGCTCCAGAAATACAGAGACAGACAAAGGGAGATAAGCGAGAAGAAAGACGGTCCATTGACCATCACTATGGAAGAATTTCTAGAAAGACAAATGAGACTACAGAAGTTAAAAACGTCAATAACCTGCCGACCGCTTTCATCACCCCTAATTCAACGTATGAGTAAATTAATAAACGAAGCAGAACTGGACAAAGATGCTGAAGAGTTCAACATGGACGCTTTCACGGACAGGCGGCGGGCTAAGATTGACCTTCGACCCAGCACCGCGGTCACGTGTCCGTCTAGGCTGAGCAGCCGTGAGCAGACGAAACGTGGTGCGAGCATATCAACGGGCCAGAAAGAAGTTCGTTATTACGAAGATGAGGAAATACGGGATCGAGCAACCTTTTACTCACAGCTGCTGCAGCTAAGGAAAAAACAAGAACATGACCGTTTTCATGAAATATCGAGTAAGGTGGACACGTTTTGTGGAAAACACCACCACACCGAATGTGAAGAAACGTGGCGTCCAATGGGCGAGGCTTTACTTACGAGTACGAAATACAACAAATCATGGGTAAAACCCATTTCTCGACCTCCTGGGTCTCGACCCTTATCTGGTAGTAACATTGGCACCCACCGGCCCCGTAGGGTCAGCTCTGTCCCTCCCACGAGGACTGCATGGACTGACCATTACACGATACCTAAACTGCGATCAGAGTATGAATACTAGCGTCCGACTGGTTTGCATGGAAACTGATTTAATTTACATACTTAAATATAGGTATAACGAAAGATCAATGAATATGTTTCCCAATATTTTTTTATTGTTTGCCAAATGTACATTTCGTTCATGATTGCTTGATGTGTGCATGGGTCCACATTTGTCTGTAGGACTATTGTATGAATGAACCTAATAAATGAATAGGTTTTTATGGAGTCTTCGAATTGACTAACATTGTAATGAAAACGACGAAACCTTTCCCATAATGAGAAGAAAAGAGTCAATTGTACGATTATAAGTATGTCTTATGAATCATAATTATTCAGTGATCAATCTTGGTGTTCGCTGAAACACCAGGATGTGCTTCCCGCCCAGTGGCATGCGTATGGTAACATTAGAACGTATATAGACTTGCACAAGTCTCTAAGGTAAAAATCAATATTTTAGATAATTTAAAAAAAATATATGAATAAAAAACGGGGATCTTGTACTGTCCGCTTATTTGGACTTGCCTTTTTAAAGGATAGAATTGCCATACATGCATGGGCTTAGCATACAGTACAAGTCATTTTAGGGAATTGCATCGGACACTTTTTTCACCAATGACTAAACTTTTGAAATGTTCTGCACGTATGTTCAAGACACGGATGCTGAAAATGTGATCTAACGACTCTTGACGAAGAGCTGGATAACTTCTGAAAATATTCGTACGTAGACAGACAAAAGTCATAATCGTGGCGAATGATAATAGGAGTGTTGTACCTCTAAGAACTGTAACTGAGCATAGCGAAATATGGCGCCTTAAACGAAGGAGCCCCGCGTGCTCGGATCCGGTTATATCATGGTTAAAATGGGAATCGGTCGTTCTTGCTGCGTAATTCCTCTGAATACCTGGTAATGTCAATTAACGAGTTAGTGAGTATGATTTTACTCCGCTTTAAGGAATGTTCCAGCAATATCAACGGGTGGGGACACCAGAAATGGGCTTCACACATTGTACCAATCTAGGGAATCGAACCCGGGTCTTCGTCATTACAAGCGAACGCTTTAACCTCTAGGCTATCATACCTAGTCATGTCGATTGAGAGCGACGGCTTAGATCGTTGTTCATGTCATCGAGTGAGTGAGTTTAGTTTTACGCCGCACTCAAGCAATATTCCAGCTATATGGCGGCGGTCTCATGTCATCGACCACTGGTTGTCTGGACCAGTCGGATTTCAGTCCTCATGTGTAGGCCATTACGACATTCCTTGCATGCTGAGAACGTATTAAAGCCGTGTATGCCCTCGGGTTCTGCAGAAAATGAAACAATACAACCAAAGCGTTTCAATACTAATGCCGAGCGCCAGCCAGGGCAACAACAAGTGCATACTTTTGACGTCATTTTGGTTTCCGGGTACCGAAAAACAGATCTTTGTCTTTCCGGGCAAACCCAACAGCACATGCCTATATCACTAAAATAGCACAATTACAACGTTGGTTACATAATGCAAATCGGCAATTTAGAAACGGATTTGCGTTATATTTCTGCAAGCCCATTGCGACATGACTTGCATCTTTTAAATTAAGGTCTTATTTCCAGGGATGTCATTAACGGCCACGATTTTTATGACTGAGAACACTCAGCAATAACTGTGCAGTCAGTTCCAGATCGTCAGTAATGAAGTACACCATGTTCCCTTCCTCCCATCTCCTGCAATGCAGATCCCTGAAGATCAGGATTAGAATTGGTCTTCAGTAACCCATGCTGTCGTAAAAGGCGACTTAGGGATCGGGTTGTCAGGCTCGCTGACTTGGTTGACACATGTCATCGTATCTCAATTGCGTAGATCGATGCTCATGCAGTTGATCACTGGATTGTCTGGTCCAGACTCGATTATTTACAGACCGCCGCCATATAGCTGGAATATTGCTGAGTGCGGCGTTAAACAACAAACAATTATTCAATCCTGCAGTGCAAAGGGTTTAAATGAAGCAAGTCTGGGGTTAATTGAATGAACATTGGCGGACTAAATGATGAATAATCATCACGGGAAGGTTGTTCATTAAGTAAGTCGGGATTTATTTTGATTAATCCGTTTATGACAATCGTCTTAATGAATGGATATAAACAGTGAAATCGGATGGTTAGAATCGGATGGATGCCCACTCAAAGTATATTCCAAAACAAACGCCGGAAACATTACTTAGTTATAAACAATTCGACAGTTACATACATTTCATTTGTTCAAAACCATCACACTGTATTTTTATGAATCGACCTTTCACTACCTTGCAGAAATATATAACTCCAACAAATAGACCACCAAACGTCATGGCTCCACACTGTTTCATGGTGTCATAAATTGTTTGGATTTTGCTTAACGCCACGCTATATAAAACAATTCAGCTATATAACATAACATGCGATAAATAGTATTTACATGCATGCACGCACGTCCGTCTGCGTGCGTGCGTGTGTGCGTGCACATTAGGGGTTGTTTCACCCCTAATCAAGAGTTTTTCACCCAACTAATTGAGTATACATGGAGAATGGTATTAATGCTCAAATCTGTTAATCCTAATTAGGCGATGTTTTACAACAATCAGGTAAGTGCTGAACAAGAAGTGTTGTGGTGCTGGACTGCCATTGTATGTACTTGTGCCACTCTTGACAATAGTATGGAATACTGTAAGGGACATTCTCGCGATCTCGACCTTTGGAAACAAGCTAAAATGCCAGTGGTGCGAGATCGCGAGAACGCGAGATTTGGCCAAAATCTCGCGTTCTCGCGATCTCGCATTGTCGCACTTTTGGCATTTTTAGCTTGTTTCCAAAGGTCGCGATCGCGAGAATGCGAGATCGCGAGAATGTTCCTTACAGTATTCCATACAATAGGCAGAAATTCAAGAAGATCCACGAGAAGCTTCTTCACCTCTGGACACGGTACACAGACACAGACATTATTATTAGTATTATTATAGTCACCGAAGGACTTCACCCAATCCAACACAGCCAATATGAACTGATATAATTATTCAAAAATTCTGAATATGCTGTTTCGACACTTAACATAGATAAATAAAATATTGAAACAATTTTATAGTTGATAATTATAATTATTTGGTGGGGTGAAACAACCTCTAAATGGGGTGAAACTGTATGGGGTGAAACAACCAGGGTGAAACAGTCTTGGGTGAAACTGTAGGGTTGAACGTTTTGGGGGTGAAATAACCCGTTACCCTGGCACACTTGGGCCGTTCTCAATACTTCATGTTTATACGACCGCCTCCGTGGTGTAGTGGTTAGAGCGTCCGCCCGGAGAGCGGAAGGTCGTGGGTTGGATCCCCGACCGCGTCATACCAAAAGACGTTAAAATATGGTACTTGTTGGTCCCTGCCTGGCGCTCGGCATTAATGGGTACAACAAGGACTGGTCGGCTCGGAGTCAGTATAATGTGTCTGAGTGGGGTATTCATGCTTCACTGTGGCATGGTATCTCAGTGAGCTAGCACTATAAAACCAGCTTAAGTCTGGGCTAGTACAAGCAGCCGCACATACACATACACACGCATGCACGTTGTCATATGAGCGAAATATTCTCATGCACAACGTTAAACCCAATTTCACCTCACCTCACCTCATGTTTATACACTACCCACAATACCCACGGAGACCGGTCACCAGTTTACAATAACAATCAAACTGCATTTCCGTTACTCTCATGGCTCCCATTGAACCTAACGATCGATACATCCACGTGTGACAGGATACGTTAGACTGGAGACAAGAAAGTCGATGCGCAACAGATGGCTGCTATTAATAAGTTGTTAAGAACTTTGCAAGCCAAATCGACGTGTTCAGTAATAATATTGAGGACCCCCAAAGCGTTTACATGGTTACAATCGTATACGTGTACTACAGCGACGAGCAAACGGGATTAAGACGGTAAGAATACAAAATAGGCTAAGTTTGTTTCGTTTCCTTCAACGTCAAAACGTTCCCATTTTTAAGTTTCTTTTTTAATTTTCAGAATTTGTATATTTATTTCTGTTGTCCGAATTCAGAATTATTCTGGCTGAGGTATTCAGTGCCACTGCCATAATTATGTTTGGAGATAATAAAGTTTCATTTTGTCTACGCTATAACAGGAGCAGTAGTGATGTAAGGAACAGCCACCACGGCGAAATGGACAGGCCGCTTTTGGTCATGGGTAGACGGTGGTCGCGTCATACCAAGACGCTTTAAAATATGGTATTTGTGTTATCGTGCCTGGCGCTAGGCATACGTTAACGAAGTATTGGTACAATACAAAGTCAGTATAACGTGCAGGGTCGCCATGTTTATACAGCATGGTGTTGCAGCCAAACAATACAATACCGATACACCTGCTGACAAGGACTTGCAGAGTCACGCAGGACTTGTCACTGTATCAGTTGTGGAATCCTGGAAATGACATTGACGCTGTGTTGCCCTCATAAAACCAACAAAACGTCAATATTAACTAAAGCAACACCACGAGACGCCAACTCGACATTCTGCCCATTTGTGGAAACGTCTTCTTGTCAAGATTTGGGCAATATTTCATTGAGGCAACAGCGCGACAACGCGACGTTTTTGAAGGTCAAACTATGTCGCATTTTCCCATTGTCACCCAATTTGAAAATAATGCGTTAAAATGCCCGACAATGCGACAGTTGGACAAAGCAAGGATTCAAGGATTCTGCAATCAGTACCTGGTAGGAAATATTCCCCAGCCTGGTTCAGGAGGTCAGGCTGGTGCCTTAGCTGGTTGCTTGTTACCGTATCCTGCTGCAGGGGCTATTGTTCATACTATCATCCATTGGTTTGTCATGCAGAGACCATAGCATGAATATTGCTGGCTGCCGTTTAAAATATTTCTTGAGTCATGTATGTATGTATGTATGTATGTATGTATGTATGTATGTATGTATGTATGTATGTATGTATGTATGTATGTATGTATGTATGTATGTATGTATGTATGTATGTATGTATGTATGTATGTATGTATGTATGTATGTATGTATGTATGTATGTATGTATGTATGTATGTATGGATGGATGGATGGATGTATGTATGCATGCATGCATGTATGTATGTATGCATGGGTGCATGGATGCATGTATGCATGTATGCATGGATGGATGGATGGATGGATGTCCTGGTGTCACGGAGGCATTGCATGTGACATGTTGCTTGTGTGTTGATTATGATCAATATAAATAAACACGTGTGCACACATGTCCCATATCATATTGCTGCTTGTGATCGATAGGCTGTAAGCAGAGAATGTGATTGAACCTTATAGAAGAAGCATATGGCTTTGTACAGGCGGTTTGGTATACAACCAAATACAAATAATGTCTTCTGTGAAGAGAACGCCTACTGCGAACGTCTTTCCCAAATTCCGTCAAATATGCTAACGGAAAAAAGTAACTGTGCATAACATACTGAATTTGTGAACTGGCTTTTGACACCACATCTCTTTAAGGGCGTGTCACTAATGTTAAGTCATTGAAATTTCGATAGTATCCTATCAACAGTTAAACAGTGATTAAGGAAATCACTACAAATCATGTTATTATCTTTTTGCACAAAAAATGGTATAACATCAAATGATGCACAGTTACTTTATTCCAGGAATATACTTAGCATGTGTTTGTTCAAGTGCATTATTCCGAGTTTGAGATATAATGTATCAGAAATTGTCATTATAACAACATGGGTACAATGTGTGAAGCCCATTTCTGGTGTCCCCCGCCGTGATGTTGCTGGAATATTGCTAAAAGCGGCGTAAAAACAAACTCAGTCAGTCAGTCAGTCATTATAACAAGGGGTTTGCTGTAAAAAGATGCCTATATAAAACCATGTTTTCTCTCAAAATGTTATAAAAATTACACATTGCATCATAAAAAATAGCGACAAAAGCCTTATAATCATAAAAAAATATTATAACATACAAGTATGTGTTTATGAATCACTATCACAGCCTCCTATACATCTGCCCCTTATCAATGATGTTTACGATACGGAAGCCCACACGCATATTCAACTGATACCTGTGAAGATCCGGGTTAGAATTGGTCTTCAGCAACCCATGCTTGTCGTAAAAGGCAACTAACAGGATCGGGTGGTCTAACTTTCTGACTTGGTTGGCACATATCATCGTATCCCAATTGCGTTGATCGATGTTCATGCTGTTGATCACTGGATTGCCTGGTCCAGACTCGATTATTCACAGGTTGCCGCTACATAACTGGAATATTGCTGAGTGCGGCGTTAAACAACAAACAATCCATCAATTATATTCATCTCAATTTATGACACTTGACAGAGGTAGGGAAGATAAGTGTTGAACACTGCAGAGGTCTTGAAATGACCACCTGAAAGTTATAAAGACCGTTAGATTATATGCATATGCAGAATTCGTTTGTTTTTATGCCTACAGAAAATACTACAGTTGACTTAATGCTCTTGAATTCAACCATGCCTTTGGCAAAACACTCCATAAATCGACTTTTCATATATACGTGACTTCTATGAAGATATATATATATATATATATATATATTGCATGGCCTGTATTTGGTTCAGTTTCTTAATTAAAAAATAATCCTCTTTACTGGACATAATAGGGTCAGGCATCCATCTGTTTAGTTTGTGGTTTTCCGAAGAAAATAATATGATCCATACAAGAACCGTACGAAGAGGGGTGTTAGTTCTGTAAATGTAGCATCGAATCCTGTCACAAAGAGTAACCATAACTCTAAATGCAACCATAAAATACCTTTGTATTGTTGCGAGCTGATTCCTAAGTTAAACCTAAAACGTTAATCAGAAATAAGTTCGAAAGAAACCCTTCGTGAAACCAACAAAACCTTAAAGCTGTGTGATGTAATTAACAACTGTAATCTAAAATTATGTTCATAAACTAAGTTGATAAATCAATGCAAACTACTATGCAGGTGTAAGTACGGGAGTACAATCTCTAATGTGATGATAAAAGTAAGGACAATTATGGTGATATCCTTCTCTCAGTAACAGTAATCCTACCTGCACTGACTGACTGACTGAGTTTGGTTTTACGACGCTCTTAGCAATATTCCAGCAACATCACGGCGGGGAACACCAGATATGGGCTTCACACATTGTACCCATGTGGGGATTCGAACCCAGGTCTTCGGCGTGACGAGCCAACGCTTTAACCACTGGGCTACCCCACTGCCCCTTCTACTTGCAATTAGGCCGGGCAGGGAATAATGATCGTCGCACACAGTGCTGCTCTTCTAGTAACTTGCAATGTCATGTCAGATGAGAGGCAGGAGTTAGCTCTTCTTATATACCTAAGAAAAAGATGCTGGAAAAGTTTCCAAACCCCCGGGCCAGAGTAACCTATGGGTGAGTGAGTGAGTTTAGTTTTACGCCGCACTCAGCAATATTCCAGCTATATGGCTGCGGTCTGTAAATAATCGAGTCTGGACCAGACAATCCAGTGATCAACAGCATGAACATCGATCTGCGCAATTGGGAACCGATGACATGTGTCAACCCAGTCAGCGAGTCTGACCACCCGATCCCGTTAGTCGCCTCTTATGACAAGCATGGGTTACTGAATATCAATTCTAACCCGGACCTTCACGGGTGATTAACCTATGGGATGGTAGTACTCTGTAGTACGTTCCAGAACTTAATATATCACAGTATTTTTGACAAGTTGAATTAACACTGTGTGAATTCTGGAAAAAAAAACTCACATGCTTTGTCCGATATTATTTTTTATCAATTTCAGATCGTTTTGTCAAACATTTGATATTTCATCCACCAAAACTTAATTGTTTGTCATCATTGATATTCAGGGTTCCATTCATATAATCTGTTTTGGCACATTATCGAGACTGATGATTCTCTGGCCTTGACGATTTAGATTTGCCAAATGTGGGGATCATAGTCTGTGTCTTCAAAGACTCTAGAGAATGGGCTTCCTGGCAGGTAACATCTATGTTAAGTTTCTGTGTAAGTGCATCTCTCCTTGGCTTATGTATGATGTGTATAGGAATCCGAATACCTCCTTGGAAACAAAACAAAAACTACCCCCATGTGTATATATGTTTTTTGTGTTGGTTTGGTTTATTTGGATATTACTGAATCCAAGAGCATCATCTGGTGGGCCATTTCATTTACTTTCTATGTAGATATAGAGCGTTTACTACATACGGTATCAACAACCAAACCGCATATATTAAAATGAAAACCAAACTGTGGGCCCACATATTTTAAAAAATGAGTAAAACTACATGTCTTAGCATTTAAAAAAATGACCCCGCCAACAAAATTGCAGGCATTGAAGTAGACTGAAATATGGGCCCACATTTAAAAATTCCTCTTCAGCGAGTTTTCAGGTGGGCCCTTACTTTTAAAAAATAAAAACATTCGACTGAGTAAATATACTCCCATGATTACCTTTTTAAAATCACTATCATTACAATTGAAAACATTCGTAAAGATTTTATTAAAACAACAATGAGGGATACACCTTCATTATATGATTATCACTATCATTATATCAATATTAATGGGATTATCACTATTAATCATTATATTATATTAATGGGGATTATCACTATCATTATATTAATGGGATTATCACTTTCATTATATTAATGGGATTATCACTATCATTATATTAATGGGATTATCACTATCATTATATTAATTGGAAGTTTATCAAACTGAAGCTGAAAAGCCTCTAAACGCACTTTAAATTAACGCAATATTCTTGAAAGCATTCCATGTCCCATAATTATGACACAACAATATGTTGCCGTAAAACTCTTGAAGTAGAACGGGCTGTTGGGCAGCCTAATGGTTAAAGCGTCCGCTCGTCACGCTGAAGACCCAGGTTCGATTCCCCACATGGGTAGGCTACAATATGTGAAGGCCATTTCTGGAGTTACTTGCCGTGATATTGCTGGACTCCTGCTAACAGCGGCGTAAAACCATACACACTCACTCACTCACTTTATGTAGAAATTCGGTGTTCAGCATATGACCCCATCTTTGACGTCAAAGGTCAAAATCTCAACCAATTGCGTCAAAGATATCGTGTGAACGGTTCCACGAAAGGAATGAACTCATGAATATTAATGACTCCACGACAAAGTTTCAACGATCGATGCGAACCACTCCTCGAGAAGCAACACATGCCTTACCATTTGATTTACATTTAATCGAAAATCCAATACATGTACAATAGGTGTTTATATCGGTATACATTCGCCATGAATAATTAGTCTTAGAGAAGAAGTAGACTCGATCAATTTGCAGTTTGATGTAAGTTATGTTTTATGATGTATATATTTGAATTAATGAATACCTAAATTCCAGAGCAAGTGGTCTAGTTTTAATCATGTTTAAAATTGAAAATCTAGAATAAGGAGAGGTGGAACCAAACCACAGAGCATAGCATTCAGTTGTTAGCAGAAGTATTTCACCCCATGTTCTTAGCAGCATGTCAACACCATTCATAAACATGAGCGTCGTTAAATGTTTGTGTTAACAGCTGTTGTTCCAGGGTATTGCATAAATTGTACACAGCTTGTGATATCTTTTGCTTGTGCGCCAAAAAAAGTGAAAAACAGTCATCATTAATCGAAGCAAAAACTATGCAGTCTCAATACGTGGTCATTTTCTGACCGGGCGGTGGGGTAGTGGTTAAAGCGTTCGCTCGTGACGCCGAAGATCCGGGTTTGATTCTTCATTCTACAATGTGTGAAGCCCATTTCTGGACACCCCGCCGTGATATTGCTGGAATAATGCTAATATATGCGGCGTAAGACTAAACTCACTCACTCACTCTTTCAGACCAGATGACACGTTGCACATGCAGGAGACGTTCCCTCAAAGCATGGATCTTCAGTTTTCTTTGCATTGGTGTAATTGGACTTCTAGTCAACTATGTGATCGTCGAACGGCTCCACGCAAAGATAGGGGTTCGCGAGGTAAGTCACAGTACCTACATACGTACTCAGGCTTCTAGTGCTCCGTAATGTCTATGTCCTGCTATAACTATGGCAGTCTTAAAGCTATGTTGTATTATAGGAGTGCTGCAAATCGTAAGTTTACAGGAGTTACGACAATCGTAAATCCATGTAATGCTATCGGGGTTAGGACAGTGTTAAGTAAGTACATATTATGTTATTTGCGCTACTTACGTCTACTCGTACGTATATCATAATGGTTACGACAGCCGTTCGACTGTGTATATTATAAGAGTTACGACATGGGTAGTTCAATAGTCGATTAGTGAAATGGTCTGCGGAAAGTGATTAGTTTAAAGAGGTGAGGTGAGGTGAGGTGAGGTGAGGTGAGGTGAAATTGGGTTTTACGTCGTACTTGAGAATATGTCGCTCATATGACGACGTGCATGCGTGTGTATGTGCGGCTGCTTGTACTAGCCCAGACTTAAGCTGGTTTTATAGTGCTAGCCCACTGAGATACCATGCCCCAGTGAAGCATGAATACCACACTCAGACACATTATACTGACTCCGAGCCGACCAGTCCTTGTTGTACCCATTAATGCCGAGCGCCAGGCAGGGACCAACAAGTATCAATTTTAACGTCTTTTGGTATGACGCGGTCGGGGATCGAACCCATGACCTTCCGCTCTCCGATTAATTTAAAGAAGCTTCTTTGAGTGTAGATCAAATAAAAAATATTGCATCTAATTATATTTTTAAAAAAATATAGTTTGATACATTAGTCATCAGTTCCCTTTTAGTCATTAGGGTCAAAATCACACTAGATATTTTAGAAACAAAAATATTTGGTGTTATTAATAGTAAAACGAACAAGATTTGGTCGATGCCCGAAATTTCTGCAAAGATGTTGGCATCATAACACAGAGGATGGATGTTGGTAGCATCGGTTAAATCGTGCGTTGTAGAGTATTTGACATTTATGGAGTGCGACTGCGTGCTCAGTGTTGCCTACTTGTTGATAATTCGATGGTACAATCAATTTGAAGGCAAGGTAAGCGGTAACAGGCGCTGACGCTAATATGTACAATCGATGAAGCAATTTCATAGGTAGCCTGTCAGCTTTGTTATGTCTTTGGTATCACGCCATCTGCATCATGCTGGATGTCTTATGTCATCGGTACAATGTCACTTGGATCGTGCTACCTGTATTATTTCACCTGTTTGAAATCACCGTTGTTACCTGCATTATAACATCGGTAAGATGTAATGGTGTAACATGTTACATGTGTCTTATCACCTGTATCAGGTAACTCGAATACCTGCAGCTGTCTCATCTTGCCTGTATCGTACTATCGTGCTACAAGACAGCCTCCGTGGTGTAGTGGTTAGAGCGTCCTCCCAGAGAGCGGAAGGTCGCGGGTTCGATCCTCGGCCGCGTCATACCAAAAGACGTTAAAATATGGTACTTGTTGGTCCCTGCCTGGCGCTCCGCATTAATGGGTACAACAAGGTCTGGTCGACTCGGAGTCAGTATAATGTGTCTGAGTGGGGTATTCATGCTTCACTGCGGCGTGGTATCTCAGTGGGCTAGCACTATAAAACCAGGTTAAATCTGGGCTAGTACAAGCAGCCGCACATACACATACACACCCACGCATGCACGTCGTCATATGAGCGAAATATTCTCAAGCACGACGTTAAACCCAATTTCACCTCACCTCACCTCGTGCTACAACCCATTTTTCTGTACATAGTGGTATGCTTTTGCCTTGCAGAGTTATGCGCCTTAGGCGTGCCATGATCCTATGATCGTGTTTTGGCCCTGGGTTTGTCAGAGCTTTATCCATACTCGCTTTTACCCAGATTCACATATTCCCGACATCAAACTGACAGACTGTAGACTCACACACTGTCCTATTATGAATTTAGAACAAGTTTTAGTCACGATATGGCTGAAATATTGCCGATGTGACTTTAAATCTTAACTCACTCACTCAATCACACACTGTCCCATCCTTCCAGTAATCAAATCAGTACCATTTTACCCGTTGTACCCGTATCAGCATGTTAACTGTATCGTCTCGCATTCTAACATGACTCTGCATCATATTACCTGTATCGTACGATTCTAGCATGAAAATGTATTACTTGCAATGTCTCCAACTTCATCATGTTACCTGTTTCATTTCGACTCAGGCATAACACCTATCTAATCTATCCTCGATTCTCGCATAACAACGTTATGACAGAGGTTACTTGGCTAAAACATACCCGCAACACAGCAAACTCTTACTACACAACTGTAACAGTCAGTGGAGTGAGTGAGTATGGTTTTACGCCGCTTTTTCCAGCAATATCAGGGCGGGGTACACCAGAAATGGGCTTCACACATTGTACCCATGTGGGGAATCGAACCCGGGCCTTCGGCGTGACGAGCGAACGCTTTAACCACTAGGCTACCCCACCGCCCCAACAGTCGTATGGAATAAATCACTATGTAAAAACCGTTTGTTGTTTCTCCCTTTATTAGCAACAATAAAACACATGGTATGCGTACCTTATGAGCAGCAGTTTGTATGCACACCCATACCAGAAAATTATACCTATTATAATTGTTGTTCAAATAATAACATTTCATCAAATACTAACGGATTAACTTTAAACCAACAGCTGCCTTCCGTCCCATTTTACCTGAGCAACAAACACGGCCAACAGCATGCTGCGTCCATGGAAGCGGTGTATAAACAAGGAGAGCTGGGAAACTTTGAGCCGCCCTCTGAGCCGGTTGGTACAGGACCGGGTAAGTCTGTCTACATACAACACGAGGGAGAATCCAGATAGCAAAGAGACGAAAATAGAGTGAAGCAGAAATACTTCGACTTGATGTGACATTGGAACGAGTAACGGGCCAAGAGAAAACACATGTGTATTGAACTACAGTAGGACAACGCTGAACAATATTAAAGCTCATTAGAATACTAAGCTGCACCCCCTCGTATATATACACACGTCCAGGATGTTATCTAGCTTTGCTACCCGTGAAGATCCGTGTTAGAATTGGTCTTCAGTAACCTATGCTTGTAGCAAGAGGCAACTAACGGGATCTGGTGGTCAGGCTCGCTGACTTGGTTGACACAAGCCATCGTATCCCAGTTGCGTAGAACGATGCTCATGATGTTGATCACTACATTGTCTGGTCCAGACAAACCGCCGCCACATAGAGGGAATATTGTTGAGTGCGCGCAAAACTAAACTCACTCACTCACGTTATCTAGCCTTCATCCATAGCTGTATTGAATGCTAATCCCATGGATGCATAGTAATTCGATCCATTAAACTGGCAAATCTAGATAAACAGACAGTAAGGATGTCAGGCTGTTATCTTTATTTACATTTGTAAGAAATTATCATTTACACTATTAATTATTACTTCTTATTAGTCTTGTGCAAGTCTAGGGGCGGTGGGGTAGCCTAGTGGTTAAAGCGTTCGCTCGTCACGCCGAAGACCCGGGTTGGATTCCCCTCATAGGTACAATGTGTGAAGCCCATTTCTGGTGTCCCCCGCCGTGATATTGCTGGAATATTGCTAAAAAGCGGCGTAAAACCATACTCACTCACTCACTTGTGCAAGTCTAGATGTTATCTTTCAGGTTTAAAGCAATGTTACAGGGTATCTATGTTACATTCATATTTGAGCGTGGTGTACAAGTATCATAGATGACGCATGTAGCCACCTCAATCGTGATTACACAATGCCATTTAGAAAGTGGTCAAATGTAACTTTTACATATGTTATATTTGGGATTACACTTTCTCAGTAAAGTACAGATTCTATTATGGAAGTCGCGGTGGCTGAGCGGGTTAGGCGGCTGACTTTGTGTGCTGGGCATTAGGTGCCTGACTCTGAGGGTGTGGGTTCGAATCCCGCATGGGACTCAACCCAACAAAAGTACTAGAATCTGTACTTTACTGAGAAAGTGTAATCCTAGATATAGCATATGTTACTCTTCAATCGTCTTGAGCATTAACATACATACTTAAAGATAAATATAGATAAATATATAACTCTAGCAATTAACGAGCCATTTCACGTTTTTACTGTTCAGACATATGCAATTCATATGGGGCGCGGTGGGCGAGCTGGCTAAGGCGCCAGGCTAGTGATCCAGCGAGGTTGAGGTGTCGGGATCGAGCCCACCTGTGACCGGGTGTAAAAACCTTGGAGTCAACTTTGTGTGCAGACTCTTCAGTGTCACAACCCCTAGTGTACAGTACACAACCCTGTACAGCAACGTGCAGTGAATATGGACAAAGTACTGTGACTATGTGTCCCAGTCCAACCAGCTGTGAATGGGTACTTCGTTAGGATGAGAAAGCCACAATAACTGGGTGCGCCTAGTGGCTGCAAGAGTTGTATACTCCCCAGGGAGTTGAGATTGATAATGCGATGTGCCGTTGAGATTGACATCCAATGATCGAGGGAAAAAATACCAGCGCCTTGAGCATGCACAACTGCGTTGATATGTGCGCTATATAAATATCCTATAATAATAATAATAATAATTCTGACCTGGAAATCCTCACGTTGATCTGTTTTATTTACACAAGGTCAGGGGGGACAACCCGTGAAGATCATGAAAACGGACCTCTCGTCGGTGCGAGATTATGGCTGTGATATGACAGTGAGTGACATGATATCCCTGGATCGATCGATTCCCGACACCAGACCCAGAGAGTAAGTCCACGTCAGTATCTAGATCAGATCAGTAAAGATGTTTCATAACATTGACGTCTTATTGCATGCCATTGAGATTCAATACGGCAGAGCTACAGATAACGTTTTGGGTCATTGAGTTATGTACTCGCTTGTGTTCATCTCAATTGGGTATCCTAATTTTCCTTTGAGTAACCAAATAAATTGTACTCACCTCACTCAAACTCAATTGGGTATTTTGACATTGTCCATTAATTTTAAAAATATAATATAGTTTAAATGTTAGTGTTTGTTATTTATATTTGATCTGTAATATGAGAAACGATAAGAAAGACTGCAAGTTGTCAAGTTCATGTCCTGAAATAGAACCTCTAAGTATACCTGTTATTATATCTATCCACCGGTACGCAAGCTAAGATTTGACATTTTTTTGTGTACGCATGTAAGATCACATTTATTGAGTATTTACAAAAATTCACGCGTACTTGTACGCAATAGACTTAACCTTAATAGGAATTGAGTTTTCACATAAATATTTTTGCGTAATTTACGCAGATAAGCAGCTTATCTGTAAGCTGTAAATTTGATGAATATTCAAAGATTGTACGTTTGAAAAGTTATCACAGATTTAATTTTCGGAGGTTTTAAGATGTAACATGCTGACCTTGTAGTGTAGCAGTAATGACTTCCGTTGCTGTTTCAGGTGCAAGTTTTGGCATTACCCCACCAATCTTCCGAGTGCCTCGGTGGTGGTCGTGTTCTACAATGAAGGCAACAGCACCCTCCTGAGGACTGTCCACAGCATCATCAACCGCTCCCCGCCATCCCTCCTGAAGGAAGTGGTCCTCGTGGACGACGGCAGCACAAAGGGTAGAGATATTCCTTGAGATGCCATCGGTGATTCCTATATGTATATGTTATGCTTAGAACATACATTACCATCCAATGGTATGGTTTGTATTGTTTGGTGTTTAAAGTCGCACTCAGCAATAGTCCAGCTATATGGCGGCAGTCTGTAAATAATCAAGTCTGGACCAGACAATCCAGTGATCAACATTATGAGCGTCGATCTAGACAATTAGGATACGATGTCATGTGTCAACCAAGTCACCTGATCCCGGTAGTCACCTCTTACGACAAGCATGGGGTGCCGAAGATCAATTCTAATTCTACGCGGGTAGTTTGAATCTGAGACAAAGTCCGCTGTGTCTTGAACAGGAATGAGTCCCCTAGATTCGGAAACTCAATGAATTGGCACTAATGGCCCAGTTGACTAAGACGCAATAATTCTCTGCGCAGAATGGCGTCCCTTGGGTTCGAATCACGTTTGACCCGTTTCCTGGTTTGTCAGCACCATGCCCATTTAACCAAACTGGTAAACATCTCATACCTGTATCATTCCAGGATTTCATCCAACTGTAAGCGCCGTCATATAACTGGAATAGCGTTAAAATCTGCGTTAAAGGCACAATGTCACACATTTTCGACACTATTTTGGCCTATATTATTTCTTTCGGGGCATATGCACTCACGTTAGCTTCCTATTGATGCAATAAAAGACTTATTATCCCTTACAACTTGCCTGTAATCGATAATTGAAACTTCCAGGCGAACAGCTTCCAAACAGGGAACACTTGCCATATATGGCATGTAAACAATTGCTCTGTACATCGAAAATTGTCGCACGCGGTGTTGTTGGTGTTTGCCAAACTGGTTTCAGTCACAAGCTGTGCGTAGGATATTCGTAAAGAGCGCTCCAAAGGACATAGTTCTGAGGGGTTCTCTTGAACTGATGTTCGCCGGTACAGGGCGAGAGTCAATTTAATGTCATGTTGCATTAACTCATGCGAACTTTTCAATTTAATATGCGTATTTTTTTGTGTGGAATATATTATATGGTAGCTTTCCAGAGGGCTGATAGTTAGTATTATTGAGAGAAATGCATTATTTATTTTTAGAGAAGTGTGGTGTGACATAGTGCTTTAAAAACCCAGATCGTACTTGCTCACTCTGACAAGTATTGATACGCCTGTATTCTGAACTGAACTGTTGAATCTGCACATATCATTTCTAGTGCCAATGTTTCAGATCATCTTAAAAAACCACTAGAATCCTACATCCGTCGTTTCAAGGGGTTGGTCAAGTTGTACCGAAACGAAGAGAGGCTTGGGCTTATAGGTGCCCGGATGAGGGGCGCAAGGGAGGCAACTGGAGATGTTTTCATAGTGCTTGATTCCCACTGTGAATGTAACACGAACTGGTTACCGCCCTTGCTGCACAGAATTGCTCTCAACAGGTGTTTTATATTTTCCCTTCCTTTCCAAAAGTTCATTATCTTCTTGTGGTTGTTTGACAAACAAAACTGAAGTCAGCTTGAGGAAGTTTTTAAAATATGTTGTCTCGGAAAAAGTAAGGGAACTCTTCAGATGAGACCCAGAGGTTAAACAGGTTAACATAAATTGGTATTTCAAATATTTACCAAAAAATGAATTATGGCCAATTTTGTAAACTTATGTCATGAAGTTACATTAATCACCTCATGATCCTGCCAGAAAACAAATTAAAAAAAAAAGAACACATAAAAATTCAGATTTGAATTCCACTGCTATCGGACGCCAGATGAATTTGTGTGATTATGACCCCAGGCGGACGTTGGTACAACCGACTGTTGACGTCATCAGTTACAACGACTTTGCCTACAAGAATATATTCTACAAGATGGTAAAGGGCGTGTTCGACTGGGGCCTTCTGTATAAAGAAATGTATGGGTCTGATGAGGAGCAAGCTGCCAAATGGAAACACAACTCCGAGCCTTACGGGTGAGTGTGTAAGTGAGTTTAGTTTTACTCCGCACTCAGCAATATTCCAGCTATATGGCGACGATCTGTAATTAATCCAACCTGGACCAGGCAATCCAGTGATCAACAGCATTAGCATCGCTCTACGCAATTGGGAACTGATGACATGTGTCAACCATGTCTGACCACCCGATCCCGTTAGTCGCCTCTTACGACAAGCAAGGGTTACTGAAGATCAATTCTAACCCGGATCTTCACTGGTAGCGAGAGGATAAATATTTTCACCTCGTTTACCCGGACTCGTTAAACAACTTCAGAAATACGCAAGATCGAATGTAGATCCATGGCTGGTATTCGATTGGCTGGTGTATGAAAGTGCTTTGTTGCTTTTGATTTAATGAGTTAAATCATTGTTTTTTGTATAGTCATTGTAAAGAGAAGAGAGAGTGTCGCAAATCGTTCTGTAGCGTTACATCCCTTTACTGAGCCAGGATTCGCTGTTCGAAACCAGATTCTCTTCCATGATTATGATGCTTGGTTTGCAGCATCTTATATGTCATCATGGATGAACATCCAGTGGTAAACGTATAAGACCTGCAGCACCTTAGTTATGATGACATAATACTGTACATTATACTGTACAACTGTACATAATACTGTACATTATACTGTACAACTGTACATAATACTGTACAACTGTACATAATACTGTACATATACTGTACATAATACTGTACAACTGTACATAATACTGTACAACTGTACATAATACTGTACATTATACTGTATATTATACTGTACATAATACTGTACATTATATACTGTACATAATACTACAACTGTACATAATACTGTACACATAATACTGTACAACTGTACATAATACTACATATATATACTGTATACTGTACATTATACTGTACATAATACTGTACATAACTGTACACTGTACATTATACTGTACATTATACTGTACAACTGTACATAATACTGTGTACACATTATACTGTACATTATACTGTACATAATACTGTACATTATACTGTACAACTGTACATAATACTGTACAACTGTACATAATACTGTACATTGTACTACTGTACATTATACTGTACAACTGTACATAATACTGTACATAATACTGTACATTATACTGTACATAATACTGTACATAATACTGTACATAATACTGTACAACTGTACATAATACTGTACATTATACTGTACATAATACTGTACATAATACTGTACATTATACTGTACATTATACTGTACACTGTACATAATACTGTACATTATACTGTACATAATACTGTACATAATACTGTAATTGCAGTACACCAACACACGCTGGCGGGCTGTTTGCTGTGGATCGCAAATATTTCTTTGATATCGGAGGCTACGATGAGAACCTTTTGGTGTGGGGAGGAGAAAACTTCCAGCTGTCTTTCAAGGTACCGTATGTTCTCTATTAAAAGCGACGTTGTTATTATGTACCGTCTCTATGCCGCCCCTTGGAGAATTGCTTTACAGCAACGAACAGATCTTCCATCATTACTGTGGTTTATGGTTTTGGTATTATTGAATAGATAATTTGGATTAATAACATCAAGCCGGCACTATGCCACGGGGATCATAGTGTGTGAGTATGGTTTTACGCCGCCTTTAGCAATATTCAAGGTTGTACCCATGCGGAGAATCGAACCCGGGCGTTCGGCGTGACGAGCGAACGCTTAAACACTGGGCTACCCCACGGGGATCATATATTCACAGGGGTGGGAAATAATTTGTGTGTAAAAATATTTCATGTGTTAGCCTATCGACGTCTTTTTTGTTTCATCCAAGATTTTACAAAAAATGCATCATCGGTATCCATTAGAGACCCGTATCTTTTGTAGTTGTGTCACCGCACTCAACAATGTTACAGCTGTCTATTATTATAATCGAGTGTGGACCAAACAATCAATAATCGTTTGTACGTACATTGACGTTTACAGAAACAGGCACGCCGAAGGCCCGGGTTCGATTCCCCACATGGGTACAATGTGTGAAGCCCATTTCTGGTGTCCCCCGCCGTGATATTGCTGGAATATTGCTAAAAGCGCCGTAAAATCAAACTCACTCACTCACTACAGAAACAGGGTTTCCTTTGCAAATGGAGGAGAGATGAACTCGGCTTTACTGTATGTCAGTTGTTCTTTTTCCAGATGTGGATGTGTGGTGGTAGAATGGAGATGGTGCCGTGCTCGAGGGTAGGGCACGTGTACCATTCTGGGATGCCCTATTCTCTCAATATTAATAAGAAGAGGCCGACCAAAATGTCCGTCATAAAACACGTAAGTACGTTGAAAGATTTGAGTTTTCACAAGAAGCTTCGTGAATGTTCCTCCTCCTCCTCCTCCTCCTCATCATCATCATCATCACAAACATCATCATCCTACTCATCCTCATCATACCGTGAAATATATTTTGTTGTTAAACGCCGTACAAACTAGTGATTGATATCATGAGTAAAGACAAATGCCGTCGGGTTACGATGACATACAAGTCCGAGACATTTAGACAAGTACAGAGTGTTGATGACAAGTTATTACCCGAAATCTTACGATGTCATAGATAAATATGACAGTGGTAGATGAACTTTATGTGCGACAAAGGTGCTTGAGAATAAACACTTCGGAATCTAAACAAGGACGAGATCTTTTAATCCATAAATAATAACATTTACTGACGTACAAAAGTTTGATGTTTGTGACATGCAAGTCCAAACCAAAAGACTTTTCAAAATATTTACGACGTTTTAAACCCTAAAACATTAGATGTGAACTTTATTTTTTTACTTCAGTTCATATTGGTGCATGAATGCATACATGAACCCATGAGCAACAAAAAATAGTTAAATAATCTCTCTCTCTCTCTCTCTCTCTCTCTCTCTCTCTCTCTCTCTCTCACACACACACACACTCTCTCTCCCTCACACACACACACACACAAACACACACACACACAAACACACACACACACACACTATTATTTCCATGAATCTGGGTCTGAAAGGTCTTAAAATATTATAACGTAAATGATTGAATAAATGCTTTTACCATGAATTTAACAAACAGTTTGGTCTCATGACAGAACTATCTGCGTGTGGTGGAGGGATGGATGGACGAGTACAAGGAATATTTTTACATCCGGGAACCAGACGTGCGGCATCGCGCACACGAGGTGAATGTCACTGACCAGTTGGAACTCAGGAAGAAACTTGGTTGTAAGAGCTTCAAGTGGTACTTGGACAATGTGGCCTATGGCATTCTGGATCGCTTTCCACTACCCCCACCGAACAAAGCGTGGGGACGTGTAAGTATGGGCGTTATGAATTCAGATGTTACTCCTATTGTCGTGTTGTTTAACGCCGCACCCAGCAATATTCCAGCTATATGGCGGCGGTCTGTAAATACTCAAGTCTGGACCAGACGATCCGGTGATCAACATAAGCAACTGGGATATGATGACATGTGTCAACCAAGTCAGAGCCTGACCACCCGATCTCGTTCTATAGTATTGTTCGTAAAGAATCGTGGGGCTTTGTTGTGGTCGAGTGGTTGAAGCGAATTATGTTCGTTTCCCAAATGGAGATTTTCCAAAGCCCATGTTCGGTGTGCTTAAAATTGTTCTGAAACCAATATAACTCCACTATAAGCGTGGTGTGTTATATTACGTCAGAATCTGAAATCTGTCAATACTCCACCTTTAATACCTAGCAGGCCATATCAACTGATTCACGTCTTGTGTGCAAGTAAACTCAAAAAGATATCGTCGAGAGTTGGAACATGTGACTGAGTGAGTTTAGTTTTACGCCGCTTTTAGCAATATTCCAGCAATATCACGGCAGGGCACACCAGAAACGGACGTAACACATTGTACCCGTGTGGGGAATCGAACCCGGGTCTTTGGCGTGACGAGCTGGACCATGTGAATATTTGCAAATATACATATAACCAAAAGGAATCATCGGTAACGACAACCTGTCGAATCAGATCCCATCAGGCGTAACTACAAAAATCACTATAGTGGTAGAATGTATCTCATTCTGAATGGATGGCTGAAAATCAGTGATGACACCAGGTGTTCGCAGATAGAATAAGGGTGTTCTGCTCTATCTGTAGCACTTACTACTCACAATTCACATAAAACGTTAGTGTCAGACGGTTTGTATAAATGTCATTTATTGTGTTGTAGATCCAAGAACGAAATGGCAGCCAGTGTTTCGTGAAAGCACGCACTTTGATAATTGGTTACTGTGGAGGCGCGGTAAGATGTATACTTATATTCCTCAAATGTAAATTAAGTAACTGTGGTGAGATCAATCCCAATCGCAACGTTCGAACCGAAAAGCATCATACCGCATCATCCATTTCCTTAACGTGCTTTTTACCGCTTCCATTAAGGGGACATAACCCATCCTCGCCTACCGAAAAACAATCGAAATAGAAATGTCGTACCACTCAAATATTAATCGGCAATAAAATCTACCAGGATTACAGAAAATTGGAGGTGTGATTTTTTTCACAGTAAAACAGCGCTTATAAATTTAGGCCTGTCTTTGCTTATTGTTTGAGCGGCATTCTAGAAGTTGGTGAGTCAAAAAGCATACAAATTTATGAATGACAACTTCTTGTTAATTGCATAGAGCGACGTTTCGATGTAGATTCATAGCTTGATAACGGTGTAAGAATAAAGTTGTATGCCTCTTTTCTGTCTGTCTTTACATGTTGTTTGTTAATCAAACGCTTAGTCCATTAAAATTGCTCATAGAAATCCTGGCTGTCTCTATATGTGTGTTAATTAAACTTTTAATCCACAGTGCTCATTGTCATAGCTACTGTTTATTTCCAGTTCACGCCATTGCATTTTATGTTTCCTTGTGTATTTGTTTATATGTGTATATCCATAATCAACCCCATAACATAAACATATGTAGACTAAACTAATGTACGTATATTTATGTTTTAGGTGTTTAGATACAATACTGCAGGGCAGATATCTAACGGGGAATACTGCCTGGCTTACAAAGAGAAGTCACAGGTGTTCATGTTTCCCAAATGTCCAGATGGGCGCAGTCATCCCTGGGACTGGAACCAGGTAAGGAGAGCTATGGGATGAAAGGAACCATTTTTCCTCAAAATTTTCCATGTCATTGTTTCTTTTAGAAATACTTTTTTTCTGCAATAAAGATTAATTTTAAGGTTCTCAGATAGTTAATTAATTTTGGAATTGTTTTTTAAAAATGTAACATAAATATATATGTCTCCTTGCAGAGAATATTATATTTTTTAGTATTTTGTTGACTTGTAAATCACCAAACCAAACCAGATATTTTGTTATTTTGATTAGTTGAGGTATTTATTGATCCAAATCTCAAGCTCATTCCAAAATGTCTTGGTTTCATTACAGTTCCAGTATACATGACAGATTGTTTCCTGATTGTCATTACAAAAACCCGTGAAAGTCCGGGTTAGAATGAACCTTCAGTAACCCATGCTTGTCGTAAGAGGCGACTAACGGGGTCGGGTGGTCAGGCTCGCTGGTTTGGGTGACACATGTCATCGTATCCCCATTGCGCAGATCGATGCTCATGCTGTTGATCACTGGATTGTCTGATCCAGACTCGATTATTTACAGACCGCCGCCATATAACCTGAATATTGCTGAGTGCGGCGTAAAACTAAACTCACTCACTCACTCATTACAAAAACTGCATATGTCAGAATCTATTAGTTTCACTTTCAAAACCTCCCTTTTGGAATATATTATTCCATGTAAATTTAAATTGAAAATCAAGTAGTATAACATTTTTTAAACCATGCCTATAAATACTGAATATCTTATGCCATTACCTCGGCCCTTTATATCATTTCAGGAAACGGGTTTAATCCGACATCCGGAATTGAATCAGTGTCTCACCAGCGCCCCACAAGTGTTTCTTTCAGACTGCGACAAAAACAACCTCAAACAACAGTGGGTTATGAAAGCAGCGTGATTGGACAAAGAATAAGAACAGCATCTCTGTGATACTACATTCAAGTGACGTTTGATTAGTTACGATCCCGTGAATATTTCACGTATAGACTCAACTACACACATTTTATAGGTAACAACTTCCGGTGTCAAGCAAACAAGCTGTTATCCATAAATTGTGTCTACGTTGTGCTGCTTGACAACGGTGAAAGAATGTGTGTCGAAACGTCGCTGTACTAGATTCTTGAGAGAATTTAGAAGTTGATGAATATATACTCGTCGCTGTACTAGTATATTTAGTGACTGAGTGAGTGTTTCACCGCTTTTCGCAATATTCCAACAATATCGGGGGACACCAGATATGGGTTTCACCCATTGTACCCATGTGGGGAATCGAACCCGGATCTGCAGCGTCAAGCGAACGCTTTAACTTTAGGCTACACCAACCGCCCCTATTGGTATATTTAAGAAGCTTTTATCCATAAATTATGTCCACCTTATGTTGCTTGGCTACGGTATAAGAATCTATCGTTGTTATCCATAAACTGTCCACGTTGTGCTGCTTGACAGGGTATAAGGACTTATACTGTACTCAAAATATGGTACTGTTATCCGTCAGCCTGCAAGAAATGACTACCAAAACCCGCTAAAATGAAGACAAAAAGGATCAGTGACTTCACAAATCCATCTTAGCCCTATAACTCTTTGTTAAACGGGACCTGGTAGGTGATTATCTTTGCCGCGTACCCGTGAAGTCGTGGATTGTTACTCGTACTATCAACCACCGGTTTAATGGCACCTGCATATATGTTTATATAAATGGAACAATGCTGACTGCAATAAACAAAAAAAACGTTCTTGAATTAATACTTCTTTCTTTGTTTTCTTTATGATTTTGATGTCGCGAACACGACTGGTTGGTTATTCTGATATTAACAAGAGGGATGTAGATATAGACTGGAATGGTTGAGGTGACACTTGTCCATGCAGTGGGGACATGCGATGACGGACTAAACAACGTACACTCCCATGTCAGATGGTTGTTAACAACACTTCGATGAAAAACATTAATGGTAATGAAAAGGGGAATAATGATGATGATGACGACGACGACGACGACGACGACGATGATGATGATGATGATGAACAAAACCTATTAAAACCTTTCCATATCCATAAGAAATTCCTCACAAAAACATATTTGACTGTTTCAGTGTACATCTGTAATGATGATGATGATGATGATGATGAACAAAAACAGTAAAAAGTTACTACTAAAGCCTTTACATAATATCAATAAGAAATTTCAACGCACAATTGTAAATGGTTATTAGATGGTAACATATTTGCTACGAAAATAACATTATTGGTAATGAAAAGTAATGATGCTGCTGATCTAAAATCTATTTAAATAAATCTGTCTGTACATATCTATACCCTTTGTCTGCCTCTTGTTGAACTTTTTTGTAATATACACTTGTAACTATGTGGAGACGGCTTGATGAACAAAACCTACTAACACCATTCCATATCCATAAGAAATTTCAACGCACAACTATGTGGAGACGGCTTATTTAAGTTGGATTCGATGGTAACAATGCTGCTGATCATGATGATGATGAAAAAACCTACTAACAGTTGTAAATAGTTTTCGATGGTAAAACATTTAATACGAAAATAACAGTTGTGTTTTTAAAATAATTACGTGAGTAATGTTTTAGTCAAATCAGGTTCTCAAGTGTGTACTTTCTGTGGCCCGTCAGTGTGTACGGTTTATTGTAAAAGGATTTTCACAAATTGAAATAAGACATGAATTCGCTGTCAATTGAATAGAAATGTTAGTGAAAAAGTGTGTCCTGGAGATTCTAACAACGCCAATAACAGTATATTGCATGCTGATCACAAGGCAGCTGCAATGTGGGTGGTATTTTTAACGGATTTCAAGTAAATAAACATGTATGTTTTTTGTCATCTTTGTTCTTCTTATTTTTTCTGTCATTGTGTTTGCTTGTCACGCTAAAGATTCGATTTCGATTTCCAACGAGGAGTAAATGTTGGTCCCATTATTTGGAGATGAAACTTCGATGGGAAATACAAAAGAAAGTTGAAGATGATAAAGTTGCATTGCCTGGTTATGTATGTGTGAACACATTTTAATGAGTGAGTGAGTGAGTGAGTGAGTGAGTGAGTGAGTGAGTGAGTGAGTGAGTGAGTGAGTGAGTGAGTGAGTGAGTGAGTGAGTGAGTGAGTGAGTGAGTGAGTGAGTGAGTGAGTGAGTGAGTGAGTGAGTGAGTGAGTGAGTGAGAGTGAGTGAGTGAGTGAGTGAGTGAGTGAGTGAGTGAGTGAGTGAGTGAGTGAGTGAGTGTGAGTGAGGGTGAGTGTGGATTTAAGTCACGTCGGCAATGATTTTCGCCATACTGACTGATATAGTTGTACGGTTGTATGGTGTATAGTTTAATGAGTCGATGTGATCGATGGACAGAAAAACAACTAACAACATATCACATATTTTAGTTATAGAACGTTAAAACTCTTATGGATGCAACGTAAAAGGATTGTGGATCTGAATGCTTGACTGCATCTTGTATTGAACAACACATATATAGATGGTACAATACGTGACATTGGGGATCACATTCTCCGAGTGAAGTATGAATTCTAGTACTCTCGGGAGTTGAGACCCTTCCGGGATTCAAACTATCACTCGCAGGCTGAGTCACCAAATCACCAGCATACAAAGTCAGCTTTCTGACCCACTCAGCCATTGAGACTCCTACAACGTGTGTGAGCGGCGGGGTAGCCTAGTGGTTAAAGCGTTCGCTCGTCACGCCGAAGGCCCGGGTTCGATTCCCCCCATGGGTACAATATGTGATGCCCATTTCTGGTGTCCCCCGCCGTGATATTGCTGGAATATTGCTAAAAGCGGCGTAAAAACCAACTCACTCACCCCCCACAAAATGTAAGTCTGACAACTGGTTGTCTAAACCACGTACTGGTATTGTAAGTCCCCATGGTACTTAGTATGGTGATCTACCTTCAGTTGTTGGTGATCTATTACCCATTTTTATATTGCATTGTTGCATGTATAATTATTGTTTATGATAGTTTTACGTCTTCATCTGTGATAATATAGTTATTTTACTGTCATTTGTCGACAGATATTTATATTGTCTAATTTTATTTTCATATATTCAACTCTCATAGTCACGATATGGCTGAAATAATGCCGATGTGACTTTAAATTTTAACTCACTCACTCACTAAACCACGTACTTTGTATACCAGGAAGACACGTGTACTTGGTAAAGTTTCCATGCAGACAGAGGTATGTAGTTGTATGTTCGTTAAAACAGTTTCTGTTAAGTCATAAGAAATAATATATAAGAATGGCGAGTTGGTAGGGCTGATTATATTTAACTTACGTTCTACGACAATACAATACAATACAATACAATTTTGGAATTAGTTTGGAGATGTCCCGGGATCAGCAACACATCTGAAAAAAATTACATCGTCCGTATCCGACTCGATTCGACGCTGTCCCTGAGACAGTTGGACAGTTATCCTTGATTCTTTTTTCCCCTTGTCTTAGGTAGACCTCTGAAGTTTCAGGAAGGGCAATATCCGTTCATCGGGCTTTCCAGTCATTCTGTGCCAGTTGGATGACAACCAGGAGTTGACGTCCGCTGTGTATATTGTTGTGGCAGCAGGTCCTCCGTCACTAATGGGGCTGATCTCAACTCGGATCTGAAATAAGTTTTTTCGACTTTAGGTCAAAATTGACTTTAAAACAGACTAAAATGACACACAATTTGCGTAGATTGATGCTCATGCTGTTGATCACTGGATTGTCTGGCGAAGACACGAATATACAACAAACCAAACCAAAATCGTTCCTGTAAATGCTAGAAAAGACATATGCTTATGCGTCAGACAGTTGATTTTTTTTATCCAAAGAGATCATGTAACCTTTAAAGATAAAATAGCGGAGGGAAGTGTCGGAACAAATCACTGAAAAGTTGGCTGCTTGGTTTGTCCGGCAGGTAAATTATCGTGTTTGGACCAGACAAACCAGTGATTGAGTGTAAGTGCTTATTATTCATCTTTTTATTGGCTGGTTGGTTTGTTGTTTAACGCCGCACTCAGCAATATTCCATCTATAAGGCGGCGGTCTGTAAATAATCGAGTCTGGATCAGACAATCCAGTGATCAACAGCATGAGCATCGATCTACGCAATTGGGTACGATGACATGTGTCAACCAAGTCAGCGAGGCTGACCACCCGATCCCGTTAGTCGCCTCTTACGACAAGCATGAGTTACTGCAAATTAATTCCGGGTCTTCACGGGTTATATATCCATCTTTTAACAAAAATATTAAATAATGATTGTAAAATACGAACCCAGGCCAGTTGCCATGCCGGCGATAACCCCTGTGCAGTCACCTTCACAGTCAGGTTTACCAACTCACCAATACAGTCATCTCCAAACTGTAATAATGATTTCAATTATAAATAATGATAATAAATGAATATTTGAGTAACATCAAAAGTCACATCGGCAATATTTCAACTGCATCGTGACGAGACACAAGTATTCATTATTAATAAATAGTTTTGCTTTGGTTATTTAACGTCGCACTCAGCAATATTCCAGCTCTATGGCGGCGGTCTGTAAATAATCGAGTCTGGACCAGACAATCCAGTGATCAACAGCATGAGCATCGATCTACACAAATGGGATACGATGACACATATCAACCAAGTCAGCGAGCCTGACCACCCGATCCCGTTACTACAAGAATTGGTTGCTGAAGACCAGTTCTAACCCGGAACTTCACGGGTATATTAAGAACTATTCTGAAAACTACTTAATGTATGTGTTTATATAAACTTTAACTTTCATATTATACTGCTCAACAAATTAATAAAATAATCACCTGTTCATACATCAGAAAGACTACCCAAGGCAAAATTTATCTGAATTTGTGTGAATCGAAAAATCCTCCATGGTGTTGGCACATCGCAATGAAACTGATTAAACTGTCTAATAGCGACGACCATGAAGCTTAAAACTTTTAATGGATAATAACATGATAGTACCAGTCGATGTTATAGAAAATGCGATAAATCTGACCAACTCAAATGGTTCAAAATCTATATTTGAACCCCGTCAAACTGTTTATCGGTGGCACTCTATCCCACAACTTAACACGACCATTTGGAATGCCACTGCGCATAACAGGAAATGACGTGTTGGATGATAACAGTTTGTGGGTTAGCTTATGGGACCAGGACAAATGAAGCTGAACTGTTCTTGCAGTCATGATATTCTTCAGGAAACCAAGCTCTCAAGTTTACATGTTGCTTACTGATTATTAAACAACTGAAATGACATAATTCTTGTGACTGGATCATCAAAAGGTATGGGAATACTTATTTTTACAAGGAACCCCTAAATTATTTGCCTAGTGCCCTATATGCATTTATATCCGTGGTATATAATCCTATATATCATGTTGTTATCAAACTTCTGACATAATCACGTTGTCCTTGAATCTCATCCTCTTTTTCAAAGAAGTGCCGTTTCTGAAAATGTAAGGAATATATGAGACGGTCTCCAGAGATATTCTAACACGTATCGGGGGCGGCAGGGTAGCCTTGTAGTTAAGGCGTTCGCTCGTCACGCCGAAGACCCGGGCTCTATTCCCCACATGGGTACAATGTGTGAAGCCCATTTCTGGTGTCCCCCGCCGTGATATTGCTGGAATATTGCTAAAAGCGGCGTAAAACCATACTCACTCACTCACTCTAACACGTATCTGTGATACCTGAAATATGTCTTCGGAACCAGATTCAAAGTCATCGC